GAAGGACAGCCCGTACCTCCCCGTGACACGACAGGCAACATTCTCATACCCTTTCTGCAGCTGGGCACCCCTTAAAACCTGGTCACAGGACTGCGCCTCCTCCCCCGGGAGAGCAGGTGAGCGCACTGGCCGGAGGAGGCTGCCCCTCAGTCCACACACACACTCCCTTCGTTTAAAGCCTCCTCAGACGTTTCACTGAAGGATTCTTTTTTTTTTTTTTTTAAGATTTTATTTATTTATTTGCGAGAGAGAGAATGAGAGACAGAGAGCACGAGAGGGAGGAGGGTCAGAGGGAGAAGCAGACTCCCTGCCGAGCAGGGAGCCCGATGCGGGACTCGATCCCGGGACTCCAGGATCATGACCTGAGCCGAAGGCAGTCGCCCAACCAACTGAGCCACCCAGGCGCCCCTCACTGAAGGATTCTAAGAAAGATCAGAGAGGGCATTTTTAATACACATTTTTAAAAAACGACTTGAAGCTCGCAACTTACATATTTGTTACCAGTGAAGAGTGTAGATGTTGTGGTCAGAAAGATAAAACATCGGGCAAGGGCCTTGCTGTGGAGAAGCAGAAATGAAGCGCTGGTCCCCTCCATGTATCCAGATGGGTTTTAAAATAGAATTCAGAAGACAAGGCCTTTCCTTGTTTTTGTTTTGTTTTGTTTGTTTTGTGTTGTGGTCAAGGACAAAGCTTCAGGTTTCCAAGTAACCAATGTCCATTCTCAAAGGAAGACCAAATACTGCTCAGGCCCGAATGCCATGGTCTCATGTCCCTGAGCCTGTCCCTGAGCTTAGCCCATCAGGCCAGAAGTGTTTGTAACACAGCACCTATCTTTCAGCTGCCTCCCGTTCACATTAGAAACTTGGTTTCCCAATGCACTCTGAAGGCTGGCTATTACGTGGTCTTTGGGTTATTTCACAGGTAGAGAAATTTTAAAATAAAGGTTTCGGTGTACTCTAGGAATGAAATCGCTTCTTCAACCAGAACTTGAACCAGTTACTACATTTCTCACAGTAAACTAAGCTCTTTTTGATATATTTACTACAGTATTTTGCAGTTGGCATAGGAGTTTACCTTCTAGAATCACCAACAAGAACGAAAACCAAGAGTGAAACTGAATATAATATTCCTGGAGCATAGGTGACAGAAACTGCTTCCTAAAAAGGTTACAGTACTTCTGGCCTTCAGAGGACGATGACACTTTCGACGTGATTCGGGTATGGTTTGCGGGAAGTGCCGCCATGTTTGAAAACCAAGTGCTCCTCAAGAAGGCTACATGTTAAAATATTTTTGCCAAGATAGATACTACAGATACAAAGACATTTTCTTTCAGAAAGTGAATAAAACAACACTTCCTCTAGGAAACCGGTGACAGAGGCCTCTTTTATAGCAATATTTAAATTCTATTGGATCTTCCAAATACTTTAGTTAATTAAGTAACTGGTAACCACCAACAGCTCTCACTAGGAAAGGTAAGCAGATAAAAGATAGCCAGGGCTTTAGGAGATTTTAAAGAAAGAAAATAAAACAAAGCACATTTAGTGTTCAGGCTACTGGTTTAGGGGCAGGCAAGTCTGAGGAAGAGCACAGAGAAATCAGGGTTTCTAAGCATTTCTTCAGATGAAAACCCCATCTTCCTCTCTGCCACTCAGTCCCAGCGAAGTGTCTCCCTCAGGTGCCAGTGCGTTCTGATGTTTGGATCTGAAGGTAAATCATGTTTTCTTCGGGCTTTGCTATCCTGTAGCAGACAAAAATAAAAATGAAAGTTAAAAAACAGTCAATGAAAAAAAAAAAAAAGTCAATGTTTTGATTAAGAAACTATTGCAGGGCACCTGGCTGGCTCAGTCGGTTAAGCATCTGACTCTTGGTTTCAGCTCAGGTCATGATTTCAGTGTCATGGGATCAAGCCCTGTGTTGCGCTCATGCTCAGCTCGGAGTCTGCTTAAGACTCTTTCTCCCTCTGTCCCTCCCTCCTGCTCTCTCTCTCTCAAATAAATAAATCTTAAAAAAAAAAAAAAAGAAACTATTGCCAAGAAAGAAAGAAAGAAGAAAAGAAGAGAGAAATTATTGCAAAGTTGTCTATGGGAATAAATCTCAAAACAAAAGGTGAAAACGAGATTAGCAAGCAACAGAGAGAAGAGGCCAGCAGAGGGAGATCTCAAGAGATGAGCGGGTGTCTACGGACAAATTGTACTGAAACAGCTTAAAACCTGGTAATCAACATTAGCTATCTGTCAACAACTAGAAAATGTGTTTACAGTTAAAATAGAGTATCCCTTACCAGTATTGAGACACCCAGAATTTCTCAAAGTCAGGTTTATTTAGCACTTAAATGCACTTCATTGGCAGAGTTTATTAAAAGCACAGATTTCCTGGGTCCCAGCCTTCATTTATTAAGTCGAAAACCCTAGAAGGCCCAAGAATCTGCATTTCAGTAAGCTTTTTTTTAGTGATTATTCTGCATACTAAGTTTTGAGACTCACTGAGGAGTTCACACAAGATGCAAGAAGAATGGAGAAAATCTCAGATTTATTGAACACCTACTACGTCCCAGGCAATTGATTAGTCACTGTCACCTACTTTATCTCATCGCATTTTCCCAGCAACCCTCCAAACTGGGTACTAGTGTGGCTATTTCTCAGGCAAGGAAGTTAACTTTCTGCAAGTTTCAACGACATCCCCAAAGTCACGCGGCCAAGTGGATGACTGGATTTGAGCCCACGTCTCTCTGACTCCATAGACCATTGTCTCTCTCATCATGGGGACACATGTGTCTTTCCTATGGAATCCACAGAGCAAGCCTGAAGGGGGACCTGAGTGACCACCTCCTTGAGCACTGTTTAGTCCTTTCTTTTTTTTATTGTTTTCAGAGTAGAATCTGAGGGGCTCCTGGGTGGCTCAGCCGGTTAAGTGTCCAACTCTTAATTTCAGCTCAGGTCATGATCTCAAGGTCATGGGATTCAGCCCCTGTTGGGCTCCATGCTCAGCAGGGAGTTGCTTGAGATTCTCTCCCTCTCCCTCTGCTGCATATTTTTGTATTCCTATAAATAATCTTGAGCTTTGTTTTAAAAACATGGTTAAATTAGGAAAAATAAATTGGGAAAAACTTTATTCTTTAGGATATTACTTTTAAGCTTCTTCTGTTATGCTCATTTGCATAATCTTTTTCTCCCTACAATTGTAATTATAAAAGTAGTACATTCCATTTCCTTTCCAATCCCTCCCCCCACTACCTCAGAGTAAAATCTGAGACTCCATTAAAGCACTTGTCCCCATTACAGGCATGAACATTTTAAATTGTTCTTCTTTGTAAAGAGAGTCACTAAAGAACCTGAACAAACAATTGTTAAAAGGACAGAAGCTTGGTTTAAAAATCGTTCCCAACGCAGAGCAGTCAGCTCCGGGGATGAGCTAGGGACTTTTATAACTTTTTTAACTTTTTTTATAACTTTTATAACTTACTTTATCAGTGTTCAAGGATATGTTTCTTCTTAGCTGGAAAAACATACTGAGGAAACTATAGGTAAAATTATCTATCCCTGTTTTACGGAAAGATTGTAATAACAAGAGTAGATGTTAAATTTTATTAAATGTCCTTCACTATCTATAGAGATAATAGTACAGTTTTAATTTATTAGCTTTATCAAAACTCTTTCAATTTATTAGCATGAATTACTATTAGATTTTTTAATATGGGACTATCTTTGTGTTCCTGAGTAATTCCTCTTAGATATGATATATTATTATTTTAATGTCTCCACTATTCTGTTCTGATAATATGTTGTTTGGGATTTTAATCAATATTCACAAATAATATTTGCCTATGGTTTCCTTATTTTCTTTATCTTTGTTGGTCTTTGATACCAATATTATCCTAGCTTTATTAAAATGTTTTTTGGGGGACGCCTGGGTGGCTCAGTTGGTTAAGTGCTTGCCTTTGGCTCAGGTCGTGATCTCAGGGTCCTGGGATCAAGCCCCACGGTGGGCTCCCTGCTCAGTGGGGAGCCTGCTTCTCCCCCTCCCTCTGCCACTCCCCTGCTTGTGCTCTCTCTCTCTGTCAAATAAATAAATATCTTTTTAAAGAATAAAATAAATTTTTTAATATCTTTCTCATTTTTCTATAGTCTAGAACAGTTTGAGTATCACTGGAGCTTTCTATTAATTAAATGTTTTGTAAAATCTCCCTGTGAGACCATTGTGGATTTCCTCTTTATCATTATTTAGGGACTTCCTTATCTTATTAAATACATTTTTGGCATAAATTCAACTTTGTCTGATAAGATTATGGCTCTTGCTATACTTTAGTTTGCATTTACTGATAAGCTTTCATGCATTCTTTTCTTTTCAACCTTTCCAAAGAAAAGTTTACTTCAACTAAGCAGCAAAGTGTACAGTTTTGCTTTGTAACCAACTGAAGGAGTTTCCTTTTGTCAATAGACAAGTTGAGCCTCTTTGTGTTTGTTTAAGTGTCAGAAATGCTTGGTCTTAATTCTGTCATTAGCTTTTACATCATGCTTTTTATTGCTTCTAGTGTCTTATTTTCAGTGTGTTGGTTATGTGTATTTTTTTCTGATAATTTGGAAGGTTTGTATTTTTTTTAACTTTTTTTTTTTTAGTAATCTACATAGATCATGGGGCTCGAATTCATGACCCTGAGATCAAGAGTCACATGGTCTCCCGACAGAGCTGGTCAGGGGCCCTGGAAGGTTTGTATTTTTATTCAAATGTTACCTTTATAACTTTATATAATACATATACTTCTCTATTTTTTTAGACCATATTCATTAACTTCCTATTATAAACAATTATAAAATTTATATATTTCCACTTCCTCCACCCCTTCATGCTCTGCTTTTAGTAAACTATACCACTGTTTCAGTGTTTGCCTTTACATCTTAAAATACACCTAAAACACTACATAATTCATCAGCTTTTAAAAAAAGATTTTATTTATTTATTTATTTGAGAGCAAGAGAGCCCACAGGCGAGTGGGGGAACGGGTAGAGGGAAGAGGGAGAGAGAGAATCCCAAGCCGACTCCCCACTGAGCTCAGAGCCTGACATGGGGCTCAACTCACAACCCTGAGACCATGACCTGAGCCGAAATCAGAAGTCAGATGCTCAACCCACTAAGCCACCCAGGTGCCCCATATCAGCTTTAATAATATATTTTTTTCCAAGCTGAAGAAAATATACTAAGGAAACCAGTCTATTATACCACATGCAACATCCCCTCTCCCTTCCTTGTCTTCTAGCATTTCTTTATTGTCAGATTTATGACATTTACTGCTGTTCTGTTGTCAAAATCACATTCACTTTAATCGCACATTCAATGATTATCAAGTTGACAATCCTTGATATTCTCCCTATATCCGTGACTTACACTTTGGGCCCAGTAACTTAACTAGAATATTCTTTATCATTGTTCCTTCTGAGTCCGTTTTTCCTGTTTCACCAAGTGCCACTTCAAATCATAGAATCATAAAAACATTTTTTTATTTCCAGAAGTTTCTGTAAAGGTTTTTTTTTTTCCTTGAAGGTTTTTTGTTCCATGATTTCAGTTATCTTCTTTGGGACAAGTGCATGTGTACGCATGTGCTTGTGATCTCCAAGACTTTTAAACTTCACTTATTTCAATTTCATTTTGCAATTCTTATCCCTGCCTTGCCTTTCCCTCACGAGATCAGTTCTCCTTTGCCCTGCTTTCAGATAGGTTTCCATTTCAATCATCTTATCCCATATCTTCTCGGGAACTTTTATCTCTGCTTTAAACTCTTATTTTCTAAATATGACTGATTAATTAATATTTTGCATTAATTGAGGTATTTGGGGTTACAATTTTCATCTCCTTTGTGACAATATTTTTCTAGAGTGTATCCTTCATCTGTCATTTGCTTTATCTGTTCCTTTCTCTTTTTCTCTCATGATGTATTTGTATAACTGGGTGAATTACTTTTTTATTATTCATCTTTAATACTGTGATTTCTTCCTGTATCAACCATTTCAGAAGAATTTGTGGGGAAGGGCCAGATCATGTTCTAGGCTAGTAAAAATTCTCTTTTTGACCAGGGTTGTATGTGATCAGATGTTTTAACGTCTCTCACTCTCAATCTACAGGGGTTGACAGTGCAGAATTCCTCACAATGCAGGGTCTCTCTCCTCCACCCTGCCTTGCAGGACACAGCTATCCCCAAGATCCCTGAAGGTTCTCTCCTGGTCTCACTCTCCCAGCTTCACCTTCAGCCTCCCAGTGTTCAGGGAATGAAGCCTATGTCTCGAGACCCTATATCCATCCTGTTACTGCAAACAAGGGATCGTGGGTTATACCCTCCCAGGTAGGCTTCCTACTGTGGAAAACTGCTGGTCTTGTCCACGAGTCACTGTCACAGTGTGCATCCCTGGAATCTTCCAGACCCTCTGAAACCTCACTGCATTAGGCAGCCCTTCTTCTTACACCTTGTCTTTCAGGGTCATCCTCGTTTCAAAGCTGGCATTTGCAGGGTTTATTCTCATTCTTCTAATAGCTTCAGTGTGATTTCCAAGACAAGAATGAAAAAAAAACATTATTTTTTTATTATTTTAAGAAACTACATCTTAAAAAAGTAAAAAACTGAATAAGCACACAGAAGCTAGAAGAAGTAGGGAACTGGGTCCCTTATGTAAAATTCACGGTGTTGTGGTGCTTGATTCATTCAGCCATTCTACAAGCACTTAGTGACTGCTTAGCACAGCTGGAGAACAGGTGCAGAGGCACAGAGACGTATGGTACGTCGTTCCTGTTCTCAGGGAGTTCATACCATACTGAGGAGACGAAAAGAAGAGACAGTTCTCAGCACAAGGCAGTGCCTACTGAAGCCAAAAGAATGTTCTTGACAATACGTGCTGTAGTTAGAAGGAGGATACTGTTCACTTCTAATACCTCCTGTGAATAAGAAGCACAGTCAAAATGGCTTCGATAGTAATTTTTTGACTTTGTAGTCCTTGTAAAGTAATAAAGTAACTGCAATAATCCTCTTTTTTTTTTAATGATTTAGATTTGATTCCATTTAGTGAAAATGCCAGCACTTTCACGACTGTCTTATTGCTATGTGTGTGTGGATCATGTTTAAAGTCGTTTCTCAACATCTGGCTTCCGTTCCTAGTTACTGAGAATCCTCATCAACAAGCTCTCTGCACAAATGGTCAAGGGGTTGATCTTGAGATGGGTTGCTTGGCCTTCTTCCACATAGGAGCAGGCACTCAGTACCTTTGACAGTTTACATTTTCAGTCAGTCCCTTGGGTCCGGTGGCCATGACAATGGAATTGTTTGGCCCAGCTATTTTAGACTCTGGGCTCAGGACTGCCAAATGTAGAAGATTTTCTCTTTAGTTTGCCTTCATCTCTTTGTACTCAGTCCAAGCAACCTTTTACAGATGAGAGTATTAGGCAGGGCCTTTTAATGAAGGACAGGTGGGGAAGAGGAGAGTAAATCAGAGTCACCCTTGCATCTTCTGGCTGATTGAGGGGCTCAGATTGCTGTGTAGCTAAGAGATTGGGGACCTGGAATATTTCTTAGAAACCACTAGCACGATGGCATGGGAAATAGGAAACCATACAGACAGAAAAAAGAGCTTAAGGAAATATACCAAATTCTAACAAAGGTCAGAATTAAAACTTTAAATAAAGTGGTTAATTACTTTTACAATAAAAACAATCTTCACTTAAAACTAAGTCTCCTAAAATGCAGACGGCAATCAGTACATACAAAGATGCTCAACATTGATGGTAATTAGGCAAATGTAAATTAAAGTCACAATAATAATACCACTACATCCCAGAAACACTTAGACAAATAAAAAACTGACAACACCAAGATCAAGCAACCTGATCTCTCACACGTGGCTGGTGGAATACGAGATGGTGCAGCCATTTTGGAAAACATTCTGACAGTTTCTTATAAATTTAAACACGCACCATATGAACCACTCCAAGAGATATGAAAACATATATCCACTCAAAGACCCATACCTGAATGTTTATGAGCAGCTATATTATAATCACTCGAAACTGGAAACAGTCAATGCCAATAAACTGGCCAATGGATAAGCAAATCGTGGAACATCATTCACACATTGGAATACCACTCAGCACTCAGAAGGAGCAAAGCATGGACGCCTGCAACCACAGGGATCGGGCCCCATCATGCTGAGTGAAAGGAGGTGAACACACAAGGCTACATACATGCCATGTTGCTTCGTATACATAATAATATTCTGGAAAAGGTAAAACCAAAGGGAGAGAAATCAGAGCAGTGGTTGCCAGGTGCTGGAGATAGGGAAGGGAATCCTGCCACTTTCTGGCTGTGTGTCTCCTGCAAGTTCTCTTTCCCTCTGTGAAACTCAACTTCCTCATCTGTAAAATGGAAATAACAGTGACGTTAGAGGCGAAATGGCAGATGTCTAGAAATGCTTTGTGTGTCATTGTACCAGTCGGAACTCTGTTTAAGCACGTTATGTCTGCAGGGGTCAGCATGGTTGCTGGACTTACCCAACTAGTCGGAGCTGAGGGCTGGGCTGAAGCTCAGTCTTGTAGTCCTTGCCCAGGGCTCTCTCCATGCAGATGCCTGTTCTCTTGTGCTTGCCGGCTGCACACTCTACTCCAACCTTCCCATTTCACATTCTCTCCTATAATTAGACGTTGACCCTCTCTTTGATGCCCACCACCCACCTCAGTGTCCAAATGGACCAACCTTTGGGGGAGCCTTGAGGAACTGTCTTGGAAATGCTGGTCCTCGTGGAGCCTGGCTGGTGCCCAGCTGTGTCAGTGGTGACCCAACCACACATCCCCGCCCCCCACTTGGTGCACCCACCTGATGAACGTGGGATACAGCTCGGCGTTCACCAGGCACACCATCTGGAACACGATGGTGATTCCCATTCGGCCAACACAAGCCACTGTGATGTTTAGCCAGTGTAGATCTGGACAGGAAACACATGGAGGTGGGGAACTCATGTGAGGACTGTGCCCACGGAGTTCCCTCCCTCGAGGAGCCACGTTAGGAAGCTTGGACTTCAGAGCTGGAAAAGCCAGAAAGAATGCTTTGTCGAACCCTTTCATTTTGGAATAAGTAACTTGAGGCCTGAGAGGTTTCAGAACCTGATGGTGACACAGCAGGGAGGGTTCCTTTACGCAGAGGAAAGAACATGCTTTTTGGATCTGCCTCCTGTCAGCCGAGTGACTTACCTCTTTGGGCCTTGGTTTCCCCAGCTGTAAAATGGGAAGCATTAGAGCCAGCCTGCAAGTTGTTATGGGATCCTGAGATGATATATGTTAAACGTCCACCATGACCGCTCCAGAAACGTCGGCTTTTTAATTCCTATGCAGTAATGTTGCCACTAGCACCTGACCCAGGAGGCCCACAGGAACACCCGACAGACCCAGGAGGCCCACAGGAACACCCGACAGACCCAGGAGGCCCACAGGAACACCCGACAGACCCAGGAGGCCCACAGGAACACCTGACACAGGAGGCCCACAATAATGCAGCCCCTCAGGCAGCAGCCCAGGAGCTGGCGGACCAGATTTCTAATCCTCAGTCTAGCCTTCACTTCCAAACACATTTTTCTTTTAAACAAAACACCTTTCAGGATAGTCTCAGATGCAAGTACAAGGGAAGCAAACCTTTGACTCTGCAGACGGCTCTGGGGCTCCCCATTACATGAGGGTCCACGAAGCCCTCCCCCTACTGAGGACCAATCAAGGAATTGGGCCCCATCACATGCTCCATCCACCTGGATTAGCCCACACACTAACAAGCAAGTGGCTCCCAGGACATGCCAGGTGACTAATAAAGCCTCTGGGGTCACAGACGTCATGTCATCCTGACCCCTGTCCCCAGATACTGGCTGCTAATGGAAGACATGCTTCATTTCCCTCCACCAGCAGGAGGCTCCCAGGAGAGAGGACACGGTGGCCTTAGGAATGAGCCCACCACCAGGTCCAACTCAGTCTCCACAAGGTGGAGAGCCCAAGGCAAGCCGTTAATCATGGATACCCTCCAGCCCCCTAAAGAGAAAAGATGAGGAAGTTCACGCAGACAGTATCTGCAGGGAGGGCCGTGTGTACACACGCTGGGGTCTTTAATCTGGCAAACGCCTCTACCGCCCTGGCCCCCCTCGGCGCTGGGGGCACCAACTCCCTTCAGCAGCCAGAGGGACTGCAGGGAGCATCCCTGCCCAAAGCCCCCAGTGCTTCCCTTCCACACAGGGGATACCGTCCAAGGTTGCCCCCTGCTAACCCCCACCTCTGTCCCCCTACTCCTGCCCTGCTCTTCCAATTTCGGGCACAGGGATTCTGGCTGCTCCTTGAATGTTCAGCTCTACCTTCCTCGGGGATCCTCCCACTTCTGTCCTCCTGCCTGGGAAGTACATTCCCCAGATGGTGAATGTACTCCTAAGTACATTCGGCTCATTCCCCTCGTTCAGGTCTCCTAAGGCCGCCCCTGACCGCCACACAAAGGATTAACGCCCACCATGCTTCACCTTTGCTTTTTCCCTCTAGAACGTAAACTCCATGAAGGAAGAACTTTCTCTGCTTTGCTCACTGCTGAGATCCCAGGGTCTAGATGCGTGCTGGCCACACAGAAGGTACTTGAAATATTTCCCGGAAGAGGGAGTGAGTGTTTATCATCTAACGTGACAAGGACTCAGTAGAGGCAAGTGGAGAGGGTGGGGGATGGGAAGAGGGCCCTCGGGGCGGCGGGGGGCACCTGGGACCAGGGAGCATGATGCCTGAGCTCTGTCCGGTGATAACTGAACAATCTCAGACCTTCGGCTCCTCCTCTGCACCTAGTGTTGTTATTTAAAAAAAAAAAAAAAAATCCTCCCATTCATCTTTCCAGGATTCCAGAAATAGGAAGATGGGGAAGATCGTGGGTAAAACCTATTTCGGATAGACTCTGTTCCTTTCCCTGTCTTCTTTGTTCTCTCGTGCAAGGAGGGAGAAGAAAACTGAGCTGTTTATTTTCAGCCTGATCTATACAGCCTGATTCTTGAGAGTACAGATTTCAGGAACCACTTCCCACAGTACCCTCTCCCTAAACGCTTACCGAAACAACTCATTTAACCCACGGGGGCGGAGCACAAGCAACACAAACTGGGGAAATAGCAAACATGCCTAGTGCTTATTCAACCATCTTCCCAAATGTGACAAATATGAAAGGCAATTTGTGTACTCAAATTAAAACTGACTGAAGTTACTCTGCTTTGGATTATCTTGGGTTGTAAGAACCATGGACGAAAGCACACACCCACCAAAACAGCTGGTATCAAAAAGACGAGCAATGCCCAGTGTTAGCACGGACGTGAAACAACTGGAACGCTCAGGCATCGTTGATGGGAGTGTACGTTGGTCCCGCCATTTTGGAAACCTGCTTGTATTGACTTAGAGCTACGCAGATGCCACCCCTGACCCAGCAAACACTCACAGATTTGTACCCACGGGAAATGAGTCTATGCCCATGAAAAGACATGTGCCGGAACATTCCCTGCAGCTTTTCCCAGTAGGCAGACGCTGGAAACCACACAAGTGTCAGTCAGCGTGGGATGGTAGCACGGGATTCAGGCAGTAGAATGCTGCCCAACAGTGAAAGAGAATGAACTACACTCTGGTGTGACAACATGGACAAATCTCATGGATGGAATGACGGAATGAAGCCAGACAAAGACACAGGGTACCTTTGCTAGAGGTCCTTTTGTATGAAGTTCAAGAACAGTCAAAATTACTTTTTGGTGACAGAGGTCAGAGCAGTGGTGATCTGAACAGGAGGGGTCAGTATGGATTGTCAGGGAACACAGGGGAACCTTCTGGGGTGTTGAAAATGTTCCACATATCTAGGTCATGGTGCCCAGATACATTCACATGCAAACGGTCATCAGCTTGTACACTTGTCATTTGCTCATTGTGTGTATGTTATACCGCAATTTAAAATTTAAAAAAAAAAAAACAACAACACAGTAGTAGACTAAGATAACACCCTGTCTTTGTCTTTGTTCTTGTTCAAGGGGCACATCCAGGACCTGAAACACTATTCCCAAATTCGATCTGAATTTCAGATCGATAATTTGATTACCTAGAAGATGAGGGGAACGCACGACTCACCATGTGAAATAAAGATCATGACGAAGCAGGCTGCCCCCGCCACCAGATTCGACGCAGCCAAGGGGCGGATGAGGCCACAGCGGTCAATGGTGGCGGGGATGATGAAGGCCGTCGGGAATTCAACCAGAGCAGAGTAAAAGAAATCCAGGTAGAGGTTCCCCCCCCGTGGCGCCCACGTGCATGATGAGGCCCTGATAGAGCACGGAGCTGGTGAACCTGAGCACAGAAGAGAAGCAGTCTCAGGCAGAGGCTCCGTCTGTGGGACGGGAGAGAGTTAAGATCCTGTCCAGCAAGGACAAAGGTCCCTACGAGCTGGAGAGGAACAGGTGTCCCTCGATTTGGAATGTCCTGGAGCGACTTGAGAAGAGGGGATAAAAATCAGGAAGGCTGTCCTAGAGGGGCGCTCAGGGAGAAGCTCCTCTCAGGATTGATGTGACATAGTGACTTCCAGGATACAACGACATGTCCTCGAGATGGCAAACGAGGACCCTGAGGCCCCAGCAGCTACAAGGGGATGGGCAGAAGGCACCACAGAGTGAGCAGATTCAGCAATCAGACTGCTGTGTGAGCTGTGTGACCTTGAGTAACTGAACGAAGCCCTCTGTGCCTCAATTCCCTCATCAATAAATGGAATAAGGTCTTCCGAGAACACTCAGACACAGTCCCATCCTGCCCAAACTTCGAGTCTCAGCCAGAGCATCCTTTCCCACGGGGGAGCCCCTTGTTCCACACCCACAAGGGGACAGCAGCCTTGTCCTGACCACAGATGTATAAAGCTTAGAGACCAGCCTTCATTCACTGTGTCCTACCCCAGTGCCACCTACAGATCAGGCTTGCCCTCAGCAGAACGGTGACGAAAGGTGCACAGATGAGATATTTCTCTCCACAACCCTTGCTGCACCCCCTCTCTGTCCCACAGTAAGTGCCTGGTGTGGTTCTGGGAACGAAGAAAGCACTCGCTAAAGATGAGCGATGATTGGCATCCTCATCATCATCTTCCCAAGGTCAAGTCCACAAAGCACAGCAGAGGAGGTGCCAGCCAAGTCTTTCCTGCTTCGTCAACAGCGCTGTTCCCCTCCCTCTTCCACCCTGTAGCCCACAGAGGACGCTCCACCCATATTCCAGGGAAGAGTAGCAGTGGTACAGAATACGGCACAGAGACCAGTGGGGACAGGCCAAGTCACTCAGGGAGAATTCAGAGTCCCATGTGTCTCTTTTGGTGACATTGTATCATTTTGGAGGCTAGAAACATTTGATCATTATATTGGTATTTACACTGCGAGTAGAGATTTTGGTTGATAAGAAGTTGCTGTCTTATCCCAGCATGTAAATTGTCCATCAGCTCCAAAACGGAGATCACAACTGAGAGTTCTTATCAATATACTCCCTTGTTTTATAAAGCTGCACACAGAGAAACATTGGGATGCTCTTGTTTCTAGTCCTGAATCATTCCTGATTTCCGAAAGGCTCACCACGCCCTCTCTTTGCCCCAGTAAAATGGAACAGTCACATCTTACCGATGAAGAGATTGATTTAAGAGAAAAGAATGTATAAGCTTGATTTTTCATCAAGGAACAGTTAACAAATGTGCAGGCCTGCCATCTTTTGGCAGAACCCATGAATTGCATGTACATGTTAAAATAGTGGCCTGTGGTACCGAGCCACTGGTTCTAAGCCATTTACACAAATTATCTCATGAATCTACCAACACGCGGGTGAGGGGGGGTACTCCCATTACCCCTATTTGCTGACAAGGAAACTGAGTCATAGAGGGAACGCAGAGATGTCTGGAGTCACGCGGCTGGGAAGTGCTGGGAAGGAAGGAGCAGGTGGAGGGAAGGGTGTTCAGGGTCAGCTCCCTGTAGGCCACGGAAAGGGATTTGGTTCTATCCTCAGTTTGTTAGGAAGCCAGCGGAGGATGTGGACAGGGGAGTGACCTTTCAAAAAAGAGCAGAATTGGCCCGGGGAGTGGGTGCAGGGGTGTGAGAGCAGAGGAGTCAAACCCGCCCCCCCCCCCCCAGAGGAGTGCATTAGGGGATGGCAGTGGGGAGAGTGAGTGGAAAGGGGAGGAAGTAAAGAGGGGGATGGAAGTGCAGCTGGGGTGTTTGCAAAGGCTCCCGGGACCCATCGTGCGCTGGCTGCAGGACTCTGGGGCCAACACGGGGACGTGGCAGGTGACTGGTGGGGCCAAGGGAGGGCATGGTGAGCCTGGCTGGCATCTCCTGCACTTGGGATGGATTCTGTGGAACCGTGGTTATTTATTCAACCTTCAGCAAATATTTGCAGGGCTACCATGTACCAGGCATCACCCTACTAGCTTGGACCCTTGGTTCTAGTAAAACCTTGCTGGAAGCAGAAACGAGTGTACCAGCAGCAGAGTGGCTCCAGCTGAAGGCGGGGAGCCCACAGTCCAGCCACTCAGCCCCTGGGGTTGGGGGAGCTACTGAATGTCAAGGACAAAGCCCGGGTGATGGGGAGCCGGCTGGATGTCCTCTGAGGGAACAGGGTAGGAGGCTGCAAGAAAGCAGCCTGGAGAGGGGTGCAGACCCCGGGGGTGGGCCAGGGTACGTGGGTGAGTACCCCAGTGCCCGGGCAAGCACCCGATTCCGCTGCGGGAAGGTACAGGAAAGGCCCCTCACCACAGGTACATCAGAATAAAGGTGTGCTTCCTCAGGTGTGGCGTGTGGAACAGGTCTGCAAAGGAGGGGCTCAGCTTTTCAGTGACATCCTCTTCGAGAGAGAGCATCTAGGAGGGAGTCAGAGCATCAGCTGCATCCAAGCTGGGGGGAGCAGAAGAAGCCTGCAGAGCCACCCCACCCATTCCTGTGCTCAGCGCTCATCACCCCAAATTCCTCCAGGGCCTTCCTGCTCCTCAAGGCAGCCCCGGAAGCATTTTCTAAATCATAAACCCAACCCAAAGTTCAGTGATATGAGAAACCCCTTGCTAGTTTGTCACCTTTAGATCAGCGAGAGGCGATTTCCCGTTCTTTTGGGCGATGTGGTCCATTATCTTTATCACTTGAGCGTTTCTCTTCTGTGATAGCATCCACCGGGGAGACTCGGGCACCCACCTGCAGACACCGATGTCCCTATGTGGTGGCTTCCCCAGAGCGCGTCTGATGGTAAGCCCTGCTCAGAGAGGTGCTATTGCCCCAAGCAACCCACCCTCTTCACTTCGGGACTGTAATTCCTCAAGCAGCTAGTGGACGAGGACCTGGGGTCGTCCTGCGCTGGCTCAGGGTGCCCACGAAGCAGCTCTGTGGGTCCCTCATACTCTCAGTGCCACAGACTTAGGGGCAAAAAGGGAACTGCTGTTTTCCTCTGTGGCCTTCATTCCACTGAGCAGGGGTCCCACTCTCTGCTGGCCACTGGCAGCTCTTGTTCCCCTGGAAACTGCTCGCACAGAATCGATGACCCATATGGCCCCCGACCCTTGTGTGACAGCAGGGTGTCTCCGCGTCTTACAAGGGTTGTTGAACAAGATACCAAATATCTCCAAAACCAAATAAACAGATAGCATGCGGTCCATTTCAAACCGGGTAAGGATGTTACAACGTGAGGATTGGGAATCTCTGGCATGAGGTCTTCTGAAAACACTCAGGCATAGGCCCACCCTGCCCGGCCAGCGAGACTCAGCCAGGGCGTCCTTCCCCACTGGGGAGCCCCGGATTTCACCCTGATGGGAGAGAGCAGGCTCGTCCTGACCACAGACATACCGCTCCCAGCGGCAAGCCCTGGTTTAGAGAGATTGGGTCTACTTCAGTGCTACCCGCAGATAATTTGTCCCTAGCAGAATGGTGACAAAGGGTGCAGGGATGAGATATTTCTCTCCATAGCCCTCTCTGCACCCCTTCCCTGGCCCACAATCAAAATTCAAAACTCATCTGTCCAGCTGCTTATCTCTTGGGACCCTGCCCAGTGCTGTCTGCTAGTAAGATTAATACCTCCTCTTGGGACTGGTTTGTCTCACGATGGCTTAATGTGCACATTCCCCAAGAACTTTTATTCACTCATTCATTCATTCACTCATTCACTCAACAAACAGCAAATGCCTTCTATGTGGCTAGGTGGCCTCCTATCTGATTGAAGCATTGCCCCTCTACCTAAAGGGAGGCAAATTGACAGAGGCTCTGTTTGAGGGTAGCTCCCCACGTAACAGGGGCCATCCTGTAATATTAGAACACCGCAAATGGCACAAAGGGCAGAAGCAGCCCTGCGCCCGAGTGCGTGGCCACTGTGGCCATTTGGGGGATGGCTTGTGTGGCCACGAGGTCACCAGGCAGTCGGAGTTCACTCAGCATGGTCCCGGGGGTGGAGAGAGGAGCAGGGCCCCCGTGGAGGCCATCTGGTAGAGGATCGCCACCGTTCGCCTGTAGCCCAAGCCCACGAACTCTGTGACTGAAACAGGACATGAGTCACCCCTGGGGCTCCTTGTGCTCCCCGTGGCCTCCCTCCCTCCCCCCCTCCGGCGAGCCCCTGCACCTTGCCCCTGCCTGGCTGACCCCAGGCTCCTTCCCCTCGTCCTGCTGATGTTACTCAGCTCAAGCCTCCCTGAGATACACCGGGCTGTCGGTCCCAGCTTCTCTCTAGCTCTTCCTTTTTTAATCCCCCCATTTTGCCGTCTGTAGTGTCCTCTGGGTGCTTCAGGGTCTGGTATGCCTGAACACAGGCCCCTCTCTCCTCCCCAGAGCTTTGCCCCGACAAACTTCAGACTGAGCTGTGAGATTTCTCACGGCCCCAGGAGCGCACATTCATTTAACAAGCATTCCTGGGTGCCTACCAGGGACCTGGCACCACTCTGGGTGTTTGGGGTGTGTCATCAGCCCCACGGGCAGAGTCGTGCCCTCATAACCCCACGTCCTCATGAGAGAGGGCAGAGGGCACACCCAGCAGATGCGTAAATTGTGTGCCAGGCCAGAATGCACTTTGTGCCATGGGGGGGACGGAGAGTTCACTGGTGGAAGGGGATCGGGAGAGTGGAGGGTGAAGGGGTTGCAGTTTTTCAGAGAGCAGTGCAGGGGGGTGAACCTCAAGGGTGAAGTTCCAGGCAGTGGGAGCCAAGGACGCAGATCTCCAGGGAGAGGGGCGGTGCCCGGGGCCAGGCCGTCCTGGGGGCCTTACAGAGGCTGGTCTATGCTGCATGAAGTGCAGAGCCCGGGCCCAGAGGGGCAACACAATCCCACGTCCACTGCTGAGTTGAGACTGGTGACCCATGTGGAGGAGAAGCGATGGCGTTGGCTTGGGCCCAGGGGCAGGGGCAGAGGAGAGATGGTGGACACGTGTGCGCTGTGAAAGCCAGCAACAGAACCCCTGAGGGGCCAGAAGCAGGCGTAGAGAAATGGGGGCCATGCTGACTGCCAGACCTCTGGCCTGAGTGGCTGGACAGAGGGCACGTCACTGGCTGGGGGCTGGAGTGGGGGTCTGCAGGTGGAGCAGGTTTGGGGACGGGGAAGACGAAGTCCTGGGTCCTGCCACATTGAGGGATGGGGGAGAAGAGAAGCCAATAAAGGAGACCAATATTCCCAGGGGAGGCCCAGGGAATATGTGACCTGCAAGCCTTCAGGGGGGCAGGAAGGGAGGGAGGGAGGGAGGGAGGAGGAAGGAGGGAGGGAGGGAGGCTGTCCCCACGTCATGCCCTGCCCGGTCAGACAGACAATCACATACAACTAGAGCTAGGACAATTTCTCTAGACCCCACAAATGTCCCCTCTCCCCCTAAATCCCACCTCCACGTTTGGCTCCACCCCCTTCCACCTGCCCACCCGCCCACCTGCCCTGGTGGGAACTCAGCCCAGCAGGCACTTACTCAGGACATAGCCAGACGTCCAGCTGCCCTTGCTCACCAGCCCCTGCAGCAGGCAGAAGAGCAGCAGAGACAGGTAGTCTTGCGCCACGGCCATGAGGACACCCGAGATGGCACTGATAAGGCTGGTGGGCAAGAGACATAATTTTCAGCCAAACCTTCAGAGGCAAGGAGACAGGGAAGTGGGGAGTATTTGGGGTCCAAAGGGCACCAAGGGGCAGCAAGGGTTTCGATCGGGAGGCATTCATCACTGCTGTCCTGAGGGACTGCCCCCCGGACCTGAGGGCCCAACCGTGTGGTCCTCAGGGAACAGCGGCCCTTCTGAGCTTCATTAACTCACTGTAAGGAGGAAGCCAGAATCCTGGTCTCAGGCATCTGGCATCTCAGCCGGGGGGGTGGGGGGTTCACCTGGGGGTTCTGCAGGTTCCCACGTGTGCCCCCTCTCATCGCCCGGCAGACTGTATTATTATTAACGTGCTAGTCTTATCAGCAGCCTCAGAAAGTTTTCTGGGAAAATATTCAGTTCTAATGGTATAACAATTGAGGATTATTTCCCTTTCCTTTTTTCATGAATGAAATGGGCAAATCACTTGCTAACTCTTCATCCCGGTAGGGAGCTTCATTGACTCCATTTTTCCAACCTGATCCCGCACTCTGGTGGCTACTTGAGGAAGCAAGGGGCCAACCTCCTGTGTGGTCACAGTGACCTGGTCTCCACCCCCAGACCTCCCCACCCTGCAACCTCTGTGTTCCCTGCCCTCTGCCTCCTAGACTCCATCCCAGGCCCTTCATCCCCCTACTCCTTGCCTTCTCACCTCCAGCCCCACGTTCCTCCCCAGCATACCTCCACACCAGCCAGTGAATGTCCTCATCCTGTACTAATGTAGAAACTTCCTGTCAGACGCTCACACCTTGTCACCTCAGAACAATCAGAACTAATGTTATCTGCATCTGCCTCCATCTTGTCTCCTGTGCCTCTGACGGAAGGCTGCTTCCCCTGCTCCGCTGGGGCCCAGCCCCTCCACTGCCCTGTTGCTCCCTCAAGCCCTCCACGATGGGTCACCCCCATCCTGGACCCTTTGCCTGTCCCCTGTCCTTCCTGGCCCACTTGCCTTACAGAGTTTTCCACACACACAAACTCTACTTTCTCCTCTCTCTCTTTTCCTCACCCTTCCCCTGACACCATCCTTGCCACTGGTAGTCATGGTGCCGTGTCCACAGGTTTGGACCCGTCAGGCCAGTCCTGTCTTGTGTTCTATAGCTTCACACTATCCCGGAAGAGCGGTTGTCTTTCTACCTCCCTGCCATTTCTTCCAAATCTCCTTTGCCAGCAACTCCTTCCCTACCAGCCTCTGTACACTCCGCTAGCTTCTCTCAAACATCATCAACAGCTTTAGATACCAGCTCCTGCCAACAAATCCCAAATATTTATCTCTAGCACAAACCTCTTTTCTGAGCACAACCCACGCATCCACCTCCCTAGGTGACATCTCTTCTGCACCACTTGGGCTACGCTTAGCTTAGCTGCCATGTGCACCCCACCAGGACAGAACTCTTGATGGCTCCCCACCCTCTCCCCCCACAACAAAGGCTGCTAACCTCTTCTGTCCTGTCTCAAAAAATGGCCCTAACCTCACCTCACCCATCTGCTCCATGCATAAACCCTGGCTTTGTCCCCACCTTCTCTCAGCCCACCACCCCAACTATACAATCTGCATGAGTTTTGACCCCCCAAATCCATCCTAAATCCCCGCCCATACTCCATCGTGCTGCCCTACCTCAGTCCAAAGCACTAGCTACCACGTCTTTCTCCGTCAGCGTCTGCGGTAGATTTCACCCGGCCAGATGCTTCCACCATTGTCCCCTACGATCTGTTCTCCTCACGGCATCGCCGCTGCGTTTAGTCAGGTTGACCTTTACGTACCTGTCTGCAAGGTAGCCGACACCCAGAGAGCCCAGGAAGAAGCCCAGGTTCACGCAGGACTGAAAGAGGTCCACCTTCCAAGAGTCGTCACATACCAGGTTAAACTGCGGGTCACACCACAGTCAGAAGGGCCGAAAACACAAGACCATTTGTAAGTCAAACTGTCCCTTCCGTCTTCTCTCCGGACAAAGTAAATGTTTACCATGAAGTGTGATACCCCCAAGGGTTTCACATCATTTTCTTTTGCCACAGTTTCATAAGACAAATTCCAGGTTTCTGGCCAACCTCAGCTACTACCATTATATGCCTAATATCTTTGCTCTACCCTCACCACTGTCAAGAGCTCTGACTTTGACAGCCGGTTATTGAAAGACAACACAGCCAACAGATAAGTCTTCTAAAAAGAAGTACAGCACAGGTGCACCTGGGTGGCTCAGTCGTTAAGCGTCTGCCTTCGGCTCAGGTCATGATCCCAGGGTCCTGGGATCGAGCCCCGCGTCGGGCTCCCTGCTCAGTGGGAAGCCTGCTTCTCCCTCTCCCACTCCCTCTGCTTGTGTTCCCTCTCTCGCTGTCTCTCTCTGTCAAATAAATAAAAATAAAATCTTTAAAGAAAAAAAAAAAAAAAAGAAGTACAGCACAGTAATTTCCTAAAGACAGAAATGTAGCAAAATAAATCGAACGTGATTTCCAGAACTGGTCAAAAGCCATCCATTAAGTACCTGTTAATTATATATTTAATTATGTGAAACCCACCGATAATTCTGGAGACTCAGCATGGCCGATGTGGCTGCGAGGGGCCACGGGGAGGGGCTGAGCAAAGACACTATGGGCAAGGAGAGGGCTTGGAGGGAGCAGCGTGCGCGCTGGTGTCCTGCATGTGGGGCCCAGGGTGGCCAGAGACTCAGGGAGCACTGTGCCCAGAGCCAGAGAGCAGAGGGACTAGGCAGGAGGGAGACAGGGGCAAAGGCAGGACAGAGCCGCCTGGGGAAGGGCTCTGTTGTGCTTCAGGGAAGCCCCACCGCAGGGGACACACACCAGGGCACCGTGAGGAGGAGGAGGAGGGTCCCACTTCCTCTTCGGGGCACAGAGGAGGTAGAAGTAAGGTGTGGAGCTCCACAGCTGGGGCCCTCACGGAGTCCCCGTCCCTGGCACAGCCCTGACGAGGTGGCAGCCAGTGGCACATCCTTCCTTTCTCCCTGTCTCTGTTCCACTCTAGTTACTTGGATTCATGGCTCCCCCTACCAGATGTGACAGCAGGTGGGCCTCAGTTTCCCAGTCTGAACTGTGTGTACTGTGCCTGTCCTGTTCCATTCACAGAGCTGGTGTGAGCACAGAGGGGAGAAGTCCTGTGAAAATGGTTTAGGTAAATAACAAACCCTTTACCTTTCAGGATAGAGGTTTTACTACACACCACCGTCCGCAAATCTCTAGGTTGCCAGTTAAAACCGGGCCTCCCCCGCCACCCCCCGTCCCCGGGCTCAGGGGTCGATTGTTAAGGGCCCCAGGGCTCTGGGCTCCATCAGCCTGGGGTTCTCTCCAACTGGCTGCTTCCTTCCTTGACATGAGCACTTTTTAAATTAAAATCTAGGTAGCACTCTGGGTCACCACTTGATTTTCAGAAACGAATCCCGAGCCTGTCTACACCTGCTATTGCTGCCCAGACCCCGCGCTCTGCTCCCGTGAGTGGCTCAGCTCTGGGAGGCACGACAAGATGCCACTCAGCATCTCAGGCGGTCCCTCTACCAACCCAAATGTTCATTCCCTTCGGCTGAAAGCATACCGGCCCCGCGAGGCTTCTGCGGTTCGCTGGTTTTCCCGGCCTGCCCTGGGCCCTGCCGTTAGAGGACTGAAGGACAGATCACTTGGGTGTTATCTGGCTGTCCCAGGGTCTGCATCTCCACCTGCCCAACTGTCTTTTTGTAGCCTCTACTCAAATGTCCAAGACCATAATCTGTGTGCGCCAGATTCCACCAAAGCTGCAGGGCACCGTTTTTTGTCTTTTGTTCTAATCTTCGCCATGAGTGTGTCTGTAGGATGTCCCTGCCCCCCTTCCTGAAATGCCCAGGGCGCCATCTTGTCCCCCAGACTGTGCAGAAGCCAGGGCGCTCACAGACTGGAGGAAGGGGCATCTGGCCTTACCCGGCACCACCACCTCCTGCGGAGATCTCTGCCCCCACTATGCTCAGGATCCGTGTCTAGAGTCACCTGCCATGCCCTGTGCCTCCCCCACCTCACACCCAACCACTGCCCCCCCTGCACATTTGTGCACACCAGGAAGACAGGCCCAGCCCTCAGGAAAGCCTGGGGTGGCGCAGAGTAGGGGGCGCTAGATGGGTGGCTGCGCCCACTGGGGTTCCGCCAGGGCCGGTGCCTGGGGTCTCAGGCACAGTCTGTGTTTTCCAAGCTCGTCTGATCACGAGATCACCCAGAGTCCTTGCCAGAATGTAGACTGCTGTGGATCCTGTCTCAGCAGATCACAGAGCAGAAGCCAGGAGATCTCTAGGATGAGACAAGTTTAGAAACAGTGATATTGCTGATAGAGGGCTCCCGGGACCTGGAGCTGAGGACTTTCTCTTGCTCATGCTCCCAGGCGGGGGAAGACCGGGGTTAACCAGCCTGGAGGGGGGCCCCCAGCCCACTGTGGGGCTGCAGCTGACAGGGCAGGGGACTCAGAAGTCAGAGAACATGCACATTCCTTCCCCAGACGGAGCCCCAGGCCCCATCCCTAGCACAGAGGGGGAGTGCCGCTGGGATATTCAAACAAGCTGGCTCAGCATCCTCCCTCAAGCAAGTTCCAACGTCCAAGGCAAGGCTAAGTTAAAAATTATTTCTGCAGAAAGGCAAATCCCCCCGAGAATAAGCTGCAGTTTAGGATGAGGAGCGGAGGCAAAGGCGGGTTTAAAGCAATGGGGGGAGAGTGCTGAGTCCTCCTGGGCCCCCTACCCTAGGGCCCCTGTGTCTAGTCAGCCCAGTGTCTCCAGCGAACCCCCCTTCACACTCAGCACTCTACCCTACAGCTACCTCCTCCCCACTCCCTCTGTGAGTGACAATTCGAGGATCCCCTCAATCGTTGCCAGTGCTTTGATCTAGGGTCTCCTGGAAGCCCACCCCTGTTGCCACAGACAGCCACTGGGCTCTGGAGCTCTCTCAATCCCCTTGCGTCTGCCCCTCCCCCTCCGGCTCTGCTGCCCCTCCCGGCCACATATTGCACAATATTTGATGCTGATAACCGAGGCAGGGAATACAAATATTGCATGCGATGTACTAATACTAAAAATGCGTTGTTTATCTGAAATTCAAATTCTACCCGGCACCCTGGATTTCCTTTCCTAAACCTGGCAACTCTGCCTTCATGCCGAACGAGGAAGTTTGGTCTTGTTTAGGCAGAGGAGCAAGACCACTGTTTTCCAGAGTGGCTGCACCAGCTTGCACTCCCACCAACAGTGTAGGAGGGTTCCCCCCAAAGGGGAAACTTCTGCTCTGCCCCCTCCCCGGTCCGACCCCCACCCCCCACCACGGGGTACTGATCAGGCCAGAGGAGAGGACCCAGCACCTTCCTCCAGTAAGAGCCTCGGCTGTGTTGACACTAAAACTGGCCTGTGGCTTGAACAGCTGACCTCAGAGCCAATTTCCAAGGGCCCACACTTGTCACAATGCAATTTTCAAAAAGATGCACGAAGGAAAAAAAAAAATCTGGTGGCTTTTTACTAAAATATTCTCGAGGCGCAATACAGACAGGACCCATTGAACTCGGCAAGCGGGGCCCTTCGACACCACTACCCCATCCTGTAGGCGGGGAGTGGGGCCGCCACGCACAGCTGAACTCGCCAACCCCGTGGGGCCGGTGACTGCCATCCCTGGCTCACCCATGAGGAAGCGGAGGCTCAGAGATGCTGAGTAACATCCTCGGGGATGCCCAGCTGATCTGGGGCACGGCTGGGATTGAAACAATCTGACTCCAAAGCCAGGATGGCTTCCAAACCACCCCAGCCGGCACTCAGCTGTCACATGAGTAGAGGAAGGGGGACCCACCATTCTAACGGCACCCCAAGGGAATTCTACAGGCTCTTGGAGAAGCCATGGGGCAGAAAGACGAGGAACCCATCTCCCCGTAGGCCCATGTTCCAAAAATGCAGCTCAGCCTGGCTGGCAAAGGTCTCCCCGCCCTCCAGCCCTGCTCCTCGAACCCCCAGCGTCTGTGGGGGACCAGACGGCAGAAGCAGGCAGAGTGCCCAGGACGGAGCCGGGCACATCCTAAGTGCTCAGCCGACAAAACTCTCCTCTTTCCTGACGCGAAACCAAACCTCCTAGGATTTGTTGTGTGTCTCCTCCCTGCCCCTGAAACCCACCCATTCCCCCAAACCCGGGGCCTGCCCTTACCTCGGTCACGATGGACGAGCCCCGCGTGTTGTACACCCAGCCGTGGCGACAGGGCCCCAGCGGCAGGTGGCTCCTGTTGGTGGCCAGGCCTGCCAGCGGGTCCACGCAGCTGAGGGCGCTCCGGTTCCAGTCCACCTCGTAGCCGCGGCACTGGCGGGGGAAGGCCTCGCCCATGGCCCCCGGGCCGGGCACCGTGTAGTTCAGCTCGTCCGCCAGGCTCCAGCCGCATCGCCGGCTCAGCTCGGCCACCCCGGGGCTCAGGCAGCGGTGATCCGGGGTGAAGGCCAGGAAGACGATGCCCACGTAGATGGGGGCGAAGGCAGCTGAGAGCAGGCATAGGGTCAGGAAGGCTTGCTTCTGGAACCGGCCAAACTCGCCGACCTGCTCCAGAATATCATCCACGGTGGGCATAATGGGGCCAGCACCTCCTTCATCGCTTTGGCCGAACTGCCCTGGCTGCCAGGGCCGGGGTCAATGTTCCGCGTGCCCTTCTCTGCAATGCTGGCTCGAGAGCACGCTGCTGTCCAAGCATGCTCGACCTGGAAGCCGACCAACTGGAAGCAATTTTTCACCCCGTGCTGCCCGCGTCAAGCGAGGGTGGAAGGCAGGACGGTGACCGGCCACATGGCCTGGCAGGGAAGCCAGTCAACCAGGCGGCGCTTCGAATTCTCTGGAGTCAGAGTTCCCTCCGAGAGAGGAGAGAGCTAGAGGCCGCTGGGCGACCCCCGCCCCGCCGGTCTCCGTAGGGCTCTTCCAGAGAGATGACCTCTTCAAACTGTTTAGAATCCCGCTAAATCAAAGACAGCAAACCGTAGAGTGTGTACAACCGGGCGGCTCACGCTCGCTCACTGGCCACCAGCTCCGCGTCCCGTTCGCCACCGAGGCCGTTTGACGCAGGCCCGCGCCCCATGGACAGGGGAGCAGCGAGCGAGCACAGGGAACGCTCGAGACCCAGCGGCCAGCCCGGCCAGCCCGTGACTGCCCATGACGAAAGCCATCAGCCGCCAATTCAGAGCTCCAGCGTGTGTTCTCGAACCCCTCGCGGAGGCCTTCGCGGGAGGTGCTATCACGCTCCGCACTGCACAGCTGGGAAAGCGGAGGCTTAGGGAGCTACCGGCTACTGCCCAAGTTCACACCGTCATTGAACTCGAACCTTGTTCCACTCCAGAGCAACCTCCCTTAATTTATTAACCTGCCCTTGGTTCAGCAACTCACGTGTTTTGCTGTCTCACCAGATACCCGCCGAGTCCCTCTACGTTTCAAGCAGTGCCAGGCTCCGGACACAGAAATGGGGCAGCCTCGACCTCCACGCGGCTCACAGTTCAGGGGGGATAGACTCACAAAGGGACGACAGCTCAAGCAGAGGGCACTAGGGGAGCCCCCCAGACTGGCCCCTCGGCCTGCTCTGCACCTTGGAGGTGAGGAAAGGCAGGAAGGGTGTGGCAGGCAGGGATGGGAAGGTGGCCCCCGATGACCCTGCCTCCTGGTGTTTGCACGCTGGGGTAGGCACGGGGCCTGAGACCGGCTTGTCCGCATGAAATACCACAGACATGGCCATGCTCTTGTGTGGTTACATCACGTACAGTGTATCGGCCGCCCTGCTGGGCTTCCCTCTCCCCATTGCTGGCTTTGCTGGAGAAAGCGACCTGGGGGGAATCTTCGTGGCAAGGATGTAGGGCGCCCTGGCCGACAGAGACCCTCGGGCCTACAGTGCAGGGACTAGGTGGGCTCAGAAGTGGATCTTTCCCTAGACTGCAGGGGGTCCAGCTACACTGCGGCCACCCCCCTGCCCCCCAGAAACCAGAGACAAGTGTGTGTGGCCTCCCACAGCTAGTTTTCTGGAAATGTGGCTACATGGCAATAAACGAGGAGAAATACCGTGGGCTCCTGGGAGCAGCAGGGCCTCGAGAGGCCTGGGGGGCCTATGCACAGCCCCACTCACCAGGCCTGCGGCTGGCTAACGGCGCTCCACATGTGGCCCTCTGGGACTCTGCTTGCCAGGCTGACCTCAGAGGCCAGGGCCTCGGCAGCAGACGCCAGGCTCAAGCAGCTCGTCCCTCAGCCCAGCCGACTGCACGCCCGCCCCGCGGCTGCTCTTGGAGTGGGACAGACGGCAGCCGGTGGTGGCCGGGCCCCTCCAGGCCTCATCCTGGTCCCCCCTTGCACTCCTCACTGTAAGGCAGAGCTCGGAGCCGGCAGTCGGGTCCTCTGGCCCCCGCCGCAGAACGGGCAGGCAGAGACTCACATCCCGCATTTTACCAGGAGGAACCGAGGCTGAGCCTGCAGCACCAGCAGCTGGCCACGAACTGAGCATAGCTTTGCTGCAGGCAGCACCATGGGCCGAACGGGGAAGCAGCCTGTGGTTTTCTGGTTAACCAGTCCTTCAGCCTGGGCACATGGTAGTGGTAGAGCCAAGCTCCCCGAACAAGCCCATTTCCCCATCTCCTCACCCCGACAGAGGACGGCCAGCTTTCCAGACACCGTGGACTTCACCCAGCATCATCACCTGATCATCCCCGGGGCAGGCTCCCAGCTGCTGGCTTGTGAAACAACCTGACACCCGGGACACTGGGTCAAGGGGGCCATCTGGGCACAGGGTGGGACCCCAGGAGCCTCGGCTAGAGCTGCTGAGAGAGGACATCAAAATGCCATCAGACAAATGCGCCCCATCTCAGCCCTGGGAGGACACAGACATTAAGGGCGGGTCCCTCCACCTGCACCCATGAGAGGCAGATAGAGTGATGCTCATGGTGCTAAGGGTGCCCTTGTGTTTCTGGACTCTTCTAATTTCCTGGGTGACAGGAGTGTCCCTTGTCCTAATGAGGTGACTCCGGATGGCTCCTGGATGGCTCCTGGTCATGGGATAGACCAAGCCATGCTTAGAAGCTTGGAACTTTCAGCCCCACCCCCATTCTCTTGAGGAGGAAGAAGGGCTGAAAATGGAGCTAGTGGTCCATCAAGCCTACATGATGAAGCCTCTCTAGGAATCCCAAAAGTGCGGGATCTGGAGAGCTTCCTGGCTGGTGAACACATCCACACTGGGAGGAGGATGCACCCCAGCCCCACGGCGACAGAAGCTCCATCCCAGACCTTGCCCTACGTACCTCTCCGTCTGGCTCTTCATCCGCTCCTTCAGTAAATGGTATAAATGTTTCCCTGAGTCCTGTGAGCCGCTCTAACAAATCAATGGGGAAGAGGTCACAGAACCCCAATTTGCATCCAAGTCAGACAGAATTATGGGTCACCTGGGGACCGACGATTTGCAGTTGGCATTTGAAGTGGGGGACAGTCTCGTGGGACTGAGCCCTCAACCTGGGGGGGTCTGATGCGATCTCCAAGTAGACAGTGTCAGAACTGAGTTAAATTCGAGGACCCCCAGGTGGTGTTCCAAAGAATTGCTAGGTGTGGGGGAAAATCCCACACGTCTGGTGACCAGAAGTGAAATGTTCTGGGTGAGTAGCAAGGGAGACACACAGGAGAGGGGAGAGCTGGGTTTTCCCTGCACAGGAGGAAAAATGAGTGGCTTTTTGTAACACAAATGTGCTGGCCCCAAACAGGCTGGCTCTCCTCACACCAACTCCTCTGCTTGGGAAGCAGCCAGGGAGCAAAGGGCCTGCTTTCCACACATCCTGGGGCCGAAGCAAGGCCCCTCCCTGTCCCCACCTCCCCAGTGGCCAGTCCAGCCGGCCAGGCCTGCCGTGCACTGCTCTTTTCTCTGCGGAGAAAGCAACCTGCCTGGCTGTCGGCAAGGGCCTGGCACACTTTCTCGTGCTCAGACCAGGCCACTCCCTGTCTCATCTCCCAGTCCCTGGTTCAGGTGCATGGAGGGGAGGCCGGGGATCTCTCGGGGATCAGAATTACAACTGGGAGAAGCAACACAGGACAGCAACCGACCACCGTGCCCCCCACCCCCGACCCCGTGGGCGCCCCTCCTCCCCGCTGCCCTCAGCCCCAGAGCTGTCCCGGGCTGCAGGCCTCCTCACCGGCCCTGGGTTTGCGGGTTCCCTCTATGTGCCACCAGGAGGGGACCACCATGTCCTCTCCTCACTGCCCTCAACCCCCAGCACCTTCTCCAAAACAGCAGCTTTCTTTTAAGGGCCTTAAGGGATAGTTAAACTGCACTGAGAAGTCTGGAAACTGCCAGAAATGAGGAGCCAGCATGGGAGCCAGGGAGCTGGGCTGCGCCATCGACGGCGTTGCCTTCTTCAGTGACCCAGGCTGTCCTTACACCGCAGGCTCCTCCCCGATGTCAGGGCCCCCCTGAGAACTCTGCTTCCCCCACACCAAACCCGCTGATGCGGGAGACGGCCGGCAGGACGCTGCGCCCCAGGCCTCAGCCAGAGGGCTGGACGCAGGAGACTTCTGTCTCCACCTTCCCTCTCCAGGTGCTGGGACCATCCTGACCCAGCGGCCTGGGGGTGCCTGCCTTGCCCACAACAATCTTCTTGTCCCCATCTGTCCCACACACATATAAAACGGGAGCCACACAGCATATTCCTTCTTACCCTCCCCACCTCCAGAGCTCCCAGGGCTGCGGGCTCGCCAGCGTCACCACCGGGGCCAGAGGTCCCCGGGAGCACGACCAGTCAGCATGGGAGACTGGGGTTAGAGCCGAGGCGATCACCCAGGCTCGCTTCTGTTCCCAACTGGATGCCGGCATCCAAGTCCCAGTAGCCAGAACCCACGTCCTCAAGATATCAGGGTCCACGCCTGGCCCGTGAGAACCCACTCGCTCTCGGTGACCCACGCACCCTGTCCCCACAAAGGAGTCCGCATAACCATCTGTGCATTCCCTCATTCGTCCTCCGTCGGGCACGGAGGCCATCACAGGTCACAGGGGGGCGGCCTGGATGCGGGCCCCGGGCACAGCCATGGCTCCTCCTGGGTCTGATGGCTGCCTGGCCCCTCTAGGAGCGCCACCGGCCCTCAGATCCCTGGATTACATAACGAAGCCCCACGGGCTGGGAGGCCTCCATCGCAGGAATGTATTATGTCACTGTTCCGAAGGCCACAACTCCAAAACCAAGGTGTGGGCAGGGTTGGTTCCTTCCCAGGGCCGTGCGGGGAGGGTGTGTCCCAGGCCTGTCGCGCGGGCTTGTGGAACGCCGCCTTCTCTCTGCGCACATCTGTCTCTGTCCAAATTTTCCCTTTTCGTAAGGACACTGGTCCTAGTGGATTAGGGCCCACCGCCTGACCTCACTTTAACTTGGTGACTTCTGTAAAGACCCTCTCTCTGAATATAAGGTCATGCTGAGGTGCTAGGGGTTAGCACTTCATTTATGAACTTGGGGGGACACGATTCAACCCCTAACAATGTCGCCTCGCCAGCACTCATGTGTGGAGAGTAGAAGGGCATTCCAGTGCAGGGCCTCATCAAGGTCAGTGCCATGGTCAGCATCTTGGGGATTGGACCTGAAGTGGGGAGAGGTGCTGTGGGGGGTCACAAATGGCAGGGGTGGGGCCCTGGGGAGGAGGGGCTTCCTCGGGGAGAGGAAGCATGTACACATCTCTTGGGCCCTCCCCATCTATCAGACGGCACCCCCAGCCCGTTCCCTGTGACCCTCAGGAAACAACAGAACTGGGGCCCATGGTGACAGCTTTTCTCAGGGCACTGGCCACAGGCCACCAACCTCCCCAAGGGGACACTGGCAAACATTTAGAAAGCACTGCATACTGTACCCCTTCTTGGAGATTCACTGGCCACATCGTTTATTATAATTTCAACCATCTGTCCTTTTGAAGACTCTAGAGGTCTCGTGGCAAGAAAGCCTGTCTAGTCAGCATCCTCCAAACTGACTTGGGCACAGGCCCTTTACACGTTTTGTAGAACATCTACCAAAATCATACAGAACAAGGATTCCACGGGGCACACTTTGGAAAACATCACTCTATGATGACAAGATTTCCTAGTTTAAGTATGATTTCGTTACCCCCGAGGTCCCTCTCCCATGCTTCCTGAACAAGAGTCGTAAAGCCACGAGGTGGGGCAGAGCACAACAGGGATCCTCCAGGGGCGGGGCGGGTGAGGGGCGGGTGAGGGGCAGCCCATGGGGAGAGTGGCCTGTCAGGGTCTCAGACCCCAAGCAGGGTGAGGAGGGCAACCTCCCACGTCAAGGCCACGAAAGTACAAAGAGGACAGAGGAACTTTCTGGGCTGAAATAAAAAGAGCAAATGAGGAAAACAAAAGTTCCTTATCTTGTTTGTTCAAAATTTGTTATGTTCTGATTGTCTCAAAATTAAAACAAAAAAGTCTGCAGTCAAGGGTCACAAGGTTTGCCGGGACATGGCCCTCGGCTTCTTTCATGGCTTTCTGGGGCACCGCACCCCACGGTGTGTCTGTCTCCAGCTATGCACCCCACGCGGCCAGCTCCCCAAGGCCGTTTCCTCCAGGGCAGTGCTGAGAGCAGCCGTTAGGTCACCCCAACTCGGCTGTGAGCACAGACGGGGGCTCCACAGTTTTGCCCTCTCCAGGCGTAATGACCACCTGCACCATGTGTTCAATCTGGTTTTCCTCTAACGCTGTACCAAAATAATATTAGAAGTAATTTTTTTACTGAATTTGGTTTGCAAACTGGTCAGCACACAACACAGACTAAGAGGTGAAGAAACAGGAGTTAACAGTTCACAAGCCTCCCTTTGCTCTTTTTTTTTAAGATTTTATTTGACACCGAGAGAGCCCACAAGCAGGGGGAGCAGAAGGAGCAGCAGACTCCTTGATGAGCAGGGAGCCCGATGCGGGGCTCCATCCCAGGACCCCGGGATGATGACCTGAGCCGAAGGCAGATGCTTAACGGACTGAGCCACCCCGGTGCCCCGTTTCCCTCCATCTTTAAGAAAACTCTGTATTCCCGCCAGGACTCCCTTCCAGGCTAAGAGGCTCTCCAGGGTGTGCGCGGCCAGGGGGCCGTTCTTCCACCGACCCCGCCCTTCCGCGGCTCGCCGTGGGGCCTCCGGGGCAAGCGCACACGGCTCACCGCGACTTTCAGGAGACACTGCGAGTCCTGGGCCCGCTCCAGCCTTACCTCCTCCATCTGCCCTGAACGCCGCCCCCACCCGAGCCTGGACGTGTGTAACAGGACTGCCCGGCCAGGTGGCCAGCCCCGCACCCCCAGCAGCCCCATTGGTGCTTTCTGCCGGGATCATTCGCTCGCCCCGTGCTCCCCGGCCACACAGCAAGGCTAGCTCGAGGGCGAGGCCAACCCCGAGCCAGTGAAGCCCAGCTGGAGAAGCAAGCCCTGTGAATGCACTTGAGTCGTGGGTGCTCTTCAGAAGCTGGTGAAGGGGATTTCTTTAAATCTAACCTTGTCCATACTGCCTGCCCCCAGCATGCTCACTATCCCCTAGTGACCTGATCCCCAAGAAGAGACTTAAGTCCTCCATGCCCATCAGTTCACTCACATGAAGGGCTGGATTATCCCACAAGATTGTTTTAAATGCCCAGGTGGCAGTCAGCCTTCCTGAAGGGCTCGTCTGGTTTTAAGCGTTCTAGTAAGAGCAGATTTCTACTTTACTATGGATTTCCCTGACACAGGTTTGCCTACATTGTGCTTATCCCCCCCTTACTCTACTTCTCTGCCGCTCTTGGACAGTCTCCAACAAACGGGCGTAAAAAAGTTGGTTCAAGGAAACAGAGTATCTGGGTTGTACTCTTACCAGTAAGATCCCTTCTCTGGAAACACCATAGTTCCTATTTGCGGGCAGGGCACATTTTCCTAAAACTACCTACAGCAACAACTGACAAGGATGGTGACTGTCTTTCAGAACCCAGGACAGCGATGGTCTAGGTTCTCAAGAGTCCAAGCAAACGCCCTCAGGCACACAGGCCACCTGGCCCCCTCGGCTGTCCGGCCATGAGCTGCGCACTCAGCAGGCAGCCCGGGGTGCAGGCGAAGACCCCTGCCATCGAGCTCACCAACGGGGCCGGGGCGTGCGCGCAAGTGGCCCCCCAGACCTCCTGACCGAGGGGCTTCCTGTGTCTTCGGGGGAAGCGGGGGAGGGCTCGATGCCCGAGGACCAGTGACACCTTGGTCGTAACATACACTTCTCTAAAACTTGAGTGTCTGTTTCAGAAGAGACATTGTAAATTTTTTTTTTTAAGATTTTTTATTTATTTATTCATGAGAGAGAGAGAGAGAGAGGAGCAGAGGGAGAAGCAGGCTCCCAAGGAGCAGGGAGCCCGATGTGGGACTCGATCCCAGGACCCTGGGATCATGACCTGAGCCGAAGGCAGACGCTTAACGACTGAGCCACCCAGGTGCCCGACATTGTAAAATTCTTAAAAAGAAAAACAAAGTCACTCCAACTGGATAATGAAAAAACCGAGACGGAGGGAAGGAAGGATGCTGACTCCAAGAGGTCTAAGTTGCCACTGTCACTTTCTGCTTCATCCACTTTGGCATTAACATCTCGGAAACTCATTACGGGTCAGAGTGATGAGCATACAGAGGACCCACCCCCGTGCGAGATGGGGACAGCTCACCGGCATGCTCGTCGGCGCCACCAGAATCCAAACTCCTAGGTGGCCACTTGGACAAGCCGGGGATACCCTGACGTCCATTTTCTCGAAAAGAGGGATGACAGCAGACCTCAAGGTGGCCCTGGTGCTCGAACCTGCCCACAGGAATGAGTCCAGAGAGCACCCGCGGTGCTGCTCAGGAAGGGCTAGCGGGGACCCCCCCACCCCCACCATCCACCCGCTGCCGAAACCCAAGCACAGACCTCTTCAGGAACTTCACAGAACACATAGGCAGCCTTTCACCATCTTTCGGCAACTTTTCACCATCGAGGGGGAAAAAGCAGTAACACCCGACTAATAATTTATCTTTTATTGAAATTGTTGAATACTTTATATTACAGTAAATTTGATTGAAAAAAAATGAGAAAAGAAATCAATTTTAAAAAATACACTCATGTTGAAATCAAATTAGCCAGCCAAACCGAGTACAAACCAAGGGCAGCTTGCTTTTCAGTACATGAATACCACTGAGTCTATATACAATTCTATAATTCGAGAAAAACACTTCAAGAAAGGTGCCAACAGCCAGGGAAGGACAGCGTCCTGCCCTCCCGTCCTGCAGCACTGAGAGGTGGAGCCAGCACCCCCAGCGCAGGAATCCCAAGTGCAACGCTAGGGCGAAGTGCTGGCCCGTCGGCTTTCATGCAATTTCTGTTAAGTCACGCACTGTGCAAATTAAGGCTTCTTATAGGTCGAATGGTTGATAAACACTTTTTTTTTTTTTTCTTAAAAAAATAAGCACAGTAAAGGTGGTATCATGAGAACCTGAAGAGGTGAGACCTATATCCCAAATCTGGGAAAAAGTTATTTTCTCTGACATCTCAACTCCATCCTCACACACACACAAAAATAATCAATCTTTGGGTGGGTTGTTTGAATTCACCAGCCGGCGAAAGAAATACTGATACATGTGTTCTGTGCACCTAGGATTGAGGATGTCATGCAAAAAGCTGCAGCCGTTACTGACTAAAGGCAGAGAACAGGCGAACCGTCCCAAGCCTAGGCACTCGGGGACCCCTGCACGTGCGTGTTCCCTTCAGAAACAGGAAGCAAAAAGGAAGGACAGAAGGGAGCATTCTAACTTAGAGGATACATTATTGACCAGCTCAAAATCGCATATGGAACCTTCCTAGCACACCAACAGCTCCTCCTCCGGACAGGGGATGAACCACTATGTTACCCTGCCGTCAGGAAAAAGACTGTGGGGTTGTTTGTGGCGTTTTTTGTTTTTTTTGTGGTTTTTGTTTTTGTTTTTGTTTTTTTCCTTTTTTGCAAACCTGAGTAATTGTCAAAGTCAATAAATAGGAGGAGAGAATTAAATGCTAAAATATAATGGTCAAAACCCTACAGGGCCTAAAGCAGCAAGGGTTTTTCTCAAATACACAGCCCTCGGTTCCAAGATGCGTCTGGCCCAGGCGCACAGTATGAGGCGCACGGCTGCCACGCTTTTAAGTGAGGGCTGGGGACAAAACCCAGGGCCCCGGCTCCTCCCCCTGCGACAGGAACAGAGCCTCGTTCCAAGGACCGTAAACCTGACCTCCTCACCCTCTCCCCCATCACAAAAACTCTTCCCTTTTGAAACAGTTTTTGTTAAAGGCAAAAATGATAGAAGCATCCTCGAGCTGAAGTCTTATTTGGTTGGAGGTGCCTGGTGACACCGGACCTGCGTCTCCTGGAGGCACCAGGAGACTAGATGTGTAAGAGGTCCTCGTCACTGTCGTCGTGGAAGGCCGCCAGGCCGCCGGAGCTCACGGTCTTCGGCGGCACAGGCCTGGACTTCCCTCTGCGGGCCAGGTCCCCTCGCGGCAGCACCCCAGCGCCATCCGCGCTCTCCCGAAGCCCCCTCCTCTGTGGGGTGCGCCCATGCGGCATGCTTGCGGCCCCAGTCCCTCTGCCCAAGTGCACCTTCACCTCCGGGATGGTCAGGACCTCATCCTCACTGTCCTGCTCATCCCCGTGCAGGGAGGTGAGGGCTTCGGCCTTCACAGACTTCGTGGTAACGTGGCCGTTTTCCTGTCCTTCCTTCCCGGGCCTTGGGGTTGGCACCTGGATCTCTTCCATCAACCACTCCGTTTCGTTCTCATCTGCCTCCTCCTCCTTGTTCACCTGCCAGGGACAAAGCAGGACCCTGGAGCCCATCTGAGGCCCCACTCGGTTCTGCTCCCCTGTGGCCCTCCCTTCCACGACCTACCCCCGAGTTGGGGACCCCCTTCCCCTGCCCACTGCAGTCACCACGTTCCCAGGCTCCCCACCAGGAGAGGAAGGGAGGGCTGGCAACTGTCAGCTCCTGAGGAGACCCCCCAAGGCAGACAGTGTCCCCGAGGGCAGGAAAGAGGCCTCTACTCAAGCCAGGTGCCCTGGGGGGACGGGGGGGGACGGGACAGGCAGTAAGAGAAGCCACAGGAAGGACGTGAAGGTCTGAGATAAGCCTTTTAGAAAGCAGTTTGGCAGGAGTACCGCAAGTCATGAGAATGTGTAGCTCTTCAACCAAATGAGGCCTCTTTTAGGGAAATTTATCTGAAAGCAACCATCCAAATGCCAGATGCACAAAAATTTTCATTATTTTTTATTTTTTTTAAATAACTAAAAAAGTAGAAGCAACGAGTATTAAATGTTCTCAGAAAATCAGCTGTAACCACAACGAGAAAAACTTGAAAGAAAAGAGGACAAAAAGTGTGTTTGGGTTAAAAGCAATGGATGATGTTTTCCCTTTCGTACGTCAAATTGCCTACGACGGCATTTTTCTCATCACTGACTGATGTCACCACCGTACGGACAGCTGGATATTGGGGGCAGGGGGGACGGGAAATTACCTTCGAGTATTTGTAGGACACGTTCGCACTTCTCCTGCAGCAGCTGGTCAGCCTGCTCAGCACGATCTCCCTGGAAGGCAAGCACAGTCACTGCAGGGTGGAACCAGCAGGACAGGGGGCCCAGCTGGCCAGCCCCTCCCCAGCCCCACAGCTCGAGCGCCCACCGAAAGAGACGCCTGCAGCCCCCACAACACAGCCCTGCACGGCCCGGGCACGAGAAGCCCATGGCAGAGGGGCGATAAACCAGTTCAGTGAAAAGAACACTCTGGAATTAGACAGAAGTGGATTTGAAACCTGCCTCCCCGAGTGGTCTAGCAAAGGCAAGAGCAAGTTACCTAACAGTTGTGCTTCCGCTGTCCCATGTGACCATAAGGCCACACGTCCCCGCCACCCCAGGCTGCACTGGGATTGTGTGTGCCGAACGACTAACCCAAGACCAGCTCGTACCCAGCCCTTCTGCCCTGATTCTTCGTTCCCGTGCCAGCCTCTCTGGGGTGGGGTGGCCGCACTCAGGACTCTGGATGCTGGCTCCGGCCACACTACAGGGCTCCTGGGCTCGGGGCTTCAGCTTCACTCATGCATGACATGGCAATCTCCTGGAGGGACAGCCATGTGTGGGGACGAGCCCAGAGGATGGCATCCTACAGCAGGCATCTCGTAAATGCTCACTTTTGCAAGGGGAGGCTAGCGTAGAGGGCTCAGCTGATCATCTGCTCATAAAACGTGTTCATTTTCTGTCCATCTCTGGACACAACCAAAGACCAACGTCCTAAGAACGGACTCACACGCCTGGGACGGGCCCCATGGTGCCGGTCCGACACGACACCTTGTCACAGGAACACAGCTATTTACGGAACACAACCCCGGAGACCGCGTCCATACCGTTCTCTCTCACACACACACACGCACACGCACAAGCACAGATCCTGGTGGCCCCGCGGCCTCCCTCCCCTTACCTCCGTTCCTTCTTGTAGAGCAACAGGGTCAGCAGACAGCCGGTGAGCGCCACCAGCAGCAGGCTGAGGACCGCCCCAACGGCCTGGCTTCGCTCCGACAGCCCCCTGCGCTCCGGCGTGTCCTCGCCCGCGCTGTCACCGTCGAGGCCCACCCTGAAAGGAAGCCACCTCAGTCAGGCACATGCCACCACAGCGGCGACCCTCGCCGGCCCCAGGCCGGGATGTGCAGACCGGCGGGGGACCAAGTCCTCGGACAGTGAGGTCAGGCAAGAGTACGGCGCACAGGCGAAAGGCGGCGACGCAGGACCGCAGCCTCAGCCCCGGCTCATCCCACCGGGCGGCCGTCAGCTATGAGGTGGCCGAGAGGGACGAGCTGGCCCCACTGGTCTGCCAGGACCACAGCTCTCCTCTCTGGGGCCAAACAGTGGCTGCCACCTGGGGAAGGCTTCTCCCTCACTGCATCTTGTCTTGGGACGCGGCGTCAGTGCGCCGGGGGGGGCGGGGTTTGAGGGACACCCCCCCAGGTCACCGCGGGGTGTGACACGGACAGTCTGTCCAGGCTGCTTGTCCTGGGAGGCAGGGCTGGTGACCAACACGGCCACTCTTCAACCAGCTAAGATTTCACCACTCCCACCCACATGTGGTGAACAGCAGTATATTTCCAGGACCTTAACCATTCAACGGAAACAGTAAACTTAACTAATATAAGACCAGAAGCACCAGGACGGACTTCCCTTTCTGCTCAGAGAACCAGACCTTTGTGGAATGACTCAACACTTCCGAACCCTCGGGCCCTCACGCCTGTGCCGACAGAACCCACTACCGCCAATTCTTCCCCACCCCGAGAAAGCAGAGAGCAAAGTGACAGGGGCCATCCGGGCTGCTCGGGAGGAGAGAGGGCACTGCGACAGGCCACACACACGCAATGAGCTGGATGCTAAAGATGCTACAAATTCAGAAAACCACTCGGTTCGAGTTGGGTCAGAGGGCAGCTGACGGCCCGACCACATAAGGATAACCACACTGATCAAAATTCAGCCCAGGCCATGGTCCCAGGGTCCTGGGATCGAGCCGCGCATCAGGCTCCCCGCTCGATGGGAAGCCCTTCTCCTTCTCCAGCTCCCCCTTCTTGTGTTCCCTCTCTCGCTGTGTCTCTCTCTGTCAAATAAATAAACAAAATCTTAAAAAAAAAAAAAAAATTCAGCCGGAACCAAGCGGTCTGGTTTGGAACCATGAGGAGGAGGAGCTCAGCGTTCCCAGTCACTGTGTGCTCGGGCGGGGACAGCCCCACGAGGCGCACATCGGCCAGCCCCGCACGCCCTGCCCTGAAAGCCGGGACCAGCGGGGGCACCGGCTGCACGACATCACTCACTTCTAAATGTGCTCTCGTTTCTACTTCTGGGCTCCCCGGTGAGCCAGGAATTATTCTTAAGTGTGCTTTAGTGTCCAAATGGGTTTCTATTTTTCAGTTAATTTCTTGTTACTGGTCCTTAACTTAATTGCACCGTGTGTGTTGTTTATACAGCACCCACATTTAGAAATTTGCTAAGACTTGCCTTACATCCATGTTCCCGGAAAATACAGGACAAAGTGTACTCTTTTTAAAAGTGAATACTGATTTAAGATCTGACAGATGGCATCTGGAACTCCCCCACTGTCCCTAGCACGGTTTCTATGGACTGCAGAGACACCCTTCTCTGGGACACAAAGCCAACAACTGCAAGGGAAGAACTTTTCCTCCTGATCTCAGTCTCAGCACAGAGAACGAGAAGCTCCTATAAGAACCTAACGTGGATGAAACAGGAAGAAAGCAAATACAAGAGGAGAGCAACATGTAACACTGTGTTCTAGATGAGGGCCTCCAAACACAGCCATGACCTAGGCAGAGGGACGAAGGCTGTGGGGTCCGAGAAGAGGTACGTTCCCTGTGGCCACACGGAGGCCCAGATGGCCCTTCCCTCACCAGAAAGCCCTCAGCACAGAAACGCATACTTCCCATGAAAACCTGGCCTGTAGCTGATTTTCAAAATCTGTAGAACAAGTTTTCATTCCTTCAAACACACACAATACATCATTCAAGTTAAAGTAACATTTACCACGTAATAATCTGCACTAGAACACACGGAAAACCGTGCTGGAACACAAAGATGAGACAGAGCGGCCACTTCTGGTGAGCCAGTGAGGGGAAATGCCGGCTGGGGAAGGCCGGGAAAGAAAGTGGGGGCGCTCAGGCCTCGAGCGTGCATGCAGGCGGACGGTGGTGATGGGGGCGTGGGGGGCCAGGAAGGGCAAGACTTGGACAGCCACTGAAGCCGGATGCCGGCTACGTGGGGTTTGCCTCTCTGGCTCTCAGACACACTGGAATGTTCCCACAAGACAACACTGGGGGCAGAGAACACATACAAACACATGCTTGAGCTAAGTCCTGAGGGAGCAGGTTGGGGGTACAGCTGGGAAGTGTGCGTCCCGAGCAGAAAGCGGCTGACAGGAAGCTCCGGCCCAGGCCGGGCCAGCGCACTCACCCCAGAGGACACACAGCAGAGGTGTACCAGGAGAACAGGTACTGGCAGTCAGCAGTCTCGTGGCTGAACTCGGGGATCCCATCCTTCACCAAAGGGTCGCAGTGGAAGAAGATGGTGGAAGACACAGACTTCGTCTTATCTTTTCCACACTTAGAGGACGAGGCAAACACCACATCCAGATCACCATCTGTCAGAAAGGAAGACACAATACAGGCAACATTACCATCAACTTTTCAATAAAGGGCTGAGTGTATCTTTCCACAGTCTGTAAAAAGTTTGCACACACTTAAAATCATGGTAAAGGGCCTTCTTCAAAGGTCCCACATGCACGCTTTTTCACAGGCCGCCCGACACACATTACGGAGCCCCTGCCTCACGTCAGGGAGCAGGGAAGTCTTGAGCCTTGCCCCAGAAGAGGTCTGGCTCCGTCCTCAGCTAACAGTAGGATTCAGAACAGGGACTGGCCACGCGTTATCAGCGCCTCCATAGACGGAAATGGACCCAGTGGGCAACCAGCCAGGCAACCAACTAAACAAGCCTCCACACGGAGCCCGGGACGCTGGGGGCTCGGTGCGCTCCCCTGGCTGGCGAGACTCCGTGCATATCGTCACACACTGGTGCTGGGAATGGAACCCATCCTCATGCCACAGGAAGAGCATGATGGAAGCATCCTGCTCCCTTCTGGACGCCATCCTATGTGCTTTTTTCCCTTGGCCAATTTCTATCCTTAACCGTGACTGTAACAGCACAAATGAGTCCTGAGTCCTAACAAATGATCAAACCTCAGGGTGGTGACAGAACCTCCCTGAAACCTGCAGCTGGTGTCAGAAGTGACGGAGCTGTGTGCAGACGTTGCCCTCTCCAAACTCCGCAGGCGGCTGGAAGTTCACAGTCAGCCACTGCTACGGGGCTAGGGCGTTCAGTGCATGAAGCGGCCACGTTCACGAACCAAAGGGAGCCCGAGCCCCAAGCCCCACGGCTGGACTCAGGAAGGCCCCACGAGTTCTCACTCACAACTGGCTGAGGCGTGACCCAAGTGGACCACCCGCCAGGCTGGCATGTGGGCGCACATCCCCGAGCTGATGGGGGAGCCGAATCGCAGCCAGACGGGGCTCCGTAGCTTCCTACTCTTGCCCTCTGGAATGAGTGGAGACTTGGGAAGAGATTTAAACTGATTTTTTCACGAAATGCAAAAAGTGGTCTTAATACTAAACCGACTTTCTAGCATTGGTGAATACTCAAAGTGAAAAGGTCTGAAAGGAGTTTAAAGAACAACGAATAAAAGCACGTGCAGATGTGACCCGAGTGAATCCAACTCAGAATTACTGGAAAAGAACAGAGAACCACAGGAGTTTACTCCATAATGTGGACTCCTGACAGCAAATCAGGCTGACCTGGCACTCAGCGTCTGCGCGTGAACGCACGGACGTCTGGGCTCCTACCACTCGGGGAGCAGCTGCTTCTCCTCTCGGGGAATCTCTAGGAGCCCTTTTTACAACAGAGCCGGCTGGGTTTTTAAACACATTTAACTTTTTAAAGGGTGTCTAGCCTTTCTTTTCAACCTTTTGACAAATGTAAAATGTCTTACTCTACTATAAAAATATCTGAAGTTGCCAAGTAAAGAACCAACATGACAAAACAAAATCGAAGGCAATTCTTGGACACGCACACTTTATCTTCTGCTTCACCCCCACTGCACAACCTCGGGTTGAAACCAAGTTTTGGTTTTCAGGTGTTCATCTGGAACTGAGGTGACTTTCTCCTAGAGTGAAATGCTCGTCTCACACACACTGTTCAATCATTTTGACAACTGTGTATCAAGACACAGACAGACCGGGCTTCTGCTTTCAAATCGGGGATTTCAACGGAAGGGTTTCTTCATGAAAATTCTAACGTCCCTCCTTTGAAGAAGCTGAACACGGAACACTGATGGAAAGCAATTACCTTGAACGTAGTATTTGGTTTTGTCAGAAGTTCCAACTTTCCTACTGAAGTGTTGGTCGTTTGGTTTAACCTGGCATATGTTGGCCCCCGAGCATGCTGGATTTCTGGAGCTTGTGATGGAGGAAAGCTGGATTTCATACAGATACTTGTCCCCATTTGTTCTCATGTCCCCAGAGGCACTGAACAGCCTGAAGAGACAGAAAAGATGGCAGTGACTCTAGTCCTTCCAGAAACCCATTTACGAGGGACTCAAACACCCGGGAACTGCAGGGCTGCAGGCCACGGCCCTTCTCCGGCTCTGCCGGCCTGGGAGCCCGTGAGGACGCCCGAGGGCACCAACTTCCACCCCATCGTCTTCCTGCGTCCCCAGCCTGCACTCTGAGTGGTGTCCCGCTCTGGGCCCACCCCAGCCTGCCCTGGGTGCGGCCAGCAGCTCTGGCCGGTCCTTGAGGTCCGGTAGCCGACCCCCGAGATTATCAGGAAGGGGAGGAGGAGGGGAGACTTTATTTTTACACTCAAGAGAATTCACCATCTTTGGTGTTAAAACTTCATGGTTGAGTAATGCTTTCCCTCGGTTTAAGCAAAATATGACAACCACCTAGAAACAGTAACTAAAACACACTGCCTATTTATCATCTTGCAGCCCCCCCGCCCCATTAGGGAAAGGTCTAAATTGCTGGCTTCATTTTGAATACATTTCAGTGCTCGAAAGGAAAATGTTCCACTTACTTAAAATAAATATCTCCGAGGCTGAAGCTCTTGCCGTTTATAGGGTTGGTGATGGTGCCGTTCACCATCTGCACCTCCTGCGGCTTCACAGCACAAGCAGCCCGGGAGTCCCAGCTGAAGTAGTACGTGCAGCTGTCGATGTCGAACCTGGAGGGAGCGAGCGAGGACCGCGGTCACGGCCAGCCGGGCTCGGGGCGGCGCGGGGCCGCGGCCGCACGGAGCCTCTTGCGCCTGGAAGCTTGGCTTTCAGGGCTCCATGCGGGCCGAGCCGGGTCCCCACAGAAGCCCCCCCACCGCCGAGCCCTCGCCAGCCCCACAGTGGCCACTGGCAGCTCTGGCTGGAATGGCTATTACTGACTTTTCTCAACAGTGTAATAGGGAAGGTGATGGTCTAGCACATCAGCAATGTGAAAAAGCAGGCAAACTGTTCAACACAGTTTTGCTTTGTTTTGTTTTTAATTAAGAAACTGTGTGACATCTAGGGGCGCCTGGGTGGCTCAGTCAGTTGAGCATCTGCCTTCGGCTCAGGTCATGATCCCGGTGTCCTGGGATGGAGCCCTGTGTCAGACTCTGCTCAGTGGGGAGTCTGCTTCTCCCAGCCCCCGCCCCCCCCTCTCTCTCTCAAATAAATAAAATCTTCAAAAAAAAAAAAAGAAAAGAAAAGAAAAACAGTGCAACATCTAAAAGCTGGAAAACTTTGCTCCCAAATTTTTGAACTTTATTTTATAAGCTTTTCTGACTCCTACATTGATTTAAATCCTCAGACAATTCCCAGGTCTCCCCAGAAATTCCAGCCCAGCTTCTGGAAGAATCACTGGTTGGGAAATAGCACTCGTATGCTCCCTCTGTTGGCCAAACTCCTCCTAGCACTAGATGCAGAGTTGCCTAGAAAATTCTAGGGTGACCCAAGAGCACCCCAGGTGCCAGCCCCACCTGCTTGGGGGGGTCTCAGGCTGCTTGAACAGCTGGCCTTGGTGGCACCAACCGCTGCCCCTTTGGTTCTACAATGATGTCGAAGGCAGAGGCCGGTGAAACATCACTTGACATTGTCGCTTTAGCCAAGTGACCGTGTATCCGGCCCCTTTTCCAGGAAATCCCTCCCTGTGCGGACCAGCCCCGCACACTCTAGAACAATTAACAGGCCCGGCCCCCTCACCAGGCCCCAAGTCTCAGTGGCTGCACAAACACCCTCTCCCTGCACACCCGTCCGCACACCTGAAATGAAAACCGGGGGGAGAGATGCTGGTGAGCCCCCAGTCCCTGCTCTCCACAGCTCCCTGTGCAGGCCCCAACCCTCTCACCTCATGAATGAAGGTCTGCCCACGGTCTTCGCACAGGTCAACTCTATGACGGCAGATGCCGTCTTATTCTCCCCACACTGATAACCTTTTGAATAAGTTACGATGACTTTGTCATCTGAAACACACGAAGGATGGATTTGTGGTTATAAAAAGCTTCGGCGTCAGAATGTTAAAAGCCAAGACAGAACAAATGTTCGGCTCTCTCAAGACTCCTAAGTCTTCAGTCTTGGGTTCTCAGCATGCCAAGCTTGGTGACCGCCTCCGGGTCCGTACCACACCTTGCACGGCTGGGGAAGACCTGGGTTCCAATCCCAGCCCCTCCTGCTCACCAGCTGCCTGACTCGGGGCTGCTGAGCATCTGAGCCTGTCCCCTTACCTGCGCGGGAGGAATACCGCCCAGAGCGTCTGCCACGAGCCCGGCACGATGGGCACACAGAGAACCTCGCCTAACGGCAGCTGTCACAGCTGCTCCAGTTTTTAGGATTCCAGGGTCATTTTAGGTGCTTTCCCAACACATCCCCCCCACCCTCCCCGCTCGGAACATCCCAGGAGTAACAGGGCAGGAGCTAGACCTCCAAACTACAAAGAGAAAAACCAAAAGCAGAACAACTCAGGTTTCTCAGGTCTCCCGGCTCTGCATCCAACTTTTCCACTTCCAAAAATATCACAGAGAAGAGACAGCTAAGACCCTGACCTGCAGGGTCTAAGAGGTGAGCACTTGCTCACAGTGGCCTCTTGGGAGCCAGTGTGGCGGCCAGCTCAACGCTGCTGCCACTTCCAGCTCCTGTGTGTGGCCGCCCGGAGCCGTCCTGGGGGAGCCCAAGCCCACGCTGGCTCAGCGGCACAGGGCGGGGGCCTCGGGAGCAGCGCCCACCCTGCAGCCCCCGACTCTCACACCCCCGAGACCCGGGGGGGCGGGGGGACACAGGCCTTGGTACCAGCTTCCCACCTGTTCTTCCTGGGACACAGGCCAAGGCGTAGGGGACTGCTCTGCCAAAGGCCCAGGCCCTCAGCCCTGCCCAAATTCAAAGCTGTACCGGATGAATTACATATCAGGCTCCTGTGCAAAATTTTGGAAGACAGAATTCTACTGCTTTAAAGAGAAATTCTTAAACTGCCGGGGCATGGGAAACAAACCAACGCAGGTCTTACTGTAGACACCCTCCACTCCCGAGCAATACACTCGACCTTCCCCAGCTCGTTGCCCAACCTGGGACATGGACTCTAACCCCAAGCCCACCCCCACAGAGCTGTGAGGATTGCACAGGCCGAAAGCACAGCTGTAGATAAACGTGACTTCCTGGAACAGACAGTCCATCTCTCCACCCCACATGGCTGCAGCCCTTCCTGAGCATGTGGGTCACGGTGTCTGTCCTTGGACAGCCGTCCTGTTGGGGCCGAGGAGTAAGGCCCCGGGTGTGTTGGGGACCCTGCTAGCCGAACCTTCCGTGAGGCCTTCACCCTGCAAACCTCTTTCAGCTGGCTGTGGGCAGCCGGGGGAAGGGCTGATCCAGTATCTGTACACAACCACGAGACTGCAGAGCAGAGAGCCACCCTCACCCCTCGTCGTGAGCCGTGTGGGAACAGCGGTGGATGGCGGGCTGGGAGGCCGCTCCAGGCGACCCTACCATCTGGTGCGCCTCTCATCCACAGTGACAGTGGTCCCTCGGAATTCCCTGTCTCCCTTCCAAGAGCTCAAGCAGACTCAAGTCACCCGTGGTTTAATCAGGACAACTCGGGGACCCCACTCTACTCCAACAAGGTAAAGGTGTTTTTCTTTACTGGTTCCTCCGAACATATCCCAGTTATTCCTATCTAAGAAAGACCTACCTTTTAAATAATGAAAGACAGGGGCGCCTTGGTGACTCAGTAGGTTAAGTGTCTGACTCTAGATTTCGGTTCAGGTCGTGATCTCAGAGTCGTGAGATGGAGCCCCGCGTCGGGCTCTGCACTGGGCATGGAGCCTGCTAAAGACTCTCTTTCTCCTTCTCCCTCTCCCCATCCCTGCCAAGCTCGTGCTCTCCCGTACTCTCGCTCTCTCTCAAATAAATAATGAAAGATAGAATCTTTCACTCAACAACCAATTGCGACATGAATTTTCTACTAACACTATTAAAAAGAGCTTCAGTATTTTCTTAATTGTTAAGACATTACAAAAACATACCCCTGAATTATCTTTACCAAGTTCTTGCATAACTGTTCAGCTTTCCTGAGTAAATGCTGGTGCATATAATATGCAGACTCCGGCACTCAATCCAGAGCTGGAGCAAGGATTCAGAGGAATCTTAACCACTGTGACCCTCTCAGGGTAGAAGTACGTTCCCAGGAGAGGTGACCCCCCTACACACACCTGCTAGGACCTGCCATCTCTGGGAATACAAAGTGGTACTTACTCTAATGTTCCAGGAATTACCAAAATGCTTGAGAAACAGTCATAAGGAATGGTATCTGGCGGTTTCAGCTCAAGCCAGTGCTGACCCTCCTGGCCATGAGGATGCCCTCACCTTCCCAACTGCGATGCAACACCGTAAGCATGCACAACAAGGAGCCAGGGCCTTACCTAAGACGTCCAGCCTCTGTGTGTGAACAAGCCCCAAGACCTGGACGACACCAGATGCACTCTTTTTGCAAATGCTGGCTCTGTCAGAGCAGTCGAGAGGCCCTTTATATATTTTCTGGCAGAGATTTATATAGTACCTGTGAAACAACACAGAGAAGTGGAGGAGCAGGGTGCAAGGCCAGTCTGCCCTGCGCACTGGGGTGCAGCTCTCTGCCCCTCCCTTTCAGAAACAGGAACCGTGCTGGTCCCCAAGTGCCCCACGGCACCTCAGAACACAGCACCAAAACAGATTTTCCAGTAAAGGCCCCGGGAGTGGCTGCTTCCTGAAAAAGGGGGCATGGCACCCAGGCAGGTGGGGGTGAACCCTGAGACGGTGTGGTTTAGGAGGGCTGCTGGGTTGGGATCTGCAGCGACTCCAATCCCAGCGAGCTGCTGACCTTAGGACCGAAGGCCTCCAAGTGCACACCCCCACCCCACGCTGAGGCCTTCCTGGTCTGAGGGCCCCTGGCAGAGAGACATGGAGCGGCCGCCACAGGCCACAAATCTCAGACCCACACAGCCCACGGGGTGGGTGCCAAAGAGCTGAGAAAATCAATGCACCCCCCCGCACACACACACCCAGCAGCAGACAGAAGCCCCTCACAAGCACAACACTCATCGAGACTCATTCTATCGCATGCGGATCGCCGGCTCCTGGTTCCAAAGGCTCCCTTTCTGTCCACCTCTGCCTTCAAACCCAGCCCCGGGCACCAGGTCTGGCACCGTGAGGGGCTCTCGAGCCACCGCAAGCACCGGCTTTACGTGGCAGCCCCAGCTCTGCAGGGACATGGAAGCGGACCGCCAAGAGCCCACCACCAACAGGCCCGAGAAGGACACGGCTGGCACGTGGTGATAGGTACTCACGAGTCTCCTTCATGGACAAAGAACCAAGACCCGGTGAGTGAAGACAACAGCCGTAAGTCGTAGGTTTTGTGCTTCTGGATGAATTTGCACTCCATCTTCTTTGGAGGGCAGACAACTTTTGTTTTCCACTCAAATGTCACCTCACAGCCACGAACTTCACTGAAGACCTGTGGCCTCCCAATATCGGCCTCCTCGTCGCACTTGAAGATAATTGCAGACATCCGGTGGCTGTTTGCTGGGGAGCAGCATGCAGAAAACTCAGACGGCAGCCTGGCCCCCCGCCGGCCCCTCACGTCTCCCCCCCCAGCCCGCTCCGCTGCGCTCCGCCACCGCCCCCGCGCCCCCGCCAGAGCTGCGCCGTCTCCTTCACGTGTCCCCCGGCCCGAAACAGACCAAGGCCCCCCAGGGCCCTGTGTCTGCCTCCTCTTGTGCTTAATGACCCCATGGCACTAGCTCAATCCCCCGTGGACGGTATTCAACATTTGGTCACATGTGAATGAGGACAAGAAATGAAAACAGCAACAGGTACCTGTAATTACCTAAACACGTGAGTGCTGTCCACCAGACCAGGAGAAAGGCCCTGTCATAATAAGCCTCAAAACAAAACTATAATAGGCCCCTGCAAATTTAACACTTAGAATTTCTTTATACCCTCTCGCTCCCTGAGCATTTACAAGAATTAAGTCGTTTTCGTGTATCTCCTCATCACGTCCCTCGAGCACTCACGCCCGTTTGTGCCGCCCGTGAGCGGCCCGGCTCAGCCTGAAGCCCCAGCCCCGCGCCGTGCCCGCCGCACGGCTGAGAGCCGGCAGGTGAGCCCACCGCGCTTCCTGCCGACGCAGGCCCGTGACCGGCAGGACTCCGCACAGGCGCGAGCGGCCGTCAGCGGCGCCGGCACGAGGACACCCACCGCCCGAGTTAGAGAATGGGCCCCGCTGACCACCTGGCACCAGCCTGTCAGCCCTGCCCCACTTCAGTCCATGTACCCAGTCACGTAACACATCCCACGGAGCCATTTGAGATGTCCTCTCTTTATGCAAAACAAGCGTGACGTGGAAAAACGACACGCGACAGGGTTAACTCGGACAGCCACAGAGGTCTGAGCACGAAGCCAGCCTGGGGAGGACGCCGGCCACGCGGCAGCCCGAGCCCGGACGCGTGCTCCGCTACGTACAGCGTCTGCAGAAGCCCCACTCGCGGTCTCTGTCGTAGTTGGCCGTGGTGGAGCACCAGAGCCTCGCCCTGCTCTCCAGAACACACTCCTCGTAGCTCTTCCCATTGAATATGAAGGGGAACACACAGGGGTCACCTTCCTCAGTTTCTGGAGAAAAGAAGAACATCGCGTGACCCTGATTACTGGCACCTCAGCTGTGCTTTCACTGCTGCACACGATCACCTGGGAACGCTCACAGGGATCCCTTATGAAAGCCACCACCCTGAGCCAACATCAGGACCGCTGGCCTCTGGGTCCCAACATGGCAAGAGGCTCACAGACCAGCATGAGCCCGAGGCCAGAGCACTCACACTCAGGGCTGTGTGGGTGGAACGCCACGGGGTCCGAGCCAGGTGTCCGCATTCACAGCATCCGAGCTCCATGCCTCAGTCTCCTCCTGTGGCCGGGTCTACCACCACACTCCCCACAACATAAAACACGCCCTGCTACAAAGATTTACCTGGAGGACAATTATCTCCGTTGGCATAACTTAAAATGACAGCTTCATCCTGGTGCCTGTAATCCAGTCTCATCGATGCCAGCCGCCCGAAAGATGCCCCCTTGTTCCTGGAAAGCAGGCAGACACCGCCGTCCTTACAGCCTCCTTCATCCAGGCCTGCCGCCGCGGTGCATACCCCTACACTGTAGGTGCGTGAGTCTCGAGTCACCTGGACAGACAAGAACACGCGTGGGCGTCAGTGGGTCTCCAGGTGGGGAGAGCCGTCGCTCGTGCCGGAAAGCAGGGACTGCCTGCGGGCTGGGCACGGCTGCCTCAGTGCTCCCTTCCTCCTCTCCACTCCTGACCTTCCTCCAGAGGGCAATGCCTGACCCACCGTCTGGGCACTTCCTTCCGTCCACCCCCAGGCCCCTGGCGGGGAGCCGGCTGTCAGACCTCGGGCTGCTCCTCCACCTTCCTGAAGCCCGGGTTCCCCACCTGTGACGCAGGAGTGCTGAGGACAGAGCTGATGAGCGGGAAGTAGACACAGCATCGCTGAGCACGTACGTCGCCTTCCTTGCCGGCCCCACCCTCTGCAGGCTCACACCTGCAGCGCACCAGTCCCACCTGTGCAAGGTCTCTATCACAGGAGCCAGGGCACGGGCCTCGGGGCTCACTACTCCCCAGCCACCATCCCCTGGGAGGTGCTGGGATCTGGTGGCATGGTCCAAGGTGCCTAACTCAGTAACATCTAGATCACAGGCCCCCAGGTGGAGGGTCCCCAAACCCCAGTGACTCAAGATGTCCACGGCCTCATCGATATCACAAATAGCCCATGACACAAAGACCAGATAAGCTCCCCCCCAACACACACACAGATGTATCTCAAGTCAGAGGAACATCCTAGCAGCTGCCTCTATCCATTACCTCTGTGGTCAGCAAAAGAGCTGCATCTGCATCTTGAAGTCAGGTTGGCAGGAGACACAAGGGAATGACTCACAGCCTCTTCTGGGTGTACCAGACCTGGCCCTGCCCTTATGGGATACACGGTGGTCACATGCACGTCCCCAAGCAGCCTCCTGACCTCCGTTGTATCATTTAATCCTCACAAAGCCCTATGGAGCTAAACTCTGAGCCGTGGCGCACAACTCAGGCGTTAGCTGGGCCTTGCTCGCTACACAGTCTAGAATCCCCGACAAGTTGATCCTGTGTGTCCAGGGCGGAGACTAAGCCCATTACCCCTCCGTGCACTGTGCCTCAGTGGTCACATGTGCCCCATCACCTACAACACAAGAAGGTATCACAAAGAACCCAGGCCGCTGTGCCCCCAAGATCAGCGGGCTCCAGCTGAGCGGCATTACCTTGAAAGTGCTTTTGGAAAGGCTGGACAGGTTAAAGCTGTAATGCAGCTGCTCGTCCGTCAGGGAGCAGCCGTCCACCTTCACTTCGTCTGGACAGACCAGTGGGGTCTCCCACCCAAACACAAAGTCGCAGTCACTGGTCCTCAGCAGCATGGGAGCTCCCTGTTCAAAAGAAAACCCACATGGGTCAAGTAGAGCATCCTCACACGGCTCTCCTCCCCCAGCTGGCACCAGAGAGAGACCCCCGCTTCCGGGGCTGTGGCCGTGGCGGGGAGGCTGCCAGGTGCTCTGGGTGACCCGCAGTGGCCCCCCTCCAGGAGGGAGGGGCAGGGGCACCACCCTGCAAGGAACCAGGATGGCCCTGCCCACACACCTGGAGCCTCTCGCAACCTCCAGGACGTGGCCCTGCGTTTAGACAAAGTCCCCATGTCCACACTACCAGTTCTTTAAACGTCATGACCGAGCAGGGTATGAAAGTGAGGCCCTGCCAAGGCAGAGGAGGGAGCCGAGCCCTCTGGGACGCTCGCCGGGAGCGTCTCCCCCCCGCTGCTACAAACTGAGGCCACCCCGGACGAGGCCCACACACCACTCGGCCAGACTGCACGCGGGCCACGGAGCCCGCACCGGCATGCTTATGCCCCCCTTGCTCAGCAACAGCACAGGCGGGCAGCTGGTCAGCAATTTCATTTTTAGCTGCTGCTGAGAATCGGTTTTTCTATAAGCTTCAGTGGAAAAGTATTCCCACTAAAGGTAAAAACCACAGGGGCAGAAAGCCTCTTTAAAATCTTTCCAACCTTGAGCGCACAACTTCGTGTGAGGTGCCCGGTCTCTGAAAGCCAGTGAACACTGTCACTCTGAACATGACACTGCTGCCCTGAGACTCCGTGCCCGCCCGTGGACGGCCCACCATGTGGGGTTAGCAGTTTCCCAGCTAGGCCGTTACACGCTCTCCATGTGGGAGGCTGAGATAACCGGAGCTCCTCGGGAGGTGGGTCTTCAAAAGAACCCCTCTGAAGAGAGAACTACTGAACGTGGCAGCCTTTCTACAGATTAAGCCACGCTGCCTTAGGCTGTGTGTGCCGATGGCCGCCGGGTGGACAAACTGCACAAACATACAGACACATACCCAGAGATAAAAGGAGTTCGCTGATCACAGCTCTGCCCCCCTGGTAACTCAGGATCATCCTGAGGGCCAACGGACCATCTGTGAACAGGGACGTGTCCAAGGGCCCTGAGGTGGGGGGAGCCACTAGATGGGGAGGGCCCAGGCAGCGATGGTCTGTGTCTTCCCCTGTCCCTCCTCTCCCCAGGCTGCTGCCACGTCACTTCCCACCACTGCCGGGCAGCTAGAGCTCCCTTTCCCTGACAGACCTGCTACAGGCCAACAAACCAGAAAGTCAGCCTAGGGAATCCACAAGACACATTCTAGAACCGAAACCCGTTACCTGAGCTCCTAGGGCCAGATGAGCCTTACAGTTCATCATCTTCAGGATTTTAAGAGGCACATATTTCTATCACCTCTCTCTCTCTCTCTCTCTCTCACGCACGTGTGCGCGCACACACACACACACACACAGTCCTACAGTCAAGCACACTCATGTTTCTGTAGCCAAATGTATGAATATTCTTATCAAGTGGGACAAATACCATGAGTAGCCTCCATCACTCATGTCAGAGGACTGAGTTTTCAGAGTGTTACAGATTTCAGAAGCATAGACTCCGCGCTGTGAAGCTGGGCTGCTTGGAGCAAAGAGCTCGCCAGCTGAGAAGGGGGAGTCCCGGCGGCCACTGCAGGGCTGCATGAGTCAGGTACGGCACCCAGCACCTCTGAGTCCCTGTGAAATGGGGGCCACAACCTACCCATTCATCTCCTATTCACAGAGAGAACGTATGCAGAAACTCTGTGGAACAGAATGACACTCGTGATGGAAGCCATGTTATTTTTAAATGCACTTAAAACAGAAGTCGATAACCTCCTTAGAAGGAACATATGCAACTCTGTTAGAGCTATTTTGATTCCGGAGAGGCCTTCTTTTGTTCGCTAACTTCTAAATTTTGGGTTATATCCTGAACAATGATAGCTGCCAAAAGTCTGAGTTACCAATAAGAATAAAATCACTAATGCTATAGTTTTAAAAAAGGAAAAAGCTGACACTTCTATACATTGGTACACATTGAAAACTACTCCTATGCTTAAGTGTTTCACGTTTTTAAATTACAGCAAGCCTCGCTGTGCAAAGTCCGCTCCATTAATTCAGTGTGGGCTTACTCATTGTTAAATTAATGGTTTTAGGGGCACCTGGGTGACTCAATCAGTTAAGCATCTACCTTCGGCTCAGGTCATGATCCCAAGATCCTGGGATCAGGCCCCGCATCAGGCTCCCTGCTCAGTGGGGGGCCTGCTTCCCCCTCCCCCCCGAGCCCTCCCCCGCTTATGTGCATGCTCGCTCTCTCTTGTGCTCTCAAATAAAGAAATAAAATCTTTAAAAAAAATTAATGGTTTTAAATTATTCAATGCACCACTGACACACCATATGATTGCATCCATTTTCAATACGGGCATCCTTACGCCTAAAGCATGCTTTCTGAGCCTGCAGCTCTGGCTCACTAAACCAGGCTTCAGCCCCCAGACTGTGAACAGGTGCACACTTACCATGCTCACACCTCTCCTACAGTGAAAAGCGATCAGTGAGGTGTAGTTGAAATGCTTGTCCGCTAAGCAAGGAGTACTACTTTCAAAATTCAAGTAAACTTCATTAGCTATGGGGTTGAGTATTGGAGGTCCTGTGACTCGGCCAATATCCTAAACAAAGAAAAAAGCAAACAGCATTTCAGGAAATTGCTCGTTGGGTTGGCGAACACAGGCTGATACAGAACTGCAACAACAATACCTCATCTGTTTTGAAAATGAGTAGCATCTAAAGAAACTAGGTTAAGAGCAACTCACTTGACAAGTCTTGACAATAAAAGCTGCTACTCAGAAAGTTCAGTTTGTCAGCAGTCATCAGTTTCGATCCTACGATTTCTAACAATAGGATTCTATTTCCAATCATGGTGAATTTTCAAAGATTCCAGGCAATAGGTCTCTGTCCAGGAGTATCAAGAATGCTGCATGGTCCCCTATCACCTGATGGTGAGTGGCGGCAGGAGCCCACAGATCTGCCCCCACGCCGGCCGCCTCCTCACACCCAGCACTGCCCCAGGATTGCTCGGTTTCCTTGGCAGTGCCCTTCGGTACATCCTTGGGAGGGCACAGGCTTATTTCCCATGACGTTTTATTGCTCAGCCTAGCATCTGACGCACACTGGCTGCTCAGTAAATATTTCTGAGCAAATAAACCCAAAAACGAAGGAAAGACGAATGGTCAGAAGTGGTGTATGTGTGCATGAGTGAGCCACGGGGCTTTCGTTCATCACCATGGTGCCGGCATGTTCAGGCTATGATGACTCAACACCTACTCCAAGCAGGAAACTGGCTACCGTTTTTAAAATCTGAAAAAGGACAGCCAGGCAGGAAAATACAGCAGATCTGACCTATCAGAAAGGTACTCACATCCAGGGTCCCAACCTGCACGGTCAGAGAGGACGGCACTGAAGAGCTTCCTACTAAGATGTGGTTCACCCAGGCCCTTAGCCCCTCATGCAGGTAGGACTTTGTGAGACTCATATCATGGCCAATTTCCCCACCCGCTCCCATTTCTCTATACCAATGCTGCAGATAATACCCATTTTTAAAAGGACATCTCCAGGCATACCTGGGTGGCTCAGTCAATTAAGCATCTGCCTTCAGTTCAGGTCATGATCCCAGGGTCCTGGGATCGGGCCTCAAGTCAGGCTCCCTGCACAGCAGGGAGTCTGCTTCTCCCTCTCCGCCCCTCCCCCCGACTCATGCGTACTACAAGCATGCTCGCTCTCTAATAAAATCTTAAAAAAAAAAAAAAAAAAGGACATCTCCATATCTTATGACAGGACTGCGTAAAGCCTACAGATAGAAATATAGAAATAGACCCTTTTGAGATGCATCTCAAATAATAAAGCACAGCAAAGATTTGATAAAACATAAAGAAAACTCATGAAGACAATTTTCAAAGAGCCAAAGCTGTACTAAAAAGAGCTAGGAGTCCCAAACTTTTAAGGCAGAGTATCCAGCAATTAGCAGATCTGCTCTTGCCCCGAAGGACTCATTTACCAAAGAAAGTGATTGTATCTCCCAAGCACTTTCTTTACCCCAGACATGCATTTCAAAAAAAGAAATCAAGTTCTTATCAGTTCTTTCTTGCCACTTTACATATAAGTTTCCTGATCAGAGTCAACCTTAAGAATCCTAACAGGACACCCTATTCACACGTGTTCATGTTTTCTTCCACAACTCAGAGACCTCCTGGTCGCCATCATTAGCGGATGGCTCAATGCACAAATCCTTAACGTTAATCTTCCCCAACTGGACCCAGGACACACACAGTCCCAGATCCTTTCACCTTCCTATCTGCTTGAGTAACCCTCCACTGAAAGCAAGAAACACAACATGACAGTTGTTAAAAATCTTGCAAAACCTGTTTCTGCCTTGTGTTTCCCATACTTACTATGGGGGGACCGTCGACAGGAACCTTGCACACAGCCGCTCCAGCGGGACAAGGCACCCCATGCATCGGGTTCAGTGGCTGGCAGATGTTGATGTAGAAGTCAGGGCCGGTGTCCGAAGTGTCATCCTCACTCTCGTCATACGCCTCATAGCCCCCCGTGCGGTGGATGAGGGGGGACAGGTCAATAATGGAGCTTCCGTTCCTCACAGAGCACTCCGTCTGTTAGACAAGGAGGACCTCGCTGGAGTCCACAGTAACATTCTCCTCATCACCACTAAGTCACCCCAGGAATTTAAAAGCAGCACAAAAAAAGCACGAAAGATGGAACAACATCCCCCAAATGCTTGGGCACTTAGACCTACTCATTGTTGGGACCATCGCGGGTGGCTAAGCCATTCTGGGTACCCTCTGGCGGGGGGGGGGGGGGGGGGAGTGGTGGCCGACAGTGACCTGCAGGAAAGCTGGTGCGGGAACCAGGGCCCACCCGGGCGTCAGGCAGGCATTTCTCAGAGGCCACACGGACCCCAGACTCACCACCTGCTCGCAGGCCAGAGGCGTGTGCCAGGAAAAGAAGAGCGTGCATGTCTGCTTGTCGAGAGAGATGAGCATGGGCCTGTTGGTGGGCCCGGCCTCAGGCCTGCACACGAAGCTGATCACACTCTTGTAGGTCAGGCCGGATTTGGACGGACAGGGGGATCCATCCTCATACACCAGCTGTAGGACCTGATCCACATAGGTCAGCCTCTTGTTTGCCTTGCCCACACTGATCCTGGTCTGCCCGAAGCAGGCCCCTGTACCGAACGTGAAGGGAGAGGAAAAGCACAATTATGGACTCAGGTGACCAGCTTTCTGAGGACTGCTTTCTGCAAATCCAGAGCTAACACTTGTCATTCTGAGCGTCCAGTGAGGTCTCGGCAAGTGTCCTGCATCTACCATTTCATCACGTAGCCACGGGTTCCCCCGCCATGAGCAGAATGTTACAGCAGAGGTGATGGATCTTCAGTTCTACTCCCTCTTTTGCCACAGGAATGCGGAGGCTGGGGACAGCCCTGGGGACGGGAGACCCAGGCGTGGCGGTGGTCATGCACTTACCCACGCCGGGGGAGCAGTTTTCATTGTCGTCACAGACACTGATGTACACAAGCCCCTTCTCGCTGTATGCGGCCGTGTGTCCAGCTCCGCCGCTTAAAGAGCTCAGATCAAACAGGTGTCCTGCAAGGGGGGAAGGGGCAGACACACAGTGACGCCAGCATGCTCACCCACGGACCACGCTGGCCGTTGGGACTTCTGACTTCCTGCCGTGGGTCCGCCACTTGCCATGTTCACTGACCTGGCCCTAAAAATGCTCCTGGCCAGCTAGACTACATCATGAGGCTAGAGACTGCAAGTTTATATGATGGCTCATCTTTCCTCAGAAGACAGTGGCTCATAGCGTCCTCCTCCTCCCGGGGCTGGGCCACAACAGGGCCACGAGGGCCCTGGTGGGATTCAGGAGGGCCTGATGGCATCCCTCCCATGGCCAAGGGAGGCCAGCCGCAGCCTGCTGGGTCTCCAGCACGGACGGCAGTCGAGGCCTCCCCGCTGCCCCCACAGGACCACTGGACCACGGACACGGACTCTACGCAACTCTGCAAGCCTACAGCTGGTGTGACAGGCACACTCGGAAGCAGGCGTTATGGGCAGCAAGACTCGCAGGGAGATGGATCAATCTCTTCCCCACCGAAGGAGAAGTCCTAGCAAACAAAACTGGGTAGAGCAAGAGAGGACGCCAACATGCACACATGTGGACAGAATGCTACTGCCAAGGGAGTCTTGCTCCCCAGCTTCAAGTTAGGTCCCTCACTGTGGGGGGGCTGGTGACTGGCAGTGTCCTCACTATGGGGGGGGGGGTTGGTGACTGGCAGTGTCCCTCACTGTGGGAGGGGTTGGTGACTGGCAGTGTCCCTCACTGTGGGGGGGGGGGGTTGGTGACTGGCAGCGTCCTCACTATGGGCAGGGGCTGGTGACTGGCAGTGTCTTCACCATGGGGGGGGGGGGGGCTGGTGACTGGCAGTGTCCCTCCCTGGGGGGGGGGGGGTTGATGACTGGCAGCGTCCTCACCATGGGGGGTGGTGGTGACTGGCAGTGTCCCTCACTGTGGTGGGGGGATTGATGACTGGCAGTGTCCTCACTGTGGGGGGGGGTTGGTGACTGGCAGCGTTCTCACTATGGGGGGGCTGGTGCTTGGCAGCGTCCCTCACCTGTGGCAGGGTTGGTGACTTGGCAGTTGTCGTGCACATTGCTCCTCACAGGACAGGCAGCTGGTGTGGGCCAGGAGAAGGTGTACTCACAGTCTTCCACCGCACTGATGAACATGGGCCTGGAATTCTACGAGCAAAGGACAGAGTGTTGTCAACAGGGCACAATTTCTACGAAACGTCAGCTTCCATCAAGTGGGAGCCTCTCTGCAATACCACGTGGAATTTTTGTCAGTGTGTTTATGGACTGAGGGCACACTTAGAAAAGCAAAAGGTCAAGATCTTCCTGGGATTGCACTAGGGCCTTAACATATGCAAGGCGAGGCAGACTCAGAGCCAGAAATCCACTTGGGGCATCATGGAGATCTTTCTACAGCTACAGCTAGGGAAAGACAGGCAGGGGACAGGGTGAGGAAGTGGCTCAAAGGCTCTGGTGAGTCAGGAAAGAGGAAATAGCTGGTAACACTCTAAAAGCAAAGGAATTCAGATCTGTTATTATAGACAAAACAAAAAGTCCCACCCAGAAAACTCGTCATTTACTCCACGATCCTCCACTTGCACGAGCTACACGCGCTCCGTCCCCACGCTTCCTGTCCACCACGGAGCTGCTAAGACTGGTTCAGCAGTACACTCCTTTGCAGATAAACCCCTGGCAGCTTTGCCAGCCTCCTGGGCAACCCACGTGCAGAGCCCCTCACACATCACCCTCGTGTTTCCTCCCACATGTCCATCAGCTCTTTCTTCCTCTACCATGAGCCTCTGCCAGTTACGGAGCTGAGAGGGTCTATCGGGGCCCAGGTGTCCGGGCCCCAGCAGCTCCTGTCTAGGCTAAGCCTCTGTACAGCTTCCCGAGGAGGAAGGCCCAGCTGCTACTCCTGCCAAGAGGGCAGACCTCAGGCTCCCAGAGCTCCTCCTACCACTGCTGGCCAAACGCAGCGGGAGACAGTGGGCGCTCCAGCCTAGAACACTGAGTGGGCTGGTCCAGCTTGACTTTATTCCTAAAATTAGTTACAACCCTAATTTTTAATAGCACAGGGGGCTTCACCTTCATGTCACACGTGGAGATGTTCCTGTGGGGACAGTCCAGAGAGACCATTCAGTCAGTCCCACGCCTGCTTAGCTACACCCACCAACCCCTCAGAGAGAGGCATGGAGCACAGACATGAGACCAGCCCCCATGGACCGTGCACCAACGGGCAGTGATGCCCGGCACCTCCTACTTCCTCTCTCTGCACCTCACAGCGATTTGGCAAGACGGGAACAGCTCGTGTTATTCACGGGTACACAGCTTAGCACAGTTAAGTAACCAAGCTAGGAAATAAAGAGCAGCCCTGAACCTGGTCTGTCTAACCTTCTGCTTCTCCCAAGCTGCATCCGTGAAGGCAAAGGGCAGGTTGTCAAATACCGGTTTGCTCTACAGCCTTGGGGGGCACCTGCAGGGGACCAAACTTTAAGGAGAACCAACCAGTTCTGAGACTAGAACTGCAGGTCAGACCCGCCAGGAGCCAGAGAAGAGAGGTAGGTGCCCACGAGCCAGAGGGCTGAGGCAGGACTGCCAGCACCCGCAGTCACGCCACGGAGTCCCGAGCATCGCATCCTCCACTCGGATCCCAGGGCAAGTAAGACCGTCTCCCTGGGCCCCAGAGCTACCCGCCGGGGGCTGAGGAAGCGTTGTCACTTACGACTTGGCTCTCGCTACAGGTGAAGCGGATGGTGGTTGACTTTTTCCGAATTTGGTCTGGACACAAGTCACCATCGACGTACTTCAGGACAGTGGCGCCACCTCTCCACTGCGGCCCCTCCCTCACCCTGCCGAGGTTCACAGGCTTAGAGCTGCCCAAGAGACACGCGGCTGCTTCCGGAGGGCACGGCTCTGTGAGAGGAGACATGGTTGTTGCCTTGGCCGCTTTTCCAGCCCAGAATTTATCTGGTAAGCAATGTCAGACATGCTGTACGCTTCATTCTAATAGTCACTCCAAAATATCTGCTGTTTCTTTCGCATGAGATGACAATGATGCCACAGAACTTCTCAGTTAGCAGAGGCATGCGGTGCGGGGAGAATGCAAGGTTTCATAGACCGAATTATTTCTGAACCCCGAATACGTTGAGACTAAAATACCTAGATAAGCCAACAGGACATTTTAAATGGCCCACATTCAAGTACCATCTTTAAGAGTTACCGAGAGGGGCGCCTGGGTGGCTCAGTTGGTTAAGCGACTGCCTTCGACTCAGGTCATGATCCTGGAGCCCCGGGATCGAGTCCCACATCGGGCTCCCTGCTCAGCGGGGGTCTGTGTCTCCCTCTGACCCTCCCCCCTCTCATACTCTCTATCTCATTCTCTCTCAAATAAATAAATAAAATCTTTAAAAAAAAGAGTTACTGAGAACTCTGCCAATTTCCCAGTCCCCAAAATGTCTGTGCTATCTGCCCTGTGTAAAGAATTAGTCCCACCTCATGGATTAGGAACCATGCTGTCACTGATCTGCCCAGCACAGAAAGTGAGGGGAAAGGGGCCCACGGCCTCAAATGTAAAGGAGCACCCACCCACATTACTCTCAGTAAACACAGAGGGCATGCGTTCAATCTCTGCTTTGCTCTCTGTGTCTCCCACCCTGCTAAGAAATCACCTACCACCATGATTCCCTCCACCCACCTCCAACTCCTGTTCAAATAAGGTTACTGTGTTCCCAGCGAGCCTTCAACCTTCAACAAAGACTTCTGCTAGACCATCCCAGGGATCAGTCATGAGACCCTTAAATAATTCCTCCTGCCACTTCATGGCCAAAACACCTTCACAGAATCCTGTTCCTACTCGATCTTCTCCCAAACTGACTACAAGCCATCCACCCAAGAGTCCTCTCTCACCGGAACCAGCCTGGGGAGACAGAGACTTGCAAACATTGATGAGATAGTGCTCGGTGGCTCCTGTCCTTGTGACGGCTTCCCAGTTGTCGCTATACCTTGCCAGGGACGAGAGGTCGAAGGTGTTGCCAGCCTCGTCTCTGGAAGGAGGAGAACACTGCGGTTAGGCTCACTTGGACTCCGGATGGACACCAAGCACTGGAAAGGCTCAATATTTAAGGTGCGGTCTGTGCCTGACATCCTGAGCCTCAGGTCCCACCCAGGGACAGAACTTCAGACTGGACCTGGCCCACCACCTCCAGTCAGAATCAGAACCTGAGCTCAGGAAACTTTAAGACTTGGTTCAGCAAAATCATGTATTAATCCAAAAAAAAGCAAAGACCAGGCCTGCAAAGGAAGCGCTCCCCGTGCTCAGGCCCGTGAGAGGACAGGAGAGAACAGTGGGCTCCGTGGCGCGCTCACAGCACAGAGCACTCTCGGGAGCAACCACCTGCTGTCCAACCCTGAGACGGCCACTGAAATAAAAATGAACTGCTGTTGACATGTCTGCTCAGGCTGAAGTTTACTTACTACACAAATCCCACACACAACTGTTACTGAGGGCCAACCCCATAGCAGGTGCAGGGTCAATGGTGAGCAAGACCCACGTCTGTCCCCAGGAAGCACTAGGTCCAGGTGAAGACAGAGGCGCAATCACAGATGCCACCCCATAAGGTCTCAGCAGGGAAGAGGAGAACGGAAAGCATTCATTCGTTCAAAAAATACGTGCTAAGCTGAGGGTATTATACTGAACCAAAAAGATACAAATCACCCATTTTATGAAATTTGCAGAAATTACCAGGAGAAGGAAAACACCATAAACAGGATATAAGTTTTTTTAAGTAGACAGTATGTCAGAGAGCGATTAAAGCTGAAGAGGAAAAAAATCTGGGGCTGGGTGGTGGAGGGAGGTTGAGATTTTAGACGTCGTGGTCAGAGAAAAACTTACCAACAAGATGACCTCACTGTACACGTTTTTGTACTCCCATGAAGTTATTACAATATGCATGTGTCAACTTCCATTTTAACTGATTATTCCATTTTTTACTTCATTAATTCTTTTAAAAACGGTAAATAAAAATATTTGGTAGGAAAAGCTTTATGTACAAAAATATAAGACTCTTTGTACACAAATCTCAGGAAGTGGAAGACAGTCTCAAATGGCAGTAAGAAAACAGTCAAGTCAATCAGGGCTATCTACTCGGAAGGATCGTTCACACCCACTAGAAATAAGAAATGAATTTGTTTCACGTGGAAACGTTCATGAAGCGTTAGCTGGAAAAAGAAATGTTACAAAACAAATTATGATTCACCGTCACTAAACACGTAGATTCCTGAATGTATGCTTTTCCGTACGTTACTAACACTTACAGAATTATTACTTTACCTAAATAAAAGGAGAGAACGCAATCAAACAGAACAGGAAGTAAGGAAAACATGGAAGTGACTACTCTACTGTCCCCCAGGACTGAATGCTGTAACCCTGCGATCCTTTTCAGGGTCGATCATCATACAGCGGAAGAGAGAGCATGTCCCTTAAACATTCAGAACCACAGACCAACCTCCACGGATGGGACACAAGATGCCTATTTTGTAACAGTTCCAAGGGCAACTCTGTTGGCATTCCCACACAGGAAAGACCTCTCCCTTACCTCAAGAGCTGCCAGCCACCCAATTCCAGGAGCCACAGGCAACAGAGATCAAAAGAACCATCGACAGCCCCTAAAAACCTGCAGTCTGGGGGCCGCCTCCCCCACACCGTCTCCCACACCCCAGCCCCTCATCCTCTCCACGCCCTTCCTCACTGTGGTGTCCCCAGACACAAGCGGTGTGCGAGGGTGGGCGGAGGCCAGGTGACGTCCTGGTCACTCCACTCCACTTACACCTGTGAATCATGCAAGGTTTTCCGTTCCAACTCCAATCACCTCCCTGTATGCATCTTAACACAAAATAGTCACCGAAACCCAAAGCTGTGAAGGATTTGGAAGTTAACCTAGTCCAACTGCTCATCTGGATATGAAGGGACGAAGGTGGAGAGAAACCACCTCAGCTAACCTCCTGTCCCCCGACCACAAATCATTAAAGCTAAGCTGTGCCAAGCTCCCCCGACTGCACAGAAGGTCAACAGACGGCATCCACTTACTTGAATGAGCACTCGGTCAGGTCAAAAGGCGCGCAGGCATGCTGCGTTCGCCACTCGAACAAGTAGGAGCAATCCGAAGTCTCCCTGAGAAATACCGGCTGGAGAAGGCGAGAGAGAGATACGTCAGAGGGGAAACTTCAGTTCGTTTCTTACCCTTTAGATCTTAGGAACGAATATAGTAAAGGACGGTTATGGTCGTTAAAATCCAGACAAATCCATCACGGTTTTGACGTATCTTCTGTAACTGGTACATCTAAACGAAGCTAGCCAGAGCAGATCGAGCAGCAGGAATGCGGAGCAGCGGCTCCCGGCCAGGCAGACATCCGGGCGGGCTGGAAGCACACTCACCCTCTGGGTGCTCCGCTCGCAGTAGAAGAAGATGGTTGTGGAGCGCTGGTACACCTTATGGCAAGCGTCCCCCCCAGTGTAGTTCATCTTCAATAAGCCATTCTCATACGTCAGCTTCTGGGTGAGGAGACCTGTTCAGAAAGAACCTAATTAAAACAAGGATTGGTGCCGCCATGCTAACCCTAACAGGCACGTCACATCACGTACCCCAGATAAAGGGCTAGAAGAGGGGCTTTGCCTGGCCCCCGGGCGCTGGAACCTGCTCCCTGCCACACTGCACTGCGGGCGGAATAAAACCAGGCCTCCTCTCACCCAAGGTTACGACGTTACAGACTCATGGTGGGAACAATGAGGAGCAGCCGCTCCCCAGCCTCCTCGCCTAAGAGGATGGCCCCGAGGCGTTGCCCATGCACTTGTCACGTCAGCTACTTTCTTTTTAAAAGTTCTTAAACTTAGGGGTGCCTGGGAGGCTCAGTCAGGTAAGTGTCCAGACTCTTGGTTTCGGCTCAGGTCGTGATCTCGGGGTTGTGGGATCGAGCCCCGAGCTCAAGGAGGAGTCTGCGTGAGCTCCTCTCTCTCTGCCTCTGCCCCTCCCCACTTGTGCTCGTGTGCTCTCTCGCTTTAAGAGTTCTTAAATGTAGTATCACTTGCCCAGCTGCTGAGACAGCATGATGACCAACAAGCCTGCCCTGTAAGTTTATAGCCAAACCCTGTCCTAGATGCCTCCCCTCTGACTCAACTCTAGAAAGTACCACCTCAGAACACCCATTACTGGCTACTTCAGCATGTCCCTGGTTGCAGTAAAGAATCACTAACTGGAATTGCTGAAGAACGAACAGAATAAGCTCTAACAACATCTGTCAGCATACATCTACTTAAGAAAATCAAGTGAAATCAGAAGCATCGTTAATATTTCACCAGAACAAAGCTTTTTTCCTACTCCAGAAAGAAGTCATCCTTCAGTATAACATCTTAATACATAGTTCCATTCTTGCACAAGAGCAGAAGAAAAACCCACGGTACCTGCCACTTTTTGAAATCCCTCGGGTCCCCGCTTCTCCTGACACGATGAGATCACCTTGGACCTGTCGTTAGTGGAGCAGACCTCTGAGGACAGCTTGCCACAGACCCGGAAGTAGTAGGTGTATTCGCCGGCACTCACGACAGTGTCATTGACAGCCAGCGGCTTCAGGTCGTACAGGTTGCCGTGCCTCGGGTCCTTCACCTCACAGTTGTCTCCTTCAAGGACACACAGACACGAAGGGCAACTGCGAGCCTACCGACACTCACACCGTCGGGCAAAAAACAGTCTTCCAATTTTTAATCAGATGAGTACAGTCTTAAAATAAGCATTAAACGCTATTTCCACGTTATCTCAATGTGCTTCTACACAAAGTACAAACCGCCTATCAGATAGCCTTCTAGAAAAGCCGAGGTCACAGGGTAAAGATCCACTGGACCAATCAAAACCCCAAGTTAAGATTCTTAAATGTGAGAAGGCGCTAGCCCAGCATCGCTCCAGGCAGGTAAGGAGGGTGTCACCGACAAAATTAGCTGCGCACTGGAGTCAAAACCCAAGGATAAGAAATTACCCCCCCCGCCATTACGACGGGGTTTTGCATTTAGGACGCTGTTAGGAGCCTCTGCTACTTCATCCGTTTACAACTATTAGTGGGCTGGGCCCCAGGTCTTACCTTCCACTCTGATGACGGGACAGGCTTCCACCGTTCTCCAGACAAACACATACTCACAATCATCCAGAAGCTGAAATGTTGGGGATCCCTAGAATAGAAACCAAATATTTATGTTTTTGCCTTTTTTATTAAAAAGTCAGTCAAAAAGATAGCCACAATTAATATCCAACTTTCGATCTCCACGAGGAAAAACACAGAGCACTTACTAACATGTGAGACCTGGAAGAAAATCTAGTCAAATGCTACCAAAGGCTGAAAACCCATGAAAACGCAGGCAGGACTGAACTCGGAGAGAAGACTGAGAGACTGAAGGGAAGTGGGAAATGAAAGCAGTTCATCAACTCACGCACCGAGGTCTGAGCGCACTCGAGCGTGATCCTGGTGGAGAAGCGCTGGTTTCCGCACTTGTCACCATTGACATAGACAATACTCAGGGAGCCATTCTCGGCAGCCTGGGGGCTGATCTGCACCACGCCCAGGTTCCAGCTGTTGTCTTCTGACACCAGGCAGGACCCCACTGCGCTGCCTGCAAGAGATGGGAGCTCGTCTGGGGCAGAGGACAGGAGAAAGGCAGATGGAACTCAAGTCAAATGCTCTCAACTCACCGTGGCATCTGGGAATATAAGGGAGGGGATTGCAAACACTCAGATAGAAAGTTCTCTTTCTTCCATCAGCCGAGGTGTCCACAGCAGTCCAGGGCTTCCTGACTCTGCTTAAGCCACTCAGGTCATACTCATTTCCAGCGACGTCTGAAATACACGGAAACACTCCAGCTAGCCCTGCTTTCTGGTTAGCATTAGAGCACCACCTTTTTCACCCTGACCGAAGACCCATGATGCACGAACTTGACATTGGTTATGAAGGAATCAGGAGATCCACAGGAAGCTCAGAGGCTTTTCCTACAGACACGTACACTCGCTCTGCCCTCGAAGCTGCCCTTCACAACAAGCACCACTGATGTGGAGGGGCAGAGCCATCTGCAGAGCACGAGGCATCCTGGGACACTGTTCAGTGTCCGGGTGCGCCTTACAGAGCTTTACATCCTTTCTTTTAGGTCCTCAAATAAGATCTGATATTTCTTTCCCCTGAGTTTTCTTCTGTTCTTAGGCAGCTTCTGATTCCAAAATGTAGATTAAAACCCTGAATTATATAACCACATTCTCTTCAAGAGAAACCTCTCAAGTGTAAGGATCAAAGAAGCACATAACACAAATATGCTGCCTATAAAACAAAGCACACCACACGCTCACACGCGCGCATACATACACTCACATGCACACGCTCACACATGCGCATACACACACGCGCGTATATACACTCACGCACGCACGCTCATATATACACTCACACGGACACACACACGTGCACGTATATACACTCACGCACACGCGTGCGTATATACACTCACGGACACACGCGCGCGTATATACACCCACACATGCGCGCGCATATATACACTCACACGGACACACACACGTGCACGTATATACACTCACGCACGCGCGCGCGTATATACACTCACACGGACACATGCACACGTATATACATGCACACGCGCACACGTATATACACTCACGCACACGCGCGCCTATATACACTCACACGGATACGCACACGTATATACACTCGCACACGCGCGCGCATATATACACTCACGGACACACACAAGCACGTGTATATACACGCACACATGTATATACACTCACGCACACGCGCGTGCACATGTACACACACACTCATGCACGCGTATATACACCCACACATGCGCACGTATATACACTCACACGGACACACGCGCGCACGTATATACACTCACGCACACGTACACACAGGCTCATGCACGCGTATATACACCCACGCACACGCGCACGTATATACACTCACACGGACACACGCGCGCATATATACACACACGCGCGCGCACTCACGGACACACGCGCACACGTATATACACTCACGCACGCGCGCGTATATACACTCACGCACACACGCACACCCTCGACCGGTCTCCTCAGCCCGGGCCTCTCGGCCTTACCCGTGACCTGGCAATCCACAGGAGAGGGGACGCAGGCCAGTGCAGTCTCAAACTCAAAGAAAGTGTTTCGGATCCCCAAGCCAGAGTCAATGTCCTGATGCAGGAATTTGGCGGTTCCCGGGTAAAAGTCATCGTTGCAAACAAAGCGGATGATAAAGGCGTCAGCGGTCCCTGGGAACAAGGAGGCCAGACTTGAAGCAGAGCAGCCGTCCCGACACATCCCAGAGCAGCGGCTGCCACTGGGGACAAACCGCAAAGCCCCCGTTAGAAGGACGACACCACTGCCCTGGGTCTGTTTCACGGGGCCCGACGGGAGCAGCCGAGCGGCCACCCTCAGCGCAGTCGTGACCCACACAGCCATGGGCTCACAGGGTGAGCCGAACGTCCTCCGTCCTGGTATTCCAGAAAACAGGCAAACGCAACATCCATTCCTCAACCCAAACACTAGCTAACGTCACTGGCTTGTTGGACAAGACTTAGTTCCTCGTACACACAGAAGTGAAAGACTCAGAAAAACCCTCGCCCCCCCAGGAGCTCACGTCCCAGTACGGCGGCCCCCACACTGAGCCTAGGACATGCAGTCTAGGGCACACAAAACAGCGAGAAGTGCAAGGAAGGAACATGCAGCAGGCCCAGGCCAAGGAAACCCCAACGCGGTGCGGGTTTTAAATGCGGTGGCCGGCCCCGCCGAGAAAGGGACATCTGGGCGGATAGCTGAGAAAGAAGAAAGGGGCCACGGGGCCATCCTGAGGGAAGAGCAAAATGGGCAGAGGCAAGAGCGAGGACACAGGCTCAGGACGGGAGGGCGGGTGAGAGGCGGCCCGGACGGGTTCAGAAGCAGGAGGTGAGCAGGATGGAACGCGGAGTGGGAGATCGTGTTGCCCCAACCACCGTGACGGCACTGGCCTCTACTCCAGGTGCACATGGCTGGGAGTGACGTGCTCTGAACACAGAATGCTGGGCGGCGGGGGGGAGCACAAGCAGGAAGACCACCGCAGGGCTGCTGCAGCCAGGGCCAGCAGTGGCAGGCCACCAAGGACCCAGAGCAGTCCACGGAGGCGGCAGGTAAGGCCATCGACCCCGCCCAGTCCGGGAGGGAACTGAAGCAAAGAGGTTTAGTAACCAGCCTGAGGTCACAAAGCTTTACGTCCAAGAACCACCTGAGGGGCCTAGTGTTAGGAGGCTGGGGGACGGGGCAGGCAGAGGGAGAGCCCACAGCGCGACCCGCCAGCTACAGGACCGCACGTCAGGGGCCTGGCAGGGCACACAGGGCGATTCGGGAGTGTAGCGCCGTGGCCCCAGGGCAGGAGGGCAGGTCGCTCACGGTCCATGCTCAGAAGGTTCACAGTCACGGGGCCACCAGGACACTTGTTAGCTGCAACACGACGTGGTTCTGAGCTCACCTGTGGCCGGGGAAAGAGGCCCTTTGTAGGTCAGAGTTATAAAGCCCTCAGTGGACAGCTGCAGGCTTTTCTCGAGTCCAACCAGCCTTTCTGGCTTCAGATTCTTTAGCTCCTCTGTCTGAATTTCCGCCTCACAGCCAGAGGCTGGTTTTCCATCGAAGGTCCCACAGACCGGCATTGTGCCACACACGTTAAACTGCAGGCCAGACAGCAAGAACCATACACATTAACTTGGGCCACATAACTCGCCACAAACAAGAGCCCTAGCAACTCAAACCCTGCCAGACTAACCAGTGTTCAAGTTTCCACCTTACATGTTCAGGCAGTTAAAGCCTAAACTTAGTACATAATGCAACATTTAAAGTCCAAATGACAATGCCCATAAGTTGCTTCTAAGGAATAATAAACACGTTTATTTATATAGCCCTGTACCTGTAAATGCAAGAGATATGCTGCATATAACAATGCACCACCTATAACGGAGGGAATACGCATGGAGAATTTTACACCATTGTCAACGTGAGCGAAGGCATCTGTAGTTGAAATGTCAATTACCAGTAACCATGAGGGGACACCCCTGTATTTCTCACAGATGTTGATATCACTCTGTCGTGACAATGAAGTTGAATATGCTCTGTGGTATGAAGACACAGAAAGGAAAGACTTCTCTACGTCTGCTAAGTGCTCATGGACGGGGTGTCCACAATCAAGGTCTACATATAGAAAGTGCTTTTCTTAAAAACCGAAGTTTCCTTCTCAGGAAATGGCCAGTTAGCACGAAACCCCACGCAGGTGCTCAGCAGCCATGTGGGCTGTGTGCGGGAGGCCCTGAGGACGAAATGCTGGGGCAGGTTCCCTTTCCTACTTTCACGGTCTTGCCTGTAAATTGGCAACAGAGCTGAGAGAAGCCTGGGCTCACTCTGCCATGCTGTGGGCACTGGCCATCCTGGCTGCCCACATCTACAGGCCCCTCCGATTGGGAGTGTAGGCACCCCCGGAGATGTCTCACTCGGCAGCTTCAGCAGTGGGGGGAGGCCACGGCGGGAGGGGGGGGGGCGCGGATCTGGGGGCAGCTGAGCCCAGCAGGACCGGGCAGCGAGGGTACAAAGCCAGGGAGTCAGCTGGTGGCGGTGGTGTCCTAAGTAGATGGCAGCATGCTGGCTGTGCCATCGCCCAGGAGCCTCAACACACCTGCCACCTGCTGACGCCCCTGCTAGTTAGTGCCCACAAGGCAGAGCCTGGCTGGCCTGCTTCTAGCATGTTCTTTATAAGGGTTAGTATCTTCCAGCACGTCCTCTATGTGGACCAACAATGTTCTTGTCTGCCTCTCACTCACATGTGGCCACATACGCTCTCACCTATTACAAACCTATTATAAACCAAACTCTGTAGGAGCAATTTGGGGGTTGGGGGTGGGTGGTGGACCAGCCAAAGTGCTGCTGAGGGACAAACCCTGTTCAGTGTCTTCCCGGGCTGTGCTCTCCCGCATGACGTGTACCTAAAAAGTTCCCCTCGGTACCAAATCCACATAAGATGTTCTTATCCCAACTTCCTGTTTTCAGAGCTAATTCTCTCCTTCCGTCAGGGCTATCCATGTAGCAAGTGCTGTCAGAAGATTCTAGAACACACCCACCCAGGTCATTTCCCTTTTCTTGGATTAGGTAAGTACCATTTCCTCTTGACAGCAGAATCACCTGGGGGCTGGTTAAAAACAAACTGATGGACCCACCCCACAAGAATTTGTATTTCTAACAAACTGCCCAGGACCACCGCTCTAGACACACAGCAACAAATCAGAAATAACTTATTTCCAGAAAAATGGTACCCTCACATGTCTGCACTCGAGCAGGATGCGAGTGAGTTTTACCTCTCTTTCCCCTTAAATTTGGATTCTTCCATCTCTTCCTGGGTGAGAGCTGCCATCACAGTGCCCTGGGCCGTTCCCAGAGACACCTGCCACCAGCTGCACAAACTGCAGGTGACTTCAACGCACACTTCCTTGTCTCAAAGCAAACCGGAAATTCATCACATAATTCTTACCACAAAAGTCTTCCCAATTCCCGAAACCACGTATCCTTGGGAACTGTTCAGCGGGTTAAGATCAAACACAAAGCCACTGTTTGGGTCCCTTATGGAACAGGCCTGCAGGAGCAACAGGGGAAAAAGACACAGGAACTCAATAAATACAGAGCGCCTCCAAAGCCTGTGTGTATGGACCTCACAAGACATGCACTTCTCACTGACTTTAAACCCTTGTCAGAAAAGCAGCCCTATGCATACTCACCCGCCCCTCCAGACACAACCCCTGCTGCCTGCCCCAGTGTGATACTGGGCTCAGAAATATTAACTTACCTGAAAGGTCTTAGGGCTTACAATATTTACCTGGGTAAGAAGACCAACGCTGACCCCCAAGGGAAAAGTTAGGGGGAAACCATAAGCAACCCATAAGTAATCAAAAACAAACAAACTTAGAAAGTTGGTTTAAGTCTTCTGTTTCCATCTCACCTATTTACTTAAAGGCAACAGTGATGGGAGGCATGACGAGGTGCTTCACCATCTCTTCTCTTCCAGGAGACGTTGTAAACCTCCCCCCCCCCATGTCTGTTCTCTGCACAGTCCACCAGATGCAGGGAAATTGGCAGCAGCCCCAGCCCCGGAAAGTATGGCCAAGGACAGAGTGCAGCACCCTACCATCCCCGCCCTCCCCAGGCTCCACGAACCCAGGACCCTGGCTGGGAACATTCATTTAGGTGAGCCTGGGCTCTGCTGTCAAAGCGGAGATTTTAAAGGGGGAGGAGAGAGGTAAGTCCCACCATGAAGAAAACACCCAAGGCTGTGGAAACCACAAGTGTCCCTTCAGAGTCAGAGGACACATCACAGGGCAGCCTGCTGCTATGCTTTGCAGGAGAGGGCTCGCCCAAGGTCACAAACACATGCCAAGGCCAAAGAGCAGGATACGCCAGGATGGCAACAGGCACTCAGAAGAAATGGCAGTAACAGGACTGGGATCGGAGTTTTAAAACCTCGAGCATCACACTGAAACAGATGGGGCAGATCCTACAGATGACTATGTTTTAGGTGTTGGAGTGGTATGTTAACCACTCACTTCTCTGCGGTGGTGGTGAACCCCCTGAGCCCACTGGGATGCCACCGCAACACGGAAGGGACAGGGGAATGGAGAAAAAGGAAGGAATCTGCAATCAGCGGGGAGTAAAGCTGAGGGTCTGGTTCTCAGCCCGGCATATGGGAGCTGGGGCAGGGAGAGCAATGCAGGATGACTCCCAGAGGCCTGCTGTCAACATGCAGGACAAGGTGACGCCAATAACAGATTTGGAAGCATGAGGGAAGGGGTGAGTGCAGAGCTGGGACACCCAGGTGGGAAGGTCCAGAGCCAGCTCAGCGAGACGCCCCAAGACAGCACACGTACCTGGTCTGTGTCCGTCATTATTTGGATAGGACAGGCGGCCTCTGTATTCCACAGGAAACTGACCACACACTCCCAACTGAGGGAAAATATGGGGTGGGTATTCTGGAAGATTAAACCCAGGGTAACAGTCAGTACGACAAGATGGGGCTCAATCTCACCAAGACAATACTGGCCTCATATATAAAAATAACCAAACTCTACTGAACATTTAATTGTGTGTCCGTGATCGGCTAGCTGCTAGATGTGCACTAGCTAATTACAATTTAATGTCTTCATTATTCCTACTTAAAAAGATGGCACCTCTCAGGCTTGGATGTCACAAAACTCACCTGAGGTCACGTGGCAGTAAACGGCAGAATTGGGGTCCAAATCTGGGTTTGCGTTTAAGTCCATGCTCTTGAGAAACGCTCTACGCTAAGAGTATGCAACGTAAGAACCCAAGCACAAAAGGCTACAGTGTGCGAGATTTCAGCTACATAAGCTCAAAACTGGGGAAAAGTGACCTATGGTGTCAGAGGCCAGCACAGGAGTAGAGAAGTGACTGGAAGGGGCACTGGACGCCTCCTGGGTTGCTCTCAGTGTGGCTGCTCTAGGTGGGGTCTGGCTGCACAGTTCTGCTCCACGTGTGAACACTCACCCAGCTGTTAGTGTAACTTACACTCCGCGTACTTTTCTGAGTGTGTTCCAGGAAAAAGTTCCCCAAACATGTGTGGGGCCACGTTCTGCAGGCAACTGCAGCTCACACGGAGAGCGCTTATCGCAGCACTAGGAGTTTTGTTAGCATTTCTCAACGGAGCCTCACCATGACCCCGGGAGCCAGGTTCTGTCATCACCCACTGTGTGTACACAGACGAGAACACAGGGGCACAGAGATCAGGACACCCGCCCAGGCCCACAGGAGAAGGAGATAGCGGCCATCTGACGGTGAGCCCACACCTCGCCCACGGAGCGCTCTCTGGCCTGGAAGTCCCCCACCCTCTCGGCCTTGGCGTCCGTCACAGTAAAACACATCTGCCCCTTCTGCCTCACAATGTGGTTGTGAAAAGGAGCTGCTTTAGCCGTGAAAGTTCTGAAAGTTCTGTGGCTTGCAGAACCTTGCAGATGTGACCTCTGCTCATGGTCTCTGGCTGCCCAGGGCATGGCCAGCCCTACATGGGCACTCAGAGATACGGTGACCATGGGAGGTCGCCCCGAAAACTACAACACACTGTCCACATAAGGTGTCACAGGAAAGCTGAAAAACTAAGGCTCCCGGAGAACCTCCTGGAACAGTCCAGTATCTCCATGGCAACAAGAGACCACATGGGAAGGGGAGGGCGGGCCAGGCTCTAAGGAGGGGACACGGACATGCCCAGGGGACAGCAAGGGCTGGCCTGGGCAGCCGGGAGTTTTTCCTGAGCCTGAGGAAGAAAGCAGCAAACCCAACCCCAGGCTAATCAAGAAGTGTGTTTACAGTTCGGCCATGGAACACCTTTCTTGCACAACACGGGCCCACGCTCATCCAGCTAATAACTTCATCCCCTTATCAGAGACCCCTTCTTGACCTCTAAAGAAATCACATCTTGGAAAAAAATCGTGTGTTTGCAAATGACACAGAGAACTCGGGATCTGGAGGGCACCTGGAATGTAGGTGACAAAGTCCACGGGACGGCTAGCACTGGATACGCTGTGCTCTTCGCTCAGTGAAGCAGAGGAAGCTGTAACAGACCCTCAGCACGTGTACCTGACCCTTTCCAATAATTTATTTGATAATAAACATGAATTCCATTATCTTCACTCTGCATTCATCTAAGAGTCTGGCAATTATTCAAAAAACACATGACCCATATAAATGTGAAACTCCAGGTAGAAAAACAATTGGGTTTGTGATAGCCAAGTTCTGGGCTTGAGTGCCAGGGATGGTGTGTAACACCGTGAAGATATTTAATGCCACTGAATTATACACCTTAAAAAGGCTTAAATGGTACATTTTATTTTTTTTCCAAAGATTTTATTTGACAGAGAGACACAGCGAGAACAGGAACACAAGCGGGGGAGTGGGAGAGGAAGAAGCAGGCTTCCCGCCGAGCAGGGAGCCCGATGTGGGGCTCGATCCCAGGACCCTGGGATCACGACCTGAGCCGAAAGCAGACGCTTAACAACTGAGCCACCCAGGCGCCCCTAAATGGTACATTTTATATGTATTTTTACCAACTTTTTTTTTTTTAGGAAAGCAACTGGACTGTACTGTACAATGACCCCCAGAGCATTTTTATTTGTGGAATTTTTTCTTCTGTTCTGCCCTGGCTGAGGATCTCAGGGCCAAAAACAATCTCTGTAACTTTCTCTATTTCCCGGCCTTCATTTTTTCTACTTGATTTGCCCACATATTACATATATAACCCTCACTGTTCATCTGTGGCCCCGAGTGGCACTGAGCCCCGGCTTCCTCATCCATGAACGCTGGGGTTCAGGCCAAACTGTCCCTAAGACCTGTTCTGTTGTCAGGATCCTCGATCACCAGCTGACAAGAACTAAGGGACAGGATGGCGTCCACACAACCCAGAGTGAAAATGCCACCCCCAGACTCCATCTCCAGAAGAGACACATAGGCTAGTACTCAGTCACAAAAGACCCTGAAGGAGCCAAGGTCACAGGCAACGCGCGCCTTACCAGGCTGCCCCTGGAACAGACGAGATGGATCCTCGTGGTGTAGGTGGTCAGCCTCCCATCGCTGGTGGTGCACGCTGAGCCATTCACGTACTCTATGAGGAGGCTGCCGCTGTCCTCCACCGTAGGGCCTGTCTTTGCGATCCCCAAGTTACTGATGGACACTACCTCAGAAAAGGAGCCCTGCAAACAAATACGTCTGTTAGGTTTTCCCTCTGAAGAGAAAACACGGCTTCTTCGTGACTGCCACATTTGATTCTTGTCATTCACAGCACTCCTGTTCTATAAAGTTGCCACAAACACTGACCCGTCACTCCCAGGGGAAACACGTGCCCTATACAGACACCATCCCAGAGAGATGATGATCTTAAATCCTGAGAACAACTCCTGCGGGCAGGTTCTATTTTATTTTACGAAAGGGGGAAGGAGGTTCGGACGTGGTAAGTGCCTTGTCTGAGGCCGCCCCGCCAACAGGCATCCAAGGCAGGCCTCGAGCCCTGTCCTCCCAGCCCCGAACCAGGAGCCTCTGGCGCTCCCCCACCCGGCCCCTCGTGTCTCCCTCCCAGAGTCGTGGATAGGAGAACCTTCGAGAAGGCAGAGCTTCCCCTGGCTCCACCTCTGCTGGGAGTGTGCACTTTGGGCCCACTGCACACACATCCACAAAGGACTGAGGGCGCCGCAGGTTTTGACTTGGGGCCACAAATCCGTGCCAGGAGGTCAGTGATCCCCAAACACAGAACCCGTGGATAACGAGGACTGACTCACTGTACTCTGAAGTCATCGCTCCAACAGAGTGCACACAACACGTGTGCACATGCATACCCAGCGGGGAACGTAATTCCTAACCACCAGAGTGCGCTCACCAGCCGCCTTAAAGCACCTCCAAGCTGCCCTGTACCAGGCGCCAGGAAAAGTACATTCCCGACATGCTATTTTTGAAGAAGCACACATACGTCTTTAAGATTCACCGTGTATGAGGAACACAGGGAAATGTCCCAAAGTTCTGGCAGTCACTGCATTCGATCGGTGATGAGGTGCAGCCCGGCACTGCGAGTAAGTGCGAACGCCTGGATCTACCTCAGCCACAGCAATGGTCCCAGGCCGCTCTCCCCGTCGTGAGCCAGAAGCAAGAGCTTCCGGAGGAAAAACTATTCTTCACAGAGGTTTACGGACTGAAAGACACTTGTGAGCTCGGGCTAGACTAGCCACCAGGAGCCTCCTCTGCCCTGCGCCGAGATCGGAGGCCACCAGCACCATGGCATTTTGTGAAGTTCTAAACCTGAACGACGACTCAGGCGTGATCACATCTGTGGGGGGGCCCCTACTCTTGCTCAGGGGGCTTCACCTCAGCAGCCAGGCCTACTCTAGAATAACTGCCTCCACCGAGTCACGTGCTCCAGACGGAGCGCGAGATTCACCTGATCGTTGTTGTATTTCATCTGGCACACCGACGCGTATCGATCACAGCCCGGCACCGGGTTCAGAGGTCGACACACGTTTATGTAGTATTTCCTCCACGTGCTGTGCTTGCCCGCATTGTCCATGGCGTACCAGTTTCCTCCACGACCACCTTCAGATTTTGCTAGACTAAAATTTCAAAGCAAAACGCATGGTTTTGATGCCATCAGATTTCAGTCTGACAATTCACTTCTAAGTAGTCACGGACATACAGAATGAAACACGCCCTACCAATCGAACCATGGAACGTGGCTCACCGTGACTCACAACACCCACGACTACCTCGACCTTCACTGAACTCGTCACACTCGGCAGGCCCTGCACCGGCCCCCTCCCCCACACCTCTGTACTCACAATCCTGTTTTAAATGATGCAGCTGAAGACAGACTCCGCTATGGCAAAGAGCACTGGATGTCACAAAGGCTACCAGACCATTATTAGAATTCATTCTGCTTAAAACTCCCCATCTTGGTCCTGCACCCCCAAAACTTACTTGTGTCCCCATTATCCACTCAGTTATGTGCTCACCAGCAAAGCCTAAGCCAACTTAGCACTACACTAGACCCAGCCCGGGGCCAAGGCCAAGGGCAGGCTGACCCTGGCCTCACCTGGAGAGATCGTACTGCTCCATCGTGGAGGGGTCGGTCACCACACACTCCAGGGGCTCCTCCGGGCAGGCGTAACTGGTGTACCACCGGAAGTTGTAGGTAGAGTTATCTTCCTCCTAATCACATGACAAGGAGAGAAACGGGAGGGATGGCAAAGAGAAAGGGGAATGTTAACACAAAGCCACCATTTAAGGGCATTTTCTGTAAATAAGAACTAGAGGAAAGAAAGCCTACTTTGCCCGTCTACATTTGTCTTATTAAAATGAAGAGTTCCCAGTAATAAATTAATCTAGCCTCAGTTAAATATCATTAGGATGATTTTTCATGCAAGTTTCGTACACAAAACCAACAGGGTGGTGGGTTACCATCGAGGTGTATGGCCCACTGAATAACCAGCTCAGATGAATACTGCCTATGTACCCTGGCAAATCTAAGAAGATTAATTAAAATCATAGAAGAGGATGATTTGGCCAGGAAACCAGACTAATAATAGTTCTGCTTCCAAATAAAAGGGCCACGACAGGCTCCTGTGTTAAGTCTCAGGGAGACAGACGAGTTGATGGTTTCTCCCCAGGAAAAACCATAGCTCACACCTCACCTATGGTTAGAACCACATTTCATTCCAGAAAAGCCACAAGCCCTGTTCTACCCACTTTTTTCTCTCCCCCTGCCTTTATGAGACTGGCGTTCTCTCCCTCCCGGCTCTCATGATGGAAGCCCACACACATGCACACACCACACAGCTCTTACCTGATATTCAGGGAGACCGACTCCAGCCTCTCGGTCACAGAGGAAGGTGATCAGTGTAGCTCTTGGTGTATGCTTTTCATTATTATAGGGCGTGCCATCTTTATAGTTCAACTGGATCATCCCATCATAATATGACAGTTTAGCGTTACTCAGTCCCAAGTTCCAAGCCTTATTAACACTAAAATGAGCAAACAAATGTCTCTCAGCAAGGCCAGCAAGGCCAGAAGCACTGCCATACTGGGACACCGGGGCAAGGCCGCTGCACGGTGGGGTGGGGGCGAGGTCCACGACCCAGGGCTGCAGATCACCAGGGTCTGCAGTGGGGCCAAAGGGCAGCCGCACCCCCACACCAGGACCCAAGGCCACGCTCGGCCTGGCTGGTTTAAGGTACAACCACCCTGCCTGAGCTATTACCACACTGAACAGAGAGACCTGTGTGCATCTAATAACTGAGACATGCAGGCTACACTGAAACTAGGTATTAGGTAAAGTCTAAGGCTGCGGCCTGCTCCTTTTCCAGGAAATTCAACTCCTAGCATCCTCTGGTTTTGAGGCCAGGGCTTCTTAGGGTTGCACGCTCCTTGAAAAGCAATGATGTCAGTAGAGAATACACGCACTCCTGAATAAAATATCTGCTATTACAAGATGCCTAAGGAAAGCCCATAACTAAAAAGTAAGTTACTTGCCTTTTTGCTACTTGACAGGCTCCGGAGTCCGGCTGACAAGAACTCACAGACACCGCACCACAAACATTTATGTAAAAGTCATACTTGTCTGTCTCAATTTTATATGCACCATTTTTCTTTGTGAGAGGTGACAAATCAAAAGAAAACCCTAAGAAAGAGTAAAAACGATGCCATATGTAAGGTCAGTCGGACCACAGGGGAGAAGGGTGGGTCCAAGCTCACAGCTTCAAAGACAGACTTCCCAGGAACTGGCCAATGGTAGGGAGCCGCAAGATGGCAGAAGAGATGCTTTCCCCTTCGGGCCACCAGAACTGCTCTTATGGACATCTCCCCTGGAGATGGATTCACCACCAGCATTCCTGTTTTACTGCGTTAACCTATAAAAACCCTATGCAAAGCCCATAACTGCTGGATGAATAAACAACCAGTATGTTCAAAGCTAGATGACCACAATCCAATGACCTCTAAGGCGGGTTTCTAGGGCATTAACTTATGCTAAAAGCCTTTTCAAACACCATTGATTTCCTTGTGATCCTCACGTTCTGCATTCAGCTCACACCTAGCTCTACCATGCATCAAAGGGGTAGGCTTCTCATTATCTCAACCCCAAATGTCAGACGTCCAGAATTTCAGTTAAACAACATTAGTATAATTCTGAAGTGGGTTATCTCTAAAACGCTCAAAGAAAATATGTAAGGAAAAAAAAAAAAAAACCTAAGCCGTTCGGGGGGGCACCCGACCACCAAGGTGCTGTGCGGGCACGCACCTGCCTGGGAGTCAAAGACGGTGCAGTTCTCGCCCTCCGTCTTCGACAGCACGCAGGCGGCGGCCGTATGCCACTCGAACTCATAGAAGCAGCCATTATCCTCAGAGGTTCTCAACACCGGAGCGCTTTCCAGATCACCTGTCAGCGAGCAAGACAAATGTATCACTAATCGGTCCTCAACTAAAAATACTCCCACAAATACTGGGATTCCGCTGACATGAGGTTCTTAGAGTAGTCAAACCTGTAGCGGCAAGAAAGAAGGGCGGTTGCCAGGGGCCGGGGTGGGGAGCTCGTGTCCAGTGAGGACAGAGTCTGTTTGGGAAGATGAGAACGTTCTGGAGGCAGATGGTGGTGATGGCTGCACAACGCCGTGAATGTGCTTCATGCCACTGAACCGGGCACCTTAGGAAGGCCAAAACGTTGAATTTCGTGTTATGTGCATTTTACGACAGTTTCTTAAACATGGTAAATTCTGCGTTACGTGTATTTCACAATTCGAAAAACACTCAAAAACAAAAAACAGTCCTAGCCCTTGACCTTATCCCACAGCTGGGCATTTATCCAAAGAAAATATTTCAACAGGAGGCGGACAAGGGATCTGCAACAGCACAATCACCAGCCCTGGAAACACGCTATTAATCCAACAATAGGGAAAACGTTTAAAAATAGTAAGACCAAGCCATTATCAACAAGGAAGTCCCTAAAAATTATTAATATAATTGCAGAACACAGAAGAGTATTCACAAAATGCCATGTTTTGAGGAACGCTGAAAAAAAATGTCTGAATATATACAGATTTTGACCCTGTAAAAACAATGTAAACCTATAAATAAAGATAAGTGAAGAAGAGCATTGTGTTTAAAGGGTGAGATCACGGACAATATTTTTCAAGCGCTTACGATTTTCCCCCTTTGGAGGAAGTTAAGCAGCCGACACGGCCGCTCGGTATCAGTCCTGAGGAAGAGGAAGCCACGCTGAGACCCATAACTCATTTGGAAAATTGCAACATGACGCTCTCGACACCATATGGTTTCTCCATTTCTGGACTGGTTTTGGGTGGGGGTTGGGGGCTCAAATCCCACAGACCACCACTGAAGGTTCTAGAACCGGAGATGTACACAACACGACCCCTTTCTACCTCCCCCTCTGAGCAGTGGCCTGTGAGAAACAGAGAAACGAAGGATGCAGGCTCACCTGGAGCAAAAGCCACCACAATATGTCACCTCTTCCCTTTTTCAAAAGTGCTCACCTGGCTTGCAGATGAGTGTTATGTTAGTTGTTATTTTCCTGTGGCCACAGTCACTACCGTCTGAATACGAGAGCTGAAGGTTCCCTCTCTCTTTCGTGGGAGAAGAAATAAACTTGCCTAGACTTTTAAATCCACTCTTATCTGGAAAAAAGGGGAAAAAACAGAAGACATGATTAAAAATGATAATGACCCAGAGAAGAGTTACAAACATGTCAGCCAGGACCCAGCAGGGGTGCCGTGGCCCCTTCCCCAACCTGCCCAGCCTGGCCCCGTGGTCGGTGGGTTTTTCTCAAGGGACAGGTTTGGCCAGGCCATGCAGCCACACTGAGGACACCAAAGCCACCCCAAGGCTCAGGGAGACAGGGCAGTAACGATAAACAACGTCCTGCTCCGTGGGCACGAGAGGCAGACAGCAAGGTTGCATGTCACACCATCCCAGGGCGCCCCTATTCCCAGGGCCTCGGCTCCCCTGAGACACAAGGTCTTTTGAAAGCACAGCCAAGAGGCTAGAGTTTGTCCCAGGACCAAAGCAGAAACAACTGAACCTGTCCAGCAAGCCAGGAAGGTGACTACTTCATTCTTGGGTCAGTTGACTTTACTATGAGGCCCTGAAACTGTCCCCAGTCCTGCTTACCCAGACGCACGGGCATGCCCGGACCTGCTTCGGAAGACACATCAGCAATTCGGAATACCGGGGTAATTCCTAAAACCCAACCTGGGTTCCTAACTCCTTATCTAATCGTAACAGATTCTGATTACTCTCCCTGCCTCTCATTTTCCAGGTGAGTCTGAAGTGGCGGACAACTAACGTGCAAAACGTCTGTATCAAACTATGCAGTCTCTGCAGGAAAACCACAGGACCGACAGAATTACAGCAAAAGGAACCCAAGGGGCACAAGGACTCTTCTAAGGAGCGTACAGTGAGGTGCCACTTGTCTAAAGCCATAACTTAACAATCACGGGCAGTAAAGCGTTAAAAACTCACAATCAGTTTTACACAAATACTGGCAATGTTATTCTTCAAGTTACAAAGGGAAAAGATAACCAAGTAATTCCCAGCCTGGCTCTTTCTGTTCCCAGTTACGGCGTTAGCTGACCTCAGAAGCTTCTGGCCAACTTCAGGACAGCGGAGCGCCAGTTTCTAGAGGACACCAAGCAGTTACCTATGTGTGAGTCATGAACTTTTTTTCCTCCCCATCCTGTATATGCTGAACCCAGAGAGAGGAGACTGACAAACCACAGGAAGATTCTCTAATTCGCTCCAAACTGGATGCAGCGGAGTCCCACGCGCCTCTGGGGAAACCACTACCGGGATCCCGCTCTGGGCACAACTCACCAACAGAGCACACGGCCGCATCTTCAGGACAGCCTCTGGCCTGGCCTTCCTGAAGCACTTTGTGGCAGATATTAATGAAGAAGTGCTTCTTTTCTGTTTCCCCCTGGCTGCCATCCACAGCTTCCCAATTCTGTTCCGGTTCTGTAATTAAAAAAAAAAAAAAACTTTTAGCCAAAGGCAGTGATTATTTCTCTGTGAGTCACACCATAAATGGTGATTAAGCCAAAGGAAAAGGCCCAAAGCTCACCAAGCATGTAGTCCCTAAACCTCAGGCACTCACGTTTCTGGACGCAGGCAGACCAAAGGCACAGAAATTCACCGAGACCCTCAGGCTCCTCACCTCACGTGATAGTAACAAAGCATGGCCCAATACCTCCTCAGAAGAGTAGGCTTACCAGGGGGTAGGGAGAGAGAATCGAACAGCGAAACTTTCCCAAGCACCGAAGTGTGAAATCAGAAATGGAAAAGCAAATCTGGCTGGCAGCCCGTGCCTTACAAGGGGCAGAGCACCACGCCATCAGTCCCGCGCCCTCCTCCAACCACCAGGAAGGTTAAAGGCACCTGCCCCCTCTTCCACACCAGCAGACCGAGTGTGGGCCATGCTTTGTTTCTGGAATCTAACAAGACACGTCGGTCCCTGAGCTCAAACAGCTTGTGAGCCAGTCATGTATGAACAGGACCAAAACACCACAGAAGGCCGAGGGAGCACACGTAAGCGCTAAGAACAGGACCGGCACACATCGGAGGCATCCCGTAACGAGTGGCCAAAGGGATGAATTAGAAATGCGTGTGAAAGGCGTACAGAGACTGAAGGCACTCCTTTTATGGACAGGACGCCGGGGTTCAGGCGGGAAAGCCCACCGCTCGTCAGAGTAACAGTTACTCTGAAAAGCTATGTGCCAATGTCAACAACCGAGAAGAACCCATTGGAAGCCATGCAAAGACAAATAGGGACAAGGACAGGGGGAGTGGGGTGGGCTGACAAGCCGTAAGACAGGAGGACTGTTTAAGCTAGCAAGGAAGGAGTTCTAAGAGCATCCTGAACGGTCTGCGTGAATCCTGCAGAAATGCCCAGGTCCCTGGAGGGCCCGGGCGGTGGTGGCATGCGTCGGCTGCGTGAGTGCGTGTGTCTCTGCATCCCTTAGGGCCCCATGTGTGTCCTGTACTCGGTGATGTTTAAACAACAGTGCTGGACAAAGGGACCTAACCGCACCACCCAGTTTACTGTGACAAAGCCGAGGCCCGCAGAAGACAGACAACTCACTCAGAACCACGCACAACACCGTGCTCTCTTTCCAGCGCACAAAGCCGATCTCTTCACGAACACATATGTACCCGCACTGAACCATGGCACCATTCCCGCTGAGCGGGCACTGCGCTACTAACACACAAAGAACATTTGCTTCCGAGGCAATTCACCAACACTGAACATTTACAGAGGTCTCGTGCCAAAAAGAAGCTCTCCGACGATCCTTACAAGTGAGGAATTCCTTTTTCTAATATTATGCTGTCCAAACCAGATGGGGACTCAGAACCCATGAGTAATCACTCCTACGCATGGGTAATTCTGTGACTCTAGGCAAGCATTCTCTCTACCTCAGATATTATCTCTACAGATGCAATTTGCTTCTACTTATACCTAATTCCAGGGCTGCTGAAAGGATGAAACTAAAAATGTCCCAACTCGATTCTGCTTCCCTCTTGGGAACCCTGATTCTTAGCACTCGGTCTCTCGGCCCCCTGTGAAGCTTGAAGGCCTGGGTAAGGGTCATGCCCGCCAGGTTTGCTGCCATATCCCCAGGACCTGGTCTGCACCTGCCACGTAACCAGTGCTCAACAACACCTGCTGAGCAGATCTCCAGCTCGGCAGGTCTCTACTGTGATGGCAGGCCTCGGGGACAGACCACATCACATAGATGTGGCAAGGGACACAGCATCCAAGGGCTCCCACACTCATTCTCCTTTCGGCCCCACAAGCATCTGAGGTGAGACAGGGAATGCTGACCCCACCTTAGAGATGGGAAGAGACGGTGAGACAAAAGGGGAAAGCACAGGGTCAAAAGACAGACCGACCCCAGCCGCATCGGCCTTCACACCGAGGGTCCGACCCTCAGAGCCTGACAGGCTGGGGCGAGGTGGAAACACGGCCTGCTTGAAGCCTGTTGCAGAACTTTTTATTCTTTTTAACTGAGATGTAAGTGACATGGAACACGGCAGTCGTTTTAGGTGGACGACATCCTGACCTGATCTGTGTGCAGGCTGTGTGTGGGAGAACCCCCACGTTTAATTACCATCCATCACCATACACAGATACGTGTGTGTGTGTGTGTGTGAGAGAGAGAGAGAGAGAGAGAGAGAGAGAGAGAACTTTCAAGATCTACTTTCTGAGCAACAAGAATGTAGATCTAAAATAAAAAACTTCCTAATCACAGAGCACAAGACCTGGGACTTGGCGGTTTTTACTAAACTAGGGTAAGATTAGCCCAGGGCATCCCAATGAGAAGAGTCATGCCAAGCTCAAACTCAGGTATTTTGCCTCCTAAGTCAGCATAATTCCTAATAATTTGCACGACTGCTTTGTGAAAAGAGGGACAAGGCCAGGATACAATTTGTTGACGAAGAAAAAAGCAACAGCATTTCCAAATGTTTTCACAGGGAAAGAGGCAAGAGAAGGTTCCTGTGAACAGGCAGATGGAGCCCCACGGCGCGCAAGCCCTACCTGAGTGCCGAGCCAGCGCAGATAGGTCGTACCGCTTCTTCCCGTCGGCCACACTGCAGAGGAGATCCTCCTTCTCCTTCACACAGGCGTACTTCGTGTCCCACGTGAAGAAGTAGGTGCAATCTACCTCCCCACTGAATACAGGAGCTCCTTTCCCATCATTACCTGTGCAATTTGAGAAGGGGGGTGGGAAACACTTCATTATATGTAACCAAAACCTAGTCAGCCCATTGGCCACCAATGCCAACTGGGCAGTTAAACTCAAGTCCCAAACCCAAAGCTGAGGCTTTGGGGTCATCAGAGGGGTCAGAGGTTAGAGAGGCTTCTCTTGCGTTTCAGACAATCATAAACCCCTCAATGGCAGGCCTGTGTCCCTTCCACCTCGGTAAGACGGTCTCAGTAAGCCATCAGGCTGTTTACAACACATTCACTGTGGGTGCCTAACAAGGAACATGTAAGCCACCAGGCAGGGCTTGCGGCACACGGGCTGTGGTCAGCCCCCGCACAGGCGCATGAGTATCCTCTGCGTCAGACGACAGGGATTCACCAGAAGGCGGACAGAGACCAGAGCTCGAGCCCCAGGAGCGCCACTGGCTTTATGATGCAATTTCGGGCAGGGCGAGTTCCCGGAGATTCATCCCTAACCGGAAAAGAAAGAGTGAGAGTGTACAGCTACCCCACTGAACTGGTGCGGAGGCCCACGTCACCTCCCAAAGCCAGAGGCATGCCTGCCGGCGTTCCAGCATCCTTGAGCCCCAGACCTTCATCGGTGTGGCTGCCTCCAGCACCCTACCATAATCCACGCGCTGCTCGCCACACCTCCAGGGAGCCCTGAAAGCCAGCTCTTCATAGGCCACTTCCCTGATCCACGTAGCCTGGGATTCGGCAAACTCTGGTCATTTTTCCCTTACTAGAAATACTACCCCTCAGCTTTCCAAGCTGGTAGACGGCTGGCACGGAGCTCTGTTTTCCGCCCCTTGATGGTTTAATAATCCTCCTCTGGACCTCCTACATGATTTGCCTTTCTTGAGGTTTGGTGCCCTGAAGTGCACAATGTTCTAAAGCAAAGGGAAATAATATTTTGTACCAAGGGCAAATGATGTTTTGATTGTAATTTCTCTTAGTCTTTAATATTATAAACATTGTAATTGTAATACCAGCAAGAGCAGCTAGGGTATACGGAGCACAACCTGAACCAGGCACTGAGCACCAAAGGGCTACAGGCAAGAGGTCTGCAGAAAACAGGCTCAGGGTTGAGGACCTGATAGATCTTGGCATATTTAATCCCACGGCACAGATACAGTTTCAGCCCTATTTTTGCAGATTAAGGGGGGGGTAAATAATTTGCATACGGTCTTATAGCTAGAAGCAAAGGAGTCGGGATTCAGACCCAGACAGTCTGGCCCCAGAGCCAGGCTCATAACCATAACCACAAGCAATACTTCCCTACACTACTGTGGGGTTTTTTCTTTTTTTTTTTCTTTTAAATGTATGTACTTTAAGCCATTCTTTTTAAGATGCAGCACTCCCAGCTTCCCTTCTGACAACAAAGAGCCCCCCCCCGCCCCGTTTGGGACCGCTGGGGCCTCCCTCCATGCGTGCTACCCCAACAGCGGACCCCAACAGCACCTCTTCACCCCGCCCACAGGATGGAAGGACGAGCAGCTTACTCCTGTTGGACCTGTTGGGTTTGCATTTCACTACCTGGAAAAGATTTGTGTTTCCGACAAACTTGATGTATTCGCTGCATTTCTCTTTCACCAGTAAGTTCACAAATCATTAAATAATACTAGGAATGGTTCGAGAATCCATCCCCACTTTGGAGCTGGTTCTGCATCTGAAATTTACTGCTTGAGGGAGTGCTAGTTTTCAATAATCACTGGTGTATTATTTCATTATTCAATGAATTTTAGAAGAATGAAACTCGCCGGCTCAGGGGAAAATGGATTCCTGCAGCAGAACCCAGTCACCCTCTGCCTACAGCACCGTTCCACCTCATGCGATGGCAAAGACAAAGCTACCCACGCACCACACTGGTTTAATTCTCCTTCTAGCTGTGCAGCTAAACTGCATTGCCCAGCCTCCCTGCCTCCAAAGTTGGGCCATGCCACTTAGTTCCAGCCCATCTTTTAAAAAATGCCGTTCCCATTCTGCAGAGTCCTTGGAGGCCAAGTCTACAGACAGCAACACCACGGGATGGGACGCACGAGAGGAGCACGCAGAGCCGAGCCCCGCCACCAGCACCTCCGACGACCTGCACTGAACTAAAGAAAATAAACCCTTACCGGAGTGAGTCCGTTAAATCTGTGGGTACCTCTGTACCAGCCTATTCCAATATATCACTCGTCCAAAAAGAGCGATTTGACAAGATCACCAACAGTAAGTGTCCCATTACAGCAAACTCGATGTTAGCTGCCGAAACGAATGGCTGTGTATATTTGTGCACATATACAGGCTCAAAAACAAACGTATGCACCTCTGTGTCTTAAAAATGCATAAGCCCTAGATTCATGAACATATATAACTCTAGAACATCCAACTTAAACTATAAACCACGTTATATCACATAACCAATTAACAGCCATTCACATACAAAAATCACATTATTACATTTATCCAAATAAACAAAATCCACCAAGGATTTTTCTCTAAGAACTCTAAACTTAAGATTGAACACAATAATAATGAAATAACTTTTGCAGTACACAGTCTGCTCCAAAGTTTGAAGGACTGAATCATGGAGCTGGAAGGAGTCGTAAATATTTTATGACCCTACTCCAGCGTGAGAGCAGGCTCAAAACCTCTCACAAAACATCTAACATCTCCCTGTCTGGTCTTCTTGCCACCATCCTAACTAAAACAGCCTAGGAAGACACTAAGTTTTTGGCATGAGGACATCTCTGTGAATCCTGTCAGGTCTGATAAAGGCCCTGGGGTCACGTGAAGGAACGGACATGGGGTGGAATGTTCTGATCCGTCAGTGGTGACGTAGAGTTTGTATGAAGCAAATTTGGCAAAACATTAGCAACTGTTCAATAAAGAGCAGTGAGCATATAAATTTTCATCGTAATGTTCTACTTGTATGTTTGAAAACCTTTAGTAATAAAGATAAAAGAGGAAAAAATGGCCGTTAGCGCTTTTTTCAAGCGCCAGCATTTTCCAGCACAAGCCTTGAGTGTTGGCGCCTCTTCCTAGCAGTCCCAGACTATGTACCCTTCTCAATATCCTCCTCACCTGCTGGGATCTTTTTAGATCATTATTCTATCTTCCCAGCATGCCCAAATGAGATCAGTGTGTGCGCAAAGATCTCAGCCAAGTCATTTATAAAAAGCCCAGAACAGAATGGGGCCAAAAGGGGGAACGACAAGGTCGGAGGGAGACTTGAACCATAGGAGTTGGCCAACAGCAAAGCGCTCAGCCAGCAAGGGAGGGCGGGCGCCCGGGGGCCTGAAGGCCTGGGGACACAGCGTGAGGAGCAGGGTGCATTTCCCAGGCCTGGGGACATAGTGAAAGGGCTGGACTTCAGAGACAGTCCCCTAAAAGCCTGAAGAGGTGAGAAGGATGGAAGAAAGATGGGGGGTCTGGGGAGGGCAGCAGGGGGGCATTCAAACCACATGCGAGAGGCACCCAAACCAGAGTCATTCACCCTCCACCTCAAGTCCTGGGGACTCCACACTGATTTCTACAGAAAATCCAACTCCTCTGCAGGACGTACAAATTTCTCACCCTCCATTTGAGGGTCATCTTTAGCCATGTGCATTCTGAATCCGAAGCTCTGACCCAGTCACACCTGCCCACACTCAGGCCTTTGCATGAGCTGCTCCCTCTGCTCCCTCCCACAGAGACTGGTCCCCACAGCCACCCTACTTGCGTGCCTGACTTACTCCGACTCGGCCCACAGAGCTCACCAAGCAGCACTTCCTCTTTCCCTGACAGCCCTGATCCTCCTCGTTGCCCACACCCCAAACCGCTAACTCGCTGCCTCCCTCCTGACAAGGTCCGGGGTGCGACACTCGCCCGCAGCCCTGGTCCAGCCTGCACGACCCGCCCTCCGGGCACCGTGCCGTCTCTCCCTCTATACTCCCAGTCTGAGCGCCTGGAAAGCGCGCAGCCATTACGGTATCCTTGGGCCTCATGGGGTCTAAGCAGATAGATAAGGACAAAACATATGCTGAACAAATCCACTTGAACGTGGATGTTATCAAAAGGGCCAGCAAGCAGATTCCAGGGTGAGACTGGAGTGCACGCTCTGGGAAGACAAGCAGAGGTGAAGGCGGCGGGGGGGCGGCAGGAGTGAAGGGCACTTTGATTTAAAGCCTTCCTGTCTGCTCTACTCCAGGATCCTTCCTCGCCTGTTCCCGAGGCAATTTATTAGAGCCTGGTGCCCGTCACAACCTCCCTGGCCCCCTTCACTGTCATAGGCTTGAGGTTCTAGAACAGGCACGCCGTGTGCAGTTGCCTCTCCCTAAGCCCCTGCTGAATCACAGAGGAACCTGCCTCATGACCGCTGGTCTAAGTTCTGCCATAGAAACGCAAAAAACAAACAGAACGAAGAGCCAGAAAGACCCTGAGGGGTGGGGCAGCCTCTCGAGCCTCTGCGGCTATACAGCCGACTGGAACCGGGCCAGCTCTAAAACAAGAGCTCCATGCAGAGGCTCAGTCCGCCTGCACACATCTGGGGTCCCAGCCTGGACGCTGACGGACGGGACGGCTCTCTGATGATGATGGGATCCCATCACTTCACTGCAGATGCAGACTACGCCCGAGAGCTTCAAGATACGGACCGCAGCACGGCTTTCTGAACTGCTGGCGCCATTATGACCTCAAGAAAGCTTATCCTAATCTCTCAGAAAAACCAAACGTTCCACTTAAACTTGCCCGGTGACCTCTTGCAATCCCCCATGTCCAGCCTCCACCACAGGGCCACTCGTTTGGGCCACTCGTTTGGGCCACTCGTTTGCATAAAGGGTCGTCTGGAGACTAACTTCAGAAAAGAAGAGCTCTTTAGTGACCACCCCTCGCGGGTAGGGAGTAAACCCACCCTGCTGGACCAGCACTCACTTCGGTGCAAGCCAGAATTCAAGACAGAAACGCTTTCCCAGCAAGCCCAGTGCTGGGCCCCTTCCCAAAACAAACAGAGAGCAGAGGAAAATGGAAACAGGATGTGTGTGTCGTGGGTGGGGTGGGATGGAAGGGGTACTCCTGCCCGCTCCAAGAGAGCAACCTCGTCTGGGGACCAGAGGTGGCCACGTCCAAAGGAGAAGGTCTGCCTGGTCCGTCTGCACGCCGCTCCCAAGAACACACGTGCTCCCATCACTGCAAAGGGCAAGGACAGACCGCCGGCACTCACCTGCCGTCTTATTGCACTCGAAGTTTATGACGCTCATCCGCTGGAACCCAGAGCTGCATTCGTCCCCTCCGGAATAGACCAAGGTGAGGTCTCCGTCGGAGTATCTAGATGTTTGTAACACACAGACACGGGTTTGGGAGAACCAAGAAAGAAACTTGAATTGTTACACGTTTCTACATGAAGCCTTTTGCATACCGTCAACAAATCAGGACTGACATAAAACAGCAAGCTCTCTGCCCAGCTGGGGAAAAACGTCTAAAGGAAATGAGTTCCAAATGTATGGGCTTGTCGTCCTCTTACTTCAAAGTAATAGCTGGTTGGAAGAAAGCACTGAAGGTTTTGCTGTGAGCATGAAAACTCTTCCACTCTTGTTTTGGATTTTGTACAAAATAAATAAGGCCCAAGAAACACACAGTATATGTAGCAGCTGCCGTAAACACAGTCTTACCTGAGGGATCCTGGACAATACTCATTTGCAGAGAGCTACATTTTCAAAACGCTTTTGTGAAGATAGCTACCAAATTAAGGGTCCCAGGAATTGTACTGAATGTGTTTTCTTAGTTGTTTCAAACTCTGATGTAATGCTAACGGCATTTCAGATTCTCAAACTGCCAGGGAAAAATCAGAACTCCTCAGAAAAATGCATTTTAAAATACAAAGGCCAAATCAACTCTTCAACTGATTAAATACCTTTCCTACACCATGGTTCCTTACACACACCAGATGATAAAACGAACAGTTTTCACAGAAAACAGTCCTATTGGAAAGCCAGGTTCAGTGACAAATGGCAACTCGCCTACGTCAAACAGGAAGGAATGCTGGCTTAACGGACCTGCCTGTACTTTATGGAAAATGGAAGGAGGAAGGAGACAAGGGGAGTCGGTTATGTTTCACAAGAACAGACACAATGCACTTGAAAATTACTGTTTACACACCGGAGGGTTTGATTCTGGTATTTTCCTGCTACTTTGATTTGAGAGGGTTCATTCTTCTTTACTTGGCAAATGGCGGCTTCTTTCTTACTACAGAACGGTACTTCAACTTCTCCACAGACATTCAAATAAAACATATATTCCTTTCCATCTGAAGCGTAGTAAGAGGAGGACAGAGCTAAAGAAAGAGGAATACAGGAGGAGAGGCTCTGTTAGGTCCACAGGTGCTAGAGGGTGAGGGCATCACTTCAAGCACACCCGAGCCCCTTTCGGAAACACCCACCCAGGGGCAGAGGCGAAGTGGGCCCCTCTGCACACGTTCCCCCTTCCTGCTTCATTTCAAAGCACCCCTCACCTCCATCCTGTCGGAGTGGCTGGAGGTCAATGGTGATGTCATGCTGTTCGCTGCTCAGAGAGCAGGTTTTACTTTCCAGATAATCTCTGTGGCACGCATACTCAGTGATCCACTCAATTTCGTAGCGGCAGTTGGATTTTGCTGTGAGCTTGGGAATGGTGCCCTATCAGAAACAATTTGAAAGGAGCAAAATTAGTGTTTTTAAATGCAGATTTTCCATACTTCTGAAAAGCTCAAAGGTACGTTGTTGGGTTTTTACATTCTTCCGTTCCTGTTTCTGAATGATAACGACCCCTAACACAGTTCCAGCACTTGGCATATAACCACCCTGTTTACTTGCAACTGTTCTTGTCTCTTTCAGAGTCACACCCGAGGTCCAGCCTGGACTCGACATCACCCAACAGCCACAGCCTCCGCAAGCAGCCATGACCTGTGAAGGCACATGGTCTGTTCCCTCCTTTCTATCGGAGCTGAAGGGAGCTGGCCAGATGAACCCCCAAGCTGAGTAGAAGTCACCGTGTGTGTGTGTCTGGGGAGATGGTCCGTAACTCCTTTCTTCAGGTTGTCAAAGGGGGTCTCGGACACACCTCACCGGTCCTTGAATCTGCTCTTGCCCTTGGGGGAAGCCAGGGCATCACCCGCCACAAACCCAAATTCTGCCAAAGACCTGCTTTTACAAATGGGAGCTCAGATGCTCGTGTTTGGTGTGAACAGGGAAGGATGCAATCACTGCTGACCAGGGTGCAGTGCACCCTCTCCCACCATCTTTGGGAGAAAGGCCTCGCTGCTCTTCGTACCAGGAATAGCCTCGCCGCTTCCAGGAAATACTCCTCGGCAAACGTTTCTTGAGCGCCTGCCCTGTGCCAGGCACGGGACGAAGCACCAGGGCTACACACACAGGTCACAACTTAGTAAGACACAGAGCTCCAAGTCCAGTTCTGACTCAAAAGCGAGGCTTTAACCACCTGGCTTGGGGAAGCTGGACACCTAGGGCTGGGGTGCCGAGCGCCGAGTGAGTGAAGCCGGGCACAAAAGGCCCCACTGAGCAAGGTTCACTCATCAGAGAGGAAAAGGCAAGTCCATGGAGACAGAAAGTCACCTAGCAGCTGCCAGGGCTGGGGGTTCAATGGGAGTGACTGTCCTGGGCTCAAGGTTTCTTCTGGGGTGATGGAATGTTCTCACATTCGATCGTGCTGGTGGTTGCACAATTTGGTTAATATCTAATAACCATTTCGTTGTACTTGAAACAGGGGAACATTATAGTATGTAAATTCAATAAATCTTTTTTAAAAAGGTCTATATGACAAAGTGAACACTGACTAAAATTCCAGCTCCTAAGGGCATTCAGTAAGCCTGTGTAAACACTTAAAGAAACCCTCAAGCGCTAAGGTGTCGTATGTCACCCAGTTCTGTCCGGTGAACAGTTAAGCTGGGAATGGAACCTTTCACTCCACAAAAAACAAACCGGCCTCCTTTCCTAATGCCACCAAGCACCCTGTATCCCAGGGAGAAGAAAGGAGGGAAACTCCCAATTCGCCTCACTGTGGTGGAATGAACTGCTCCTCCCTGAACATACAGGGAGGAAAGGGCAACACAAAGACCCCGGCCAGCTTGGAACACCTGTCTCATGGGGCTTGAAGACTCTCACCCCACATCTGCAAGTGTCCACAAATGTTCCCTAACATTCACCTTCAGAGCTCACGTTGACCGCTCATCAGTCAGGTCTTTGCTAAGCGGACGCCACGTGGCCCTGCAAGTCTGCGGACATAAAACGGAAAGCTGGCCTGGCCTACACTCTGTCTCCACATCCCCCCCACAAAACAGGCCAGCTGCCAGCAAGAAACCAGACCAAATTCCATGTTTGTTTGTGGGGAGGGGGAGCTCGCTTCCCTCGCCAAAGAATTCAGCTCCTCCTCCTTCATTCTATTATGAGGAGACAGAAATAAATGAGAGGAAAGCCCTGCCCTTCCTCCCCGGGGGCTATCTCCCTTCCATCAGCACCCCGCACCTGCTAGAACACTCGAACAGCAACGGACACGTGCAACACGGCCAGGCATGGGCCCAAGGACAACCAGACTCCGGCCCTACCCGCGAGGAGTTTAAAAGTGTGCTAGAAGTGAGTGAACAGCCAGAGGACAGGGTCAGGCACCCGCTTGCGAGTGTGGGAGGAGGGGCTGAAACGCCCCACTGTGAGACCCTCGAGTAAGAACCTTCCTTCTGGCCAGGACTCTCCTACCTGAGTAGCCCCCAAACTCCGGCCACTGGCCCGCAGAAGCTCGGCCAGGGCTGCACACCATCTGTTCCACTCATTTCGTTCTATGTTTCTATAAACCAATCAGCTATTTTTACCTTGCCTCATCCTAACAAATACTAGCTAGGAAATCACAGGTTTGAAATTATATATATGGCTTTTCAAACAGTCATTCAAATCAGCATTACTATATAAATTTTAAAATCTTTCCATGAATCACTTAAAATCATCTCACACAAACTAGAAAACACCATCCTCCATCAACACACCATCCTGCATCAACACACGCAGGGGCCCCTCCGGGTTGGTGAGAAATAGCAAACGTCAAGCTGCTGTCCCCCGGAGACCCTCACATGTGCAGGAGAGTCGACCCCAGGAAGCACGTCTTCCCGGATATTCCACCGCGGCTGCCGCTTTCTCGCTCCCCCTCTCCTGCCCCCAGACCCACCGCCCCGCCCCACCCCTTAGATGCACTCTCCTAGACAGCCCACGCTAACGCGCGCTGCTGGAAAGTCCTCCAAAGACAAGCCACTCACCTCTCTGCGCTCCGACGGGCAGACAAACGTGATCGTCACCGCCGGGCTGTGACCGTCACAGAAGTCTAGCTCCCCGGCCCCTTCTTTCACGTAACTCAGGACAAGCCTGAATAATACACGTTGAGGAAAGAGTGTTATAAAGTATGAACTACACTCAAATTGATCTGTTGCCCTGAGCATTCAGCTCACTCAGTTGGGGGCCAGGGGTAACAGAATGAACACTAAACTATAAAGGAAGCCATAGTATGAAATACCTTCGATTTCCATTTAAAAAAAAAAAACAAACTGATTTTAAGTAAACTTCAATGAATGCTATTTTCTTTTTAAAAATAAATAAAATGACCAACATGTAAATTTAAATACTAAGAAAAGCTGCTCGAGTAAGACAAACAAGAAAAAAAACTATAAACGATCGAAGAAAACAAAATAAACACAGCCGAGCAGGCTGAGTACATCTCTGTCCACGAGGCTGCACGACTACTTCTTCTCTCAACAATAACTTGTAAGTGGAAGCCAAGATCTTTTTCTCTTCAACCTGAAGACAGCCAAGTGGCCCAGCCATTGTGACCTCCCACAGCCAGGAAGAGCCTGAGCCGCCCGAGTGCGCAGGGGTCTCCCAGCAGGACACGCCTGCTATTCCTGGCGCGCAGGCCACAGAGCCGCCGAAAACACGGGACCTCCCTCTTCTCTGAAGACAAACTCGAACTCTCACTCAATGCCCACGTTGTGCAGAGTCTCCTCTCCCCTGTGAGGAGTCACCCACCTGTCACTCAGGACAGTGTGATGGGACGAATGGTGTCCCCCTACACTCATATTCCACAGCCCTGATCCCCAGGACCTCAGCATGTGACTGTACTCGAAGACAAGGCTTATTACACAAAGGTGATGAAGTAAAAATGAGGCCACGGGAGTGCGGGGCGTGTGGGCGTGGGGCTAACCAGATATGACTGGCATCCTTATCAGAAGGAGAGACCAGGACACAGACACACAGAGGGAACAGACCATGTGAGGACACAGGGAGAAGGTGGCCGTCTGCAAGGCAAGGAGAGAGGCCTCAGAAGGAACCAGCCCTCCTGACTCCTTGGACTCCCAGCCTCCAGAATGGAGAGGAAATAAATTTCTGTTGCTGAAGCCAGCCTATGGCACTTTGTTACAGCAGCCCCGGCAAACTAATACAGACACACATATAGAAACCTCCCAAACATTTTTAAATTTAGGTTATGCTCCAGAGTCTTCTGTGGACACAAGCACCCGCCCCGATACACCACCAGTTCCGTGCTAGAACAAGCCACAGCAAGGCTTCTACCAAAGGCCTCTGGAATCTATGACGTGATCTAAGACGGGCTGGCGTGGGACACGCTGGACAAAAACATCTCTCTGCTAATTCAAGGTACGAAGAAAGGCAGTGAGAGAGCATGTACCGAGAACACAGCGTATCGTAAGAAACAAACCTCCCCACACCGGGCACGAGGGTGCTCACCACACCCCAGGCAGGAAGCAAACTGCCCCTCCACGAAGGTGTTCTCAAAGGACAGAGGACGAGGGACACAAAAGCAACTTCATGAGTAACACAGAAACTATCAGAACACGCCTTAAGGTAGGGGTTATTTCATGAACCGAACACCTGTATGGATATGGGATGGATCAGGATATTCGTCTTTAATGGCTGTAATGACCAGTAATCAGACAATCAACAAGCAAAGCAGCCTATGTGACTGGTAGCAACCACGGATGACTTCACAAGCATCTGTAGGGACTTGCTGAGGTTTACACACACCAACGCAGACCCACCTGTCCTTGCTCATGAGCTTCAGTCCCTCCTTGGGCTGGCCGACGTCGAAGGCCTGGCCCCCTCTCACCAGGCAGGCAGCCGTGCCGGGGGGACAGCCATGCAACTGCGGACTGGAGTCCCGTAGCGAGTCTGTAAGACATCACGTGTGACACTCCATCAGACTGTACCTCAGGACAGGTAATCACACTTAACCTTATGCACAGGTGTCCCTTGACAACAATCACCCAAGTTCTGAAAGTCCTCAAAGTAACCCAAAGTAGTGGAAGTCTGGAAACAACAAACAAGCTAGGATCCAACCCCATTCTGAGAGACCACAGGCACACCAGGGGCCTCTCCAGATGCATGAAGTGTGTGCGTCCTGCCCCCTGGGGCTGCTAGGAAGCAGAGTCAAGACTGCAAGGCACTCACTCTGCCCCTGGTAGGGAAGAAGCGATGAGAAACAGGGACCATCGTGTAATTTGTACTCAAGGAACGTACGTACCTCCTTTTCTAAAGATACACTAACTTGAGCTTTATCCCCTTCTCCAAGCTATAAACAAACTTTCGAAAACACAGGCACTCCATGGATTGGTGGGAAGATGAGGAGATTCACGGAAAGAACCTACAAACAGCTCTGGGTTGAGATCGTAAAACCACCACTTGCTATCTCTGTAACTTTGCTCTAACGACACAACTATCCAACTGCGGTTTGGGAGAGGATCAGAGAACGTCTAGATGGGCCCAGAACAACGTGCAGCTCTGCTTGTACACAGAGGTGGCCTTACTCGCTTCCCAGGCCCGTGACTGGGACCGTACCTAACTCTAGCTCCATCCAGGGCTGTGACTCAGGGCCTCGCACATGACAGGGGCTCAAAAAACATGTGCCCCACAAAGGAGTAGCTATGGCCCAGCCTGGTCTTTCAAGCCTTCTCAACCAGAGGGGGTCTTCCACTAAAGCCCTATCTTCTCCAGTATGACAGAAAGTGGACCTTTAGGGGGTCAAGGCCGTCCCGCAAAACTGCACCAGGGGGTGGCTTGAGTCCACACCGTGTCCCTGCTGTGCCGCTTGCCCCCACGGCTCAGCAGATCCCTTGGTTTACTGAAGGCAAAACCGGAGGCACGCGCCCTGAGCATGCAGAGCGGACACACAGCCGCAAGCCCACAACTGCTCCTGAGGTACTCAGGGTCACTATCAACAAGGTTTGCGGCCCGAGGCAACTTCCTGGGGATGGAGAATATCTGGACAGAAACTGGTAAGTCCATTTTTTTTTTTAACTTCTGAATTATAAATTTACAAAATTACTGTGAGTCAAAGTCACTGAAGTTCAACCCAAACTGCCAATAATCAAAGAAAAAACTTTTGTAAGAAAATCTCCACTGAATTCAGATAATCCTCAAAATGATAAAAGACCAGGAATCTTAATGTTTTCTAAACTAAAATGAATTCAATCATCTGCAACACTCTTCAGCTTTATAATCAAATCTGAACTATGGGCCCATTTAAGACACAGGCTTTGTCTGTCTGCCTTTTTCCAAAAGAACGTTAAAAGCCGTCCTTGGAGAACAAAGGAATGATGTAAAGAGCTGACACACAAAAAATCTAAAATTACCACTGGTCACTTTTAGTGAAGCACGTATGTGGTATACGCACGTTTTAAAACTGTTTAGAAATCATCAAAATGGTACCTAATGTATTTGTACAATTCACCGTAAACTCATACTTATCACCCAGCCACACCCTCCTGTACTGAGTTTATTCCTAATATTTTTTCCAAACTTTTCTAAGGCCAAAGTCCCATATACAATGTAAGAAAAAGGAACATAAAGAAAACACTAACGATGATCTTTTCATTTGCTAATTTACTCGTGACACGATTGCTGCTGGTGTAGGAGAAAAACAAATCTTGGTCTACGGAACTAACAACTCCCTGAAAAACACATAAAGCTAGGTTCTAGAAAGTGCTGACAAAACAAAGGCTTAGTAAAACTTCCTAATGCCCTATTTAGATAAAGACGATTTACAGCCTTCAGTTTATTTAGCAAAGACACCCAAGCTTCTCACACCACTTCTGACTCCTAAGGAAGAAGTGAGGCAAGAAGTTGGCTTAGAACAAAATATGCATCACAACCCAGTTCGCAAGGTCACTGGACCATCCTTCTCTCCCTGTCACCTGGCCTGCAACTCAAAGCCCACTGATGGCTCGAGGCCGTCCTCCCCACGGCCCCTCCCAGGAAGGCTGACTCATCCTGCTGCAGCTGGTTCGGGGTGCCAAGCACACCCACCCCGTTCATTCTCCCACCATCTCACTGGAAGTCAGATACCCGAGATTCCTGGAACCAAAATGTCTGGCAGAGAGAACTCACTGAGATGGACCAACAGTCTGGACAAAATCGGTGATGGAACCAGAACTGACTGGGGGTCCAGGGGTGGGCTGATGCACAGAGAACATCTTTCTGCGTCCTTAGAGGGCCGACTCAGTGACATGGATATCCAACTAGGAATAACGGTGGAAGGGCAAAGATAGTGAAGCCTTCTAAGAAACCCTTCACCACCACCACCCCCAAACCTACCTATGTCTCTACAAACATTGATGAACAGGGAAGTGTCCGGGTCAGAGTCATCCACCAAGTAACCCCCGCTAATCTTGATCAGTGGATTTAAGTCATGCTTCTTGAGCTCTCCATCAAATGCATAGCACGGCACCTGGCAGAGAGGAAGAGAAAAAGTGAGTCTTGGACACCCATCTTCTTGGGGTACCGGCTCAGCAGAGCCTTTGACCAATGTCACAGAACACCAGTCTCCACTGCTTAGGGTCTATCAGGCCGTGGGGTCCCCCGGAAACAAAAGAAACGAAGGTCAACAAGTGCCTCAGCTGCTCTGCATTGAGAACCACGTCTTTCCCTCCCGACCGCCCCATCTCCATCAGCACGCTATAGTATCTGCCAGCTTACAGATGACCTCCCTCACCCCTCCACTGCCCTCGGCCCTCATCCTGGAGCTCTGCAATTTATGGTGAAATTACCTGACTGGTCCATCCTCGTCCACTCCCCTTCCTCCCCTTCCATTCTTCCTGAACATGGGCACAGGAGGTTGCTGTCCGCACCACACCAAAACCACCCCCACCCAGTCACCATCAACCACCTGCTGCAGACGTGATGTGCATTCTCAGCCTTCCCCCGGCCTCACTCACAGTGGCATTCAAGTGCCACTGGCCCTTCCCTACTGCCCAACCCCATTCTTTCCTTTGCTGTCTGGCCCCCTAGAGTCTCCGGGTTTCCCTCCACCCGCTGGCTGCTCCTTCTCAGCCTCCTGGGAACATTCTTCATCTCCCTTCCAACCCTTAATGCAGAGGTGCTCCATACCTGACTTCTCTGGTCACTTCCCTGTCTACACTCATCCCCCTGCTCATCTCCTGCCCAACTCCAGACTTCTGAGCCAACCACAGTAGATCTAGTTTATCAGCAGACTCTGGAGACAGAATGCTCGGCTCCAAACTCTGGTTGCTGACAGTACGACCGTGAGCCAATCTGACCTCTGTGCCTCCGTTTCCCCATGTGTCCAACGGAAATAATGACAGTCGTTAGCTCAGAGGGTTGCTATAAGGACCGAATGAGTTTATGTAGGTAAAGTTCTTGGAACAGTTCCTGTCAAGTTCATATAAATGTTACTTGTTACCGTTACTTCCCATTATCACTTAGATACCCAAAAGCATCTCAAATTTAATATTTAAAAATGAGCACTGGGTGTTTGTTATATGCCACTGATGAATCACTAAACTCTACCCCTGAAACTAGTAATACACTCCACGTTAACTAAGTTAAATAAAAAATAAAAAATTCTACCCTCGAAACTAATAATATACTATATGTTAACTAAATTGAATAAAAAATAAAAAATTTAAACAATAAAAAAGTAATAAAGTAAAAAAAAAGAATAAAAATAAATGGGCCTTTGATTTCTCCCTGCAAACCTGCTCTTACTTCAGTACTCTCCATCTCGGCATTCAACCAGCTGCTCAAGCTAAAACCTTAAGATCATCATAGACCCTGACATTCTACATCCAAAACCATCAGCAGGTCCTGTCAGTTCTGCCTTCAAACTGAATCCCTGATCAACGGACAGTCCCTGACCTACAGTGGTTTGCTTACGATTTTTCCACTTTACGATGGTGCAAAAGCGATATGCGTGCGGTCTCTTAGACTGAGGGTATTCACAGGCAGATAGATCTCTATGACAAAAGTTAACTGCTTACTGTTTAGCTAACAAATTTTTCTTAGAAAGATGCTACCAAACCTGCAGGAATGCTCTGACCTACTAACCCTTTTCCCCAGTCCAGTTCTGAGAGATTTCACAGAGATCTAATGGATCAAGTCAACCGGCACCTCCTCGAAGCCTCAGGGGACACGTGAACTCCTTTCAACCAGACCCCTAAGGCAAACTCTCCCCACGCCCACAGAAGATCAGTGGTCCCACTGATGACTGGGGGAGGTTGCGGGGGGTGGGGGCAGGCACACAAAGCCAGCTAGGTCAGAAGGCCAGATGCCAGGCCTCACACTGCACCCTGCAGAAAAGCAACCAAAATCAAAGGGATTCCTGCAGACTGTAACGAGGCTCCAGTGAAAAGTGACCACGACGTCCATCATCCTGCAAATGGAAAGCCTGTCATCCTCTGGCAAGGTAATGCAGAAACAGTAACTCAAGCAGGGAGCTACCGGGCCAGCGGTGGGAACGGGACACAAGAGGCGACTCCCCAGCTACGAAATGAAGGCCTCTGAGAGAAGGGAGCAGGCTGGCAGCCGGCAGGAAGAAGCGGGGCCACGTCTGAAAGAGCTCGTAGTTCTCAGCTAGCTCAGTTTCACCAAAGGCTTGAGAGATTCCAGTAAGCAAGGTCTGCAGACGCCCGGCTCGAGGCAGTTTTAGCCACTTCTGGCCGGCTCTCTACTCCAGGAAGGAACAGAAGACACGCCTAACACAGCACCCCACAGAACTGGAGCGTGCATCGGAAAAACAGTCAAAGCTCCTGGGGAAAGTCCTCCCCACTTCCTGCTCCACGGAGCAAAGCAATGGAGACATTCATAAGAGCAGGAATGTAGCCACGGGGGAAGGAGGCCGCTGGCCAGCCTCACACACCACACAGTGAATCAACTTGTTAGCGCCGGACGTATATGAACTGCATTTATGTAACTCTGGTAAGAACACGAGCACGCCAGTCCTGAATTCTCTGTGTTCCCAGGAGTGCTATGGTAAGAGGACGTACGTCCAAAACATTTCAAAGAAATTATTACCTTAAAACAACCTCCACCAGAATCCACTCAACAAGCATTATACCGGCAGTCTGTAAGGACAGTGTCTGAACTACCGTGAGCTTCGCCCCCCAATTATTCTAAACCAGACAGAGCAACTGACAACCGAAATGAGGTATGGAAATCCAGACTCCAGTGACACTAAACCAAATCTGGATTGCTTTTTTTTTTTTAACATAAAACATTCACTGCAGTTTTTGAAGTGGTAAGATCGCCTGTAAGGTGGAAAGGTGGACTCAAACCTTACTGAAGACCGAGAAGAGGAAACCCGCTCGCTTCAGCGACCGCCGCGCTCCTCCACTCCCTGGTCTCAATTCACCCATACCTGAGGCACCACGGATCCAGGCCGTGAACGAGGACCTGCCCTCCATCCCCTCCATCTAGGCGTTCTCTAAAAGCAAGAACCCTTTCAAAATTTAATGAAATTCCTACTTCTTGGCCCACGACAGGCCCCCCATAAATGAAAACTGAATGAATAAAGCCCCGGCTGCCAACTAGACCTAAAGAGAGGCTCACTGAGGACAAAGTGCACATTTCTCATCCATTTTTAGATCAGCTTCTAAGAGAAATTAAATGTCACTGTTTTGAGAAAAAACATGGACTATACTTCTCCCCTCAAACATCAAAAACTGATTTAGAGCAAGGGGCCCCCTCACTTTCCTATAAAGGGCAAACAAAGTAAATAGTTTAGGCTCTGTGAGTCACACAGGTCTGTCTTGTTCTTCTTTGCTTTTTTCACAATCCTGTACAAATGTAAAAACTGTTCTTCGTTCTGGGGCTGTACAAACACAGGCCGGGGCCGGGCTTTGGCCCAGGGGCTATAGTCTGTGATTTCTGACCTCCAACACAAAGAAAATAGAAAACAAGTAGCTATTTATGTATCTATTTTGCAAAGCAATTTTTCCCCAGGTACTGGGAGACATGACAGTCAGTTCAGAAAAGCAAGGCAAGAAGACACTCGTCAAAACAGGAAAAATGGGTATCACTGTTGAGCTGGAGAACCAGAGCCCAGGAGGACTTCTGTGGGGCCCAGACAGCTCTGAGGTCCCACAGGAGAGGAGGAGGCACATCCCTCTGTGGTTCTCAGATGCTTTTCCTGCCACGAACCGTGTGCTGGCACACAGGTTAACTGAAGCATTAAAATTCAAGGTTTAAATTTGACACCGTGACCTCAAGGTCAGTGTCACTGTATTAGGCCTTGACTCTTTCCACACTTGAAATTTTTTTCTCACGGAGTGTCCCTTATGCTCTTTTCCAGGAGGCAACATTTTGCCTCTTTCACTTCCATTACCAGACTGTCTTTTCTTTTAAAGACTGCCATATTTGAAAAACCACTGATCATTTATTATTTATAGCTTCATTTGGCTTTATTTTTTAAAAACAAACTCCTCTCTTTTTGCCCTTCTTGAATGACATTGCATTGGGCCATCAGTGAAAATAACCGATTACTCCCATTTTCAGTTCCTAGAGCCTAAGAGAGTCTTTGAACTCAACCCTTCAGAACATAAAACTTAATGGAGAGATGTGAAAATAATCAACCGGTGAAGCCTGTCACCTAGACAAGCACAGAAAACCACTTTCAGACCGGGGGGGGGGGGGGGGGCGGTGTATAATGCTTGTTGAGTGGATTCTGGTGGAGGTTGTTTTAAGGTAATAAAACCACTTTCAGACCTGGAGGGGAGGAGCGGCGGGGGGGAGAGCCACACAGCCAAGCCAAGCTAACAGTCTCTGCGCTCGGGGAGAGGACGCTTCACGAATCACCAAGGATGACTTGACCAAACACCAGAGAAAGAGCGGAAGGAACGACAACAGCCATCTAGTCTCTACCTAGGGGAACTGGCAAAGAACTGAACAGCTAGGGACACCTGGCCTGGACCCACAGCATCCAGAAGCCACACCAAGGCTGAGGAGATGGGCGCCAGGAGGGAGAGTGAATAATCCAAACACCAGCTCACCCATGTCAGTCACTGAGTTGCATAGTACTAGAAACCAAGAACGAACTAACTACCTAACTGAGTAGAGGGGGAGCCAATCACTTCTAATGACATCCTGGGATATTTTAAATGCCCTGTCCTAAAAATAAAACCACCCAGCATCATTTTAACAATTAAATCACATGGCATCTCTGCTCAAATGGCATTTGAAAACTAAAAAAGATTTTTACCCCAAAAGGCTTGTGCCAATATTTCAAATCTTAAAGGTCCCAGAATGTCCTTCATAAGCACATGACCTTGGGTCCCCTTGTTACCTCTTTATTGGCTTTAAACGTGTCTTTCTTGCAGGCAGCACTAGTCCTCCACTCGAAGTAATGCACACAGCCTGTCGCAGTTACAAATTCAGGAGTTCCCTATTTTTAAAAAAGAGTAAAAATAAGTTACCATACTGCATATCATACGGGGTTCCCCCCCCCTTAAAGTTAGAAACAGTAAAGGCTAATGAAAATTTTAAAAGCAGCGAGAAGGGGAAGGAGGGAGGACACAACTGTTTTAGCTAATCAAGGTCGTTGAGAAGTTCCCAAACCCAGAAATTATGAGACAAAAGCTTCGTGAAATCACGTTGGAATTTTGGTATAACTGGTCCAAAACTGTTCTACTGCACCAACTATGCAAGCACAGTAAACTCATGGGAGGCAATCCTCAGAGCCCTTCCACTCTCAAACTCCAAATGTTCTCTTAACCAAATGCCAACAAAATCAAAGCCAGAAAATGTGACCTCATACTTCCTGTAAGCTGAGGACGGAGGCCCATCTGGACCCGACCGAGTTCACACACCAGCCTCGCTTTAGACACCCCCACACTCAAGGGCAGCCCCTCCACACAGACTGCAACCAGGGTCGACTCCAAAATGGTCAACCACAGCACTGCTGGGTGATATGTGACACCGAATTTACCTCTACACTCCCATGTGCAAATCTAGGGAGTTCTTTGCAATTCTGGTTCTCATATGATGAACACAGAATTCTTGAAAGAAATCAGTTAAAATTAAAGCAGCAGCTAGCTTATTCTGTAACACAGACCTCCATATTTCATGCCACTGCAAACAGATCTTTTTCTAAGGTTTCAACATAGACAAGAGTGCATCTGACAGGCTGGTCCAAAATTAACAATGTTAAGTTCTATTTTTAAAGTTCTTCAGGGGAGACATTATGGGCCTGAAGATGCAACAGTCATAGCACCAAATTCTAAAATGATACTTTAAAGCAATCTGGTAGCCCACATGAGTTCGCTCAACCTTATTTTTCTAAACACATGGGTTCTTACTCTGATTAGAGAACTTTCGTAAGATCTGTACATAAATTGCTTCTCCTAAAAGCTAGCAATTATTTACTGAAAATCCCTTTCTATATACCAGAGATTAAAACCAACAACTCACATGTAATATGCAAGAGTAAGAACAAACATCATGCTTTAAATAATGTCCCCTTGCAATACTAGTTACACTCAAAAAAAGTATGATTAATGGCCATTACCTATTGGCCAAGACTTCTCCTAGACAGATGCTAGTCTCTCCAATTTAATGTAAGTGAGGAAACAAAAACAGTTTTTAAAAAAATAAATGCATTGCTCTAAAAACTACCAAGATAAAACGCTAGGAAAAGAAGTTTTAGAAAGAAAAAAATTTATGCTTACAATGTAAACACTCAACAGTGTTTTGAGTTTAAACACACTAATCACCTTGAATTGTAGTTTTATACAGGATGTAGGTCAAGTTTCACTTAAAAGTTGTAACTATGGGCTAGGGTTTGTTTACATATTGGCTCTTAATGGTGATGGTGTTTTGGTTGGTGGTTTGATGGTTCTGTTTGTGTTTTTAATTTTGCTCACTTATTCTTCCTGGAAAAATACTACAGCAAGAATGCCTAACGGGCAAACATTTTTAACAAAAGGAACATTACAAAGTGACTCTGTGTGGACTCACCAAGGTTTTCCCACATAAGAAGGTAATGCTACTCTGGATTTTGTGATTTGGGCTTTGCTTACAGCTCTCTGTTGTGCTGAATTCCAGAAGAGATCTGGTTGCAGTTTTTGAAGAAGAATCACCTATTTGGAAAGGAAAGAGCATGAACAAGCCATAAAACATGCATAACCATAAAGCCATTTCCAAGCATAAGCAAATTAAAAGTCATACTATAATTCATCTGAAGGCTCATAAACTTACAAACTGTCCCTTCCCCAGAATTCTCCATCTGAGTAATGGCATCTCCATCCACCCAGCTGCTGTTCAAGCCCCAAACACAATACATTTGAATTTTATCTTTTTCTCATCTAGCACATTCAAGAAATCAGAAAGATCTAATGGTTCTACCTCCATCTCAAATCCGTCCACATCTCACCACCTCTACTACTGCTGCTAAGACCACTACCATCTCTCACCTACACTCTGGCAATAGCGTAGGATTGGTCCCCTTGCCTCCACTCTTGTCCCTCACCATCCCCCCTTCCCCATCTACCTTGACCAATGTGATCTTCGAAAATAAAAATCAGAACATATAACTCAACTGCTCAAGTCCTTCAATAATTTCCCATCGTACGTGCTATAAAATCAAAATTCTTTAGAATGGCCCACAAGTGGGGTGATTACATCTCAGTTTGCCTGGTATGTCACCGTAATAATCCAGAATAAAATGTCTATACCATACCAATATGGTGATAAGTTGGTATAGGAACAGATAAACTGACAAGCAGATTAGAACAGAGAGCAGAGAGAGATATGTATGAATCAAACCTTGATATATGACAGAATAATAGATCAATGGGCAAAGAACAGACTCTTCAATAAAGGGAGCTAAAAACAAAATGACCATCCATATGGGAAAAAAGATAAAAATTGGATCTCTAACCTACCACTGTATATGAAAATCAACTCTAAAATAATTAAAGACAAACATCAAACTTTTGAACTCTTAGTAGAAAATATAGTTGTCGTTCAGATCTTAATATAGAAAACTATTTAAGACTCAAAAGCATTAACTCCAAAATATTAATATATTTGACTTCTTACATTTAAAAGTTTACATTCATAAATAGCTTAAAGAAAATAGCTTAAAGAACACAAACTAGTTATAAACTGGGAGATACACAGACCTGGCAAAGAACTGGCATCAAGAATATATATACTCACACACAACAAAAGAATAAAAAACTTTTTTTTCTATAATCCTAGAAAGTGAAACAAAATAACCTCTACCTGAAAGAACACAAAAAGAAGAGATAAGGGAAAACCCACACCTAGTCATGTCTCGATGAATTTTAATATTAAAGACAAAGAGAAAACTCTAAGGCTTCTAGAGACGTAGAATGGGTCACATGCAATAGATAACCCAACATAAAATGGATAAGATCCATCAAAGGGAAGAAAAATATGTCAGTAAATATATGAAGAGATAGATGTTCAACACCACTGGTCATCAAGGAATTGCATACTGAAACCACATGGCATACCAATTAGAACCATTCCACTGACAAAAGTCAAATACCAAGCGTTGGAGAAGAAATGGCCTAGCTCTCCTTTGTTGCTTCAGCATGGCATTAGGTCCTGAAATTGAACATTCATGTACCCCATGAGCTACATATTCAACTCTTAGGTATCTACACAAAAGAAACCCATGCACGTGAAACACATGAAACATAAGCAAAACCTGGAAACAACCCGAATGCCCATCAGTAGAACAGTGAATAACTTACCTTGGGAGAGCCACACAATATTATATAAGAGTTCCTTGGAACAAACCACAGTGAAAGATAACAAGATGGCCAATCTTTAGCAACATAATATTGTTGTTACCACTTTAAGTCCCAGAAAATTACACATAGCATAATACACACTTTCTATAAAGATAAAAATATCACACACATACAGAGACTTTTGAGAAAGAGAGAGACAAAGAAAGGGAAGAAAATTTTAAATACAGGCTAATTATTACTCCCACTGAAGGGAGACAAGAAGATGGAGAAAACACACAGACAGTGGTTATTCTCAGGTTACAAGATTTTGTTAGGGATGGGGCTCATCACATTATCCAAAACAGATAATTAAAGAACGAAAAAGGGGCGCCTGAGTGGCTCCTTGGTTAAGCGTCTGCCTTGGCTCAGGTCATGATCCTGGAGTCACAGGGATCGAGTCCCGCCTCGGGCTCCCTGCTGAGTGGGGAGTCTGCTTCTCCCTCTGATCCTCCCCCCTCTCATGCTCTCTCTCTCTCTCATTCTATCTCTCAAATAAATAATCTTAAAAAAAAGAAAGAACAGAAAATGGTTAGTCTACGGATTAGTTATGACTGTGTATCATGAACTCAGGATTGTAACTGGTCCAATTCGATACAAACACCTGAGATCTTCGTTTTAAAAAGAAACAGAGGAGGAAGAGGAGGAGGAGAGTAAAAATTAAGATGCCAGTGGAGAGGGGATAATGGGTTTCAGAGCTGCCCCCACAGCACCAGGCTCAGAGTCCATTGGTTCTTTCTCCTGACTGCCCGCCTGCCTTTGTGCAAAGGTCTGCCTGAATCGCTCTCTCCCTGAAACTCCCGAGATCTGTCCAAAAATCTTTTTTCTCGGCCGAAAGCACAGAATCCCTGCAGTCTCCGGGACCGAGGACAGCGCCCCGTGGACAGCGCCCGTAGCCCCGCCCACGGTAGGTGTGTCTAGCGCCGGGAGACGGGGCGGGGCTTCAACGCGCCCCTGCAGCGCGGCGCTCCAGGAGACACGGAGGGCGGGCGAGGACGGCAGGAAGCGGCACGCGCTGCGGCCAGAAGGGGGCGCTCACAGGCCGCAACCCCCCACCTTCAAGACCCTCCCCCACGCCTCCTGTCCCCCCACACAGCGGCCCCTTCCGGCCCTGTGCCCAGAGCTCCCGGGGGCTCCTCATAACAGCTGGGCCCGCCTTGAAAAGGAAACGCGGAGGGCCCTGGCCTCGGGCTGGGAGGGATCCAGCCAACCTTTTGCCGCCGCGGCACGGGGCACCGGCATTCCTAAGCGCCAGGCCCCCATCAGCATCGCACCCGCCTGTCCACCTCGCCTTCTTCCTCTGTCCGCTCCGCCCGGTGGCCGGGACCGGCTGCCAACCGGGGCACTCGGGGAGAGGCCGCAGCGAACCGCGGCAGACAACCGCGGCAACCGGCCAGCCTGGCCGTCCTCCCCGGACGAGAGCCGGGTGAGGACTGCGGGGCCGCGGCCAGCACGCCAGGGCCACGGCCAGCTCCTGAGGACGGCGCCAAATGGGCTGGGCCGCGCTCGCCGGGCCCGCCAGACCGCGCCGGGTCCTCCAGACCACGCTCTCCAGGCCGGGTCCGCCAGACCAGACCGCACTGGCGGGGCCCCACCAGACCAGACCGCGCAGGGTCCTCCAGGCCGCGCTCTCCAGGCCGGGTCCTCCAGACCAGGCTGCGCGCGCCAGGCCCGCCAGACCGCGGTCTCCAGGCCGGGCCCGCCAGACCAGGCCGCGCTCGCCCAGGCCCGCCAGGCCGCGCCGGGTCCTCCAGACCGCGCTCTCCAGGCCGGGTCCGCCAGACCGCGCTGGGTCCGCCAGACCGCGCGCTGGGCCCGCCAGACCGCGCGCTGGGTCCTCCAGACCGCGCGCTGGGCCCGCCGGACCGCGCCAGGCCCGCCAGACCGCGCGCGCCAGGTCCTCCAGACCGCGCTCTCCAAGCCGGGTCCGCCAGACCAGGCCGCGCTCGCTGGGCCCGCCAGACCAGGCCGCGCTCACCGGGCCCGCCAGATCGCGCCGGGTCCTCCGGACCGCGCCGGGCCACGCGCGCCAGGTCCTCCAGACCACGGTCTCCAGGCCGGGTCCTCCAAACCAGGCCACGCGCGCCAGGCCCACCAGACGGCGCTCTCCAGGCCGGGTCCGCCAGACCAGGCCGCGCTCTCCAGGCCAGGCCGCGCCGGGTCCTACAGACCCTGCGTACCAGGCCCGCCAGGCCACGCTCACCAGGGCCCGCCAGACCGCGCCGGGTCCTCCAGACCGCGCTCTCCAGGCCAGGTCCGCCAGACCAGGCCGAGCTCGCCCGGGCCCACCAGACCAGACCGCGCTGGCGAGGCCCCACCAGACTAGACCGCGCCGGGTCCTCCAGGCCGCGCTCTCCAGGCCGGGTCCTGCAGACCAGGCTGCGCGCGCCAGGCCCGCCAGGCCCGCCAGACCGCGGTCTCCAGGCCGGGCCCGCCAGACCAGGCCGCGCTCGCCTGGGCCCGCCAGACCAAACCGCGCCTGCCGGGCCCGCCAGGCCGTGGCGAGTCTGCCAGACCTCGGTCTCCAGGCCAGGTCCGTCAGACCGCGCCGGGTCCGCCAGACCACGCGCTGGGCCCGCCAGACAGCGCTCTCCAGGCCGGGCCCTCCAGGCCGCGCTCGCCCGGGCCCGCCAGACCAGGCCGCGCTCACCCGGACCCGCCAGACCAGGCCACGTTCTACAGGCCAGGCCGCGCCCGGTCCTCCCGACCCTGCGCGCCAGGGTGCCCGCCAGGCCGCGCTCGCCCGTACCCGCCAGACCAGGCCACGCTCTACAGGCCAGGCCGCGCCGGGTCCTGCAGACCCTGCGCGCCAGGCCCGCCAGGCCGCGCTCGCCCGCACCCGCCAGACCAGGCCACGCTCTACAGGCCAGGCCGCGCCGGGTCCTGCAGACCCTGCGCGCCAGGCCGCGCTCACCCGAGCCCGCCAGGCCAGGCCGCGCTCCAGGCCTACCAGGCCTCGCCTGCAACCCTCGGCGTCCCCGGCCGAGCCCAGCCGAGCTCGCAACTCGGCCTCGCTGAGGCCCCAAGCCCTGGCGATCCCGACTTCGCAGGCGGCCTCAGGGCCCACCGCGCGGCCACCGGGCCTCCCCAGCACATCGCTCAGAGCCTGTCAGGCAGGCAGACAACCCTCCCCGTGCTAGTCACCAATGCGCTCCGGCAAGGCTCCCCTCGTTACCCACTTTCCTTTCCCCGCTTTACTGTGTCATGTCCTTCAACGTGTACTATTCACATGTTCTCTCACCAAGTGAAGAAAGAATCCTCTCTACCCAGTTTCCCCCCAGCTTCTGCCTCATTTTTCCGCTCCTCTTTATATGAACACTCTTTAAGAGAGATTTCTATTCTTGCTACCACCAGTACCCTCCCCCCTCAGATACTCCCCCTTGTGCCCCGCACTGGTTGTTCCCTGAGCCACCTCACTCCTTCAGCTCCAAATCTTTGCTTAGATGTCACTTTCTCAGCGATACTCACCCCCATTTAATATTCTTGAACACACACTCCTGAGACCTCCAGCACCCGACTCTCCTTCCTTTTTTTACAGCACTCATCACGGTCTAGTGCCTAGCCACTGTTTGTTTGTCTATCCCCCACTCCACTCTTAGTATGTAAGCTCCACAAGAAAAGGGACTTTGTCTGTTTTAGTGACTGATTCATTCACGTATTTGTTATAAATAAATAAATGAATACTAAGTGTTGGCTGTTGCAAAATATAATTTATATATATATATATATATATATATATATATATCTTTTAAGATGTGACTTAACCAAGTAAATCAGAATAAAATATACTACAATTTACCGAACCATCCCCATACAGTTAGGTTGCGCCAGCATATTTGCCACAGTTACCAATGCTACCAAAAAAACACATCTTGTACCAAAATCTAGGTACAGTGCTAATTCCTCTACTGGTAGGATTTACAAAAGTAGGTTATGGGAATACAGGCTTTAAAATTTAACAGGTATTGCCAGACTATCAGGAGAGACCGTAAGTAAGACAAAACATGAGTCATATCTAAAACTCAACCAGATTATCATCTTAAATATCCAAATATGGTTTTAAGAAAAGGAAAGAATACAGGGTTTAAGAGGAAAAGAGATTTTCACATCTTAAGAGTCAGAGATGCAAAATTCAATCCAGCGACCAACCTGGAGATGTTCTAGGTTTCTCTGAGTGCACACAAGAACTGAACAATACAAATGTCATCTGAAGTCAGGGGCCAGCTTCCTTACAGTAAATGAAGGCACGTGATGCAGTAACCACAACGGGTCCTACCCAGGTCACCAACAAGAAGCCGGTCAGAATCCCAGGCTTTGGCAGTAAGTAACCACAATTAACACTCTTTCCTGGTGGGTATGTTACCTCAGTTCTGTGGCTGGTAACAGGCTTCCTGAAGCAGATCTACACAGCTTTTAACCCTCAGAAAGATTAATTAAATTAAGACCAAAGAATTACCATTTGGGATGGCACGAGGAATGTGAACGTATTCGATATTTTTACATCCTGGCAATGTTTAACGTTATGACTCCAATCAATCCACAGGTTGTAATAACTGAGCAACTGATTGAAACTTGTGACACAGTATCAGAACATCTAAGAGAACTTCAGACTTATTATATTATAAGCTTAAACTGTGGAATTTATAATTATTAGTGCTTAAGTTCTAATTGTCAGATCAGACATATGAAGTACTTTAAAAGGAAATCAAATAGGTAAAATGTAAAAATCATTTTAAATTGTGGCAAAGATGGTTCAACTAGGTTGCAACTGCTGTTCATGGGTCCCATAAAAATGACTGCTAAACTCTGCCAGATTTACATATGGAACAATACCATTTGCCTACAGAAGAACTAATCTATGATTTTTTTAATCAAAAATAATGTAGTATTGTTTAAACCAAAGTTGAGGTCTTAATATTCATTTCTAAGTACAAAAGCAGCCTTTGTGGGCACCATAAAAAGCACATCAACAATTACCTTCCCAAAAGAGTTACAGAAAACCATCTTACCTGTAGCAATACAGGCATGTGCCCGTTTCTAGGCTCCTTGCCAACACTCTATGATTCAACCATTTAAACTTCTGCCAATTTGATAGAAGAAAAATGAGATTTCATTATTGCTTTGATTTGCATTTACACCTGGCTTACTAATGAAGTTGTACTGACCATCTGGGATTTCTTCTTTTGTGAACTGCCTGTCTTCCGACTTTGCCATTTTTCCTTGGATTGTCTGTCTTTCTTATCATTTATTGAGAGAAGCTCCTACCTCCCCTAGATTATTTTTCTGTTTTGCTAGGTTTCTTCCCAATGTTCTATTGTCATTTTACTTTTAATTTTAACTGATCTGAAATTTCTGTTATAGGATACGAAGGAGAGGTCTAAAGCGGTTTCCTAATGGACAAATAGCTAAATTACACTCCAACTTTTGGTTATACTTAAGTTCTCATTTATTTTTGATCTACTACTATACTAGCTTTTCTGTTCCTCTCATCTATCGGGAGCTCCAGTTTTTGTGGCTGTTTTCAAAATTCACATTTTTCCCTTTCTATCACGTTCATAAGTTACTTTCTCAGTTGTCCTCTCACAGCCAGGAGTTCGGATTTCCCATCATGGTTCCCATTTTAGCTATGCAACTGTCCAATGTGACCCTATGACTCACAAAGCAACACGGCCCAGAATAAGTACCCAGGCTCTGGAGTCCACCTGTCAACATTTGAATCCATAATCATGCAACCTCTGATAAGCTCCTGTATCCATTTTGTGCTTCAGTTTCTCCATTTATAAAAATAAGGGAAAAAGAAGTCACCTACTTCAAAAAGTTGTTGAATGAACTAAAGATATTTTACTTAAAAAACATAATGCCTGGCACATAAATGCACAACAAATTTAGTTGTTATTTAGTTATGAAATCAAATTTATAGTAACAAATTCCGTTATTTCTATTATGTAATACAAACTGGCAAAATCAGATCTGATTCAAGATTATCTCTTTGCTAGTGTAAGGTCATTCGCATTCATTCAAACTAGTTTGCTTTCTTGAGTTGAAGAACAGGACAATCCAGAAAGTATCTATCATCTAGCACACCTTTCTCTCCCTTTGGAAGTGTGGAGCTCTGGGAAAAGTATCTGTGTCATGTGTGTCTGGGAGTAAAATGAGACTGGAAACTGCTAGTTTACATCACAGTCAACGTGTACCTTAGCTTTTAACTCAGCTAGTTACCTCTGGCCTCTCCTTTAACCAGCCTCTCCTATTCCATTGGGCCCAGCTTTCTAAAAATGCATTTTACCAGATCACCTCCCCCATTACTGTCACAAAGAATCTATAATGGATCCACTACCTACATCTCAGAAAAAACTCTCCTGCCTGGCTTTCAAAGCCAACCCAACTAGGTCATTCTCAAATTTTGTCCAGCCATGCCAACTTCACAAATCATCCTCCTAGTGACACTTGCTTGTCTGCATCCGGTATCCATCCATTACACTGTACTTTCTCATCAGCCAGAAATACTGTAGTCAAATATTATAATAAAGTCAAGAGGAAGATTCCCTTTACTCTTTCTGAAAACCTGAGTAACAGTGACCAACAGGCCCACCTGTGGCCCCCCTGCATGAATCATCAAAATAGAACAGCTGTAAGTTGGCCACCTCATTTGCACGTTTTTAAGTAGATCACAAAGACCGGGTTTAAGAAAAACATGAGAAAGCAGAGCCATCTAGAAAACAGCCTTCTGTATCAATAAGTACAAATGTACATAATTCTTCATGATTCTTCATGATAATTATTCCACTAGATGGAAATAACCTAATTTGATCTCATGTTGGACACATGTAAATTGTTACTTTTAACCACGATAAAACAGAAAATGTATATTACGTATTATAAGCATATATAAGCACATGTGTAGATAGCTATAGTCATTTATACAAAATTGGGATCCTGTACACCCAGCAATTTAAGGGTAGTTCTACTTACCCACGGAATGATAGCTGCTCGCCTTCAAGTCGTGCATACAAACAGCACTTGATGGCCCACACTGGGCAATATCCACGTTTCCACAGATGCTGATCTTATAAAGCATGTTATTTTTGGTATCGACAGCTTCCCATGTATAACTAGAAAGGAAGAAAAACAATTTGTCACTGTCACTGATCTGCCAATAATTAAACTTCTCCCCCTAGTTTCACATGCAAGCCACATTTACTTAAAACTACCACAACCTAGAAGACATACTTTCATTACCCAAAAATACTAAAGTCAAGCTATGTTAAGTTGAATAGAAGCCAGGACAGAAACCACTAAATACCACCTCACTCTGGTTCAATCCGCCCTGAAGCTGCCTCAAGACTGACCACCATCAAAATACTTAAAAATTCTACAATGTAAGAATATCAACTCTCATAGGTAACTGCTCAAGAATCATGTTGAATATAAGATAGTAACCCTTCCAATCACACTGGAATGCTGAAAAGCCAAAGGACTATTTTTAACTTTGTTATATAAAAACGAGTTATGGCATGAAAGACAATTCTCCTTGGTTTTACCTTTTACGGCTACAGTTCAGATCCAAAATTGACAAGATGAAGTTGTGCGATAAATCAACGATCTGACTCAAACTCGGGCAAAATTTACTTTAGCTTGATCCACTCCATCAAGCATTTAACATGCATTAAAACTCACTCTCCGTTCAAGCCTCTGGCAAAGTAAATACTGAGTTAATTGTTCAGGAGTCAATCTGCATACTTGGGACAAAATAATGGTTTGTCAGTTCTGTCAAAACAATTATTCTCAATTCTCCACTCTTCCTGGGGAGAATGTTTTGTCCGTTTTGTAAAACAGGGGTCATTTCCTCAGCAAGGCTAAAGACAGGAAATGAGGAAAGTAACTAAAAAGCTCCTTGCAAAATGCAAAGATACTGTATTAATTCAACTGCATTGCTGAAGAGAAGTTAAATATGAATTGCTTAGGTTCAGCCCACTCGGGAGTTGTGGGGGAGGGAAGGGGAGGGGGGGTTGCTAAGCCCTGAGACCAAGCAAGTGTAGGAGTGTATCTCCCCAAAGCAGTACCACCTTGACGGCAGAAAGTGCTGGCTCAGAGAAGTAGCAGTGCTCTTCCCAGAGCCCCCCTTCCCCTGGGCCTCGGGACAAGGACACACACAAAACACTAGGCAACATGGCTCTCCCTGCCTAGAGGCAGCCCTCCCCTCCCCCTATAGCCCTGTCCAGTAAGGGAGGAGCCCCAAAAGTGGGGTTGTTGGCAGGCAAGGAGCCAAGCACTCTCCTGAACCTAGGCCTGGGGACTGATCAAATTTACCTGCCAAGAAGCAAAGGGACATAAGCACACAAAACAGCACTCAGGCAGGGTGGCAGAATGCTCCCCTAGTTCTGACAGCCACGGCTGGGAACCTGAAAAACAGGCTCGTGTGTTCCAACAGAGCTGGCCTTGAGGCAAAGCCAGGCTCATAAGCAGTTACCACTGAAGGTCGCTTCTTTTTTCAAGCATAACTGATACACAATGTTACCTTAGTTTCAAGTGTGCAACACAGTGATTCAGTATCTCTATTCCTTCGGCTGGGTTCGCCACAGTTGCCATCTACCACTGTACAAGGCTATTACAATACCACTGACCATATTCCCTATGCTGTGCCTTTCATCCCCATGACTCGTTCCTTCCGTAACTGGAAGCTTGTACTTCCCACTCCCCTTCACCCATTTTGCCCATCCCCCTACCCCTCTTCCCTCTGGCAACCACCCATTTTGAACTCAGCTTCTTTATCAGTAACCCCTTAGAGTTATCTCCTAAAGGCAGGAAGGCTAAAGGCAAAAGAAAATAACCCAAGGACCACCGGGCATGAGAAAGTCATCAATAAAGGCCTGTTTCCTTTGACCTTCACTAACCTTTATTCATTTGCTTCACAAATATTTAAGGACTTCCTGCAGAGGAGTTCAGGGGTGCAGCAATGATCAAAGCAGACCAGAAAATCCGTGCCCCCCAGGACTGCACACTCCGGGGGTGGGGGGCGGCGCGCGCAAGAAAATAAACAGGTAAACAAATTCACATACTAGTATGCTGAGTGCTCTAGCAAAAACAAAATTGTGCGTGCTGGGAAATGAACAAGGACCTACTTTAGATGGAGTCTTCTGAGATAGTATTTGCCCTGGGACTTGAACAACAAAAAGGAGCAACTCAGGGGAAGACATGGTGCGAAGAATATTCCAGCGGATGGACGAGCCACTGCCACTACTAGGCCCTGAGGAGGGAATGAACTTACCAGCACCTTGATGGAAAAGAGGGCAGTGTGGCTGGAGCAAGGTGGGGGATGGGAAGGCTGGCTACATGGGGGGCTTTGCAGATTCAAGGAGGCAGTTCTGATTTTGTGCTTGAAACAAAGGAAGGCCACTCAAACACACTATGGATCTTTCCTTGAAATTTTAAGCTAGTGTTTTTATTTGCAGAGTATTAGCAAAACTTTTCTATTAATTACAGTTAATTAAAGAAAAATGCTAATCTCTTACTCAAGAGCCATGACTATGTTTTTCTGGGGTACTAGACATCTAATCTAAAACCTTAATAGTGGCATCATGAAAGTGTTTTGCAATCCTAAGTATATGAGAGAGCTATATATAGATATATTTTAGAATGAATCAACTGCTAGGAATCAACTCTAAAGAAATCCCCACAGTACCTAAAATGCTATACTTTTCTTAAAAACAGAAATCCACTGCTGATTTTGCAGAGGTGATATTTAAACAAGGTAGTTGTAAAGAGTGTGTGTTTAGGGAGCAGAAAAGAGATGAAAAAAAGGAATGTGGGGAATATTGTCTTGATTATCTGGAAATCAGTGTCCCTAGAAAGAAAAACGTTGCTCTATTCGATTTTCTTTTCTCTATTTGCCTTTCATAACTGCTTTGTCAAGATTTATCAAAATGGTAAGTGGTCATGGGAGTGAGGAGTGATGAGGATCCTATGAAAGTATTTGAGTGCTGGCTTTTTTCTGGGGGTTGATATAACCGCTTACCACACGGCAGCCCCTCCAGGCTGGCACCTTCAACACCACTCACAATCCCAACCTGAAACAGCTGGTGTAGGGACCTTCATCACATCACCTAAAAAGGAAGGACTGACCGCAGCATGTTTCTAATCTATACTACACCAAACCTCTGGAAGAAAATATTTGCAAGCTGTGTAGAAATGTAGTGTATGTACACACATACACACACTCACAAGAGTGCACACGTGCACATTTGAAATGTGTCCGCAATAAGAAGATCTCCTGCAGCAAAATAGTATGAGCGCCCTGCGGCATTTCCTTGAATCTCTAACACTCAAACCAGTATTAAGTCTTCAGGTCACTGCGGCCCGGAGGGAAATGACGGGGCACAAGGAAGTGGGACAGGGAGAACCCCAAAGGCCCGAGGAAGCAGTTGGTCAATGGGAAACAGCACCCAGCAGCCTTGCCCCCCGTCCCAGCCTTGCGAAATTCGGCCAACATCCTCAGAGGAGGCAGCCCATTCCCAGTAGAACTGCTCTTCTGGAGGCACCATCTGTGTGAGAACCTTGGCTTTGAAAATGAGCAAAAGCAAGCAAGATCCCTGCCATTCTACTCCACTTTCCAGAGTGTAAAGCATAGTAAGCCAATGTCCCCCTCCCACTCTCAAAAAATCCAAATTCATTTCAGTACACACCTGGCGCTTCTAGACACACATGTAGACCCAGTAAGTCCTCTGGAGCCCCAGCTCTTGCCCCAGCACTCCTAGCATGGCCCACACACAACGTGGGTCTTCTTAGGCATCCCCAGCCGCACAGCTCCCGGGGGCAGTCACCGCCTCCCCCACCCCCAACACAGGAAGAAAGCCAGGGTGGGCCAGGATGGCAGCACGACACCGCTCTCCCAGCAAAGCCACCCTTCTTCCACCGTCTCGAGCACCTCGGCCCGGGAGCCAAAGATTCCCAGGCTCAGAAGATCAAGCCCCTTGCCCAACGTCAAGGAGTTATGAAATGCACCAGGTCCATCTGAGCTCCAAGGGCAAGTGTTTAACCACCAACGTGAACTGCCTCGTTTATTTTCAATTCTTAAAAAGTTTTTTTTAACTTCCCAGAAAACAGTTTCAATTACAACACTGCAACTGACAAAACAGTTCACAGAACTTAGTTTAAATCTTGTCACAATAAATGCCACTAAAATGACAGATCCCGCCTGCGTGAGCCAATCCACCTGAGGATGGTCCGAGGAAACGCCGTGAACCTGTGCGAGATGCAGGCTGCCCCGTGCCACACTGCCCAAGAGACCGTAACTTTCCAAACTCAAGTTCTCCTCCACATTTTACACTTCCTGCTGCTCTCTACCCCCATCCACTTCTGCTGCTCTTTTGCACACTTTTGCACACCAAAGGTGCCGCCTTCTGCAAACTCTCTTCCCTCACCCAGTGGTATCACTCCCCTCGGCCTCCTTCCCACAGCTATCCTCGCCCCCCCTTGTGGATCCAAGCTGGTTGAGGACTTCACTGAGAGGGACACTCATCTCTGACTCACTCTCCTTCAAAATGAGTACTCAGCTCGGCAGAGAGCTGCCCTTCGATACCCCAACCAAGAGTCCCAACAGTGTCACCAGTAACTGGGAAACATCCTACCATCACTCCTTCAGATCCGGTGGGGAACAGGGGAGGGGGCAGAAGTCACACACAAGGCAAATGACTTTAAGACATCTCTGATTTTAAAGTGAATTCTGCTCCTGAAATATGCCCTAAACATGGACAATTAATTTCACCATAAAAAGTGAGCACACAGGCCAAGTCCTTCCCTTAAAGAAAGCTTAAAACTGTCGGCCCCTGACTGCAAATCCCATGGCCTCCACTGAGAGTGGCTTGAACTACCACAGTCAGTCCGTGTCTGTTCAGTGGCACAGAGGTTCCATTTTAACCTCATTTGGTTTAAATTTCATAATATCCTGAAAGGTGTTGGCAGATTCCCAGTGAGAAGGAGGCACACAAGAAGCATACTGTCAACCAAGCCCGGGACAGGAAGGCATTCCTACTTTCCCAATAACCGCTCCAGCAAAGGCCGCATGCGTAACCCATCCTGGCGAGAGAACACCCATCTAGGGGCAGGGAGGAAG